CTTGGAAAACCATCCTCGGTCGAACAGTTTACCCATATGTGTGCGGATCTTCCACTCCACCCCATCATACTCAATATCGCGTTCCACGTTGGATCTATAGGCAGGCATATTGTCCGCCCACACGAGCCAGCCAGGGAAGTCATGATCAACGTAGTACTCCGCTTCGGGATTCGCAAAGCTCGAAAGGTATTCCTTGGTCCATCCTTCATCGTACCGCTTGGTGGCAACCTTGATCTTGGAAGGGAAGTGTTGACGGCCCAAGATGTAGTTCTTGTAATCATGGCTGCAAATTGCCCGGACATCTATCATCGTGAACAATGCGATGAGCGCCTGGGAGTACATACCACGTAGACCAGGGTGATCGTCGATTGATCCGTGAGTGACTAGGTCTATGAGATTCTCGCTTGCGATGTAATCGAATCTGAGGCCCATGGTGATGACGATTGTAGCTGCACGACTGGCGACCTTCCAGTGAGACACTCTTGCAAGGTTCACCAGTTCTTCCGACAGATCAGCCTTCTTCTTTTCGATACGAACGCGCTTGTTGTTGATAGTGTCTCGCTTCTGCGTGATTTGATCTTGAACATTTTCTTGAGGAGCAATCGCTTCGATAATGTCGCGATCCAAGATAGCCATTCTTTCCATAGAACGACCATAGTCCATGATCTGGTACACAGCGCTCGAGCAAATCCTCTGTACAGACGGTTTGTCAACGGCGCTTGCATCTATGAAAGTCCGGACCAAGGTGGGTGCATATTTCCAGTGACGCCCGACTGTTTTGGCGACACTGCCAAGCAATAGGGAGAATAAAGCTCCTTTAATTCGTGCATGATCATTTTCTCTGATGCCTTTTTGGAGAGCTCTGAGAAGTGGGGGAATAACAAGGAGCCGAGAGCCCCAGACAGCCTTAAGAGCCGATTCGCCTGCGCTCTGAGCATTGCGCCGCGTCTCTGTATAAACGGAGACACACGACTCAGCAATGTCCAGTAGTAGTATCTCATCCAGTTTAGAGCGACGCCGAGGTGCTGCATTGTGCCTCAGACGCTGCAGGTGGTACACATTGGCCCTGCGTACGAGCAGAGGACGTGGATAATCCTTACGGATTCCGCTCATCTTATAGGGATGAATGTCGGCCGCAAGGAGACGAGTTACTCTGTCAAGGACATGGGCAGACCTCTCAATTCCAACGTCGACGAACCAAGACCGGTAAGCCGAGTATAGAGCAGCAAAGCAAGGCACATCGTCCTCTTGCTTATCTGAGAGGAACCTGTGGACTTCATGAAGCACCCGGCCGGCCCTCTCTCGAATCTCATGAATGGTAGTGTACATCTGATCGGTCTCTTGCAGCGGGTAACCAGTTGGATACGAGAAGGATTCCCGAACAGCGGCTTCATCGGAGCTATCAAGAGCAGCATCGGGATCTTCATCCTCGACAGCGGGCGAGTCTTCTTTGGCGCCTACCATGTCCACATCATTGGAGGTGTCGGAAGATCCGCTGGCGGTTGTCGTTGATGCTGCCTTTGGGTCAAAAAGCACAGAGATACCGGAAAGGATGAGTCGTAGCAGGACCAAGTTCCTGGTAACCTCGTCGGACCAGTCTTTCCCGCTCCCATCACGCTTGACGCTGGAAGTCTCATTAGTCAGGGCCGTGAGCTGCTTGAGAGCAGACTGGGCCTGATTTTGGAAAAGCTCAACGGCAAATTCGAGTTCCTCGCGCTTTGGAACATGCCACTTTACACTCAGCTTACGAGGATCCTGTTGATAGCTCCATAGCTCAGGTTGTACACCCTTGGCAACCACATCAGGCTCGTACAACGAGTAGTCTGAAGTATATGTCCCCGTCAGGTTCAGAAGGAGATGGTGGATAAAATTGGAGATATGCACCGTCGGTATGCCCCTACACTTTTGCTGCATGTAAACAGCTATGTCGAAAAGCTCTTTCTTATGAGCGAGCACCGCATCTCCGACATGAACGACACACATGCTCAGCATGCTGACGTTCCAGACCAGGCCACGGTCGCGAGGGAGAACATCTGTTCCTGTCGTCCTAGTGGACCCTGCGCCGTTATCGTCAATCTCAGTACGAATGGCCTGCGTCAGCACCGGGATAAAGCGTTTCAAAGCCTTTCCAGGGTTGACTTTGCACACGGAGTTACAGATGAAAGCCATTGCATCCCGGGCTTGATGGATAACATGGTTCGACACGAAGTCGACAACCTTTGACAGGGCAATATCGTAGTACTCTGGGGAGAGGGACGATAATAATGGCATGAACGTGGCGGGTAGGGTGTTCACAATGTTTTCTTCAGGAGATCCGTTCCGGACTCTGGTCACGTCCGGCAGGTTCTCTAGGAGGGTAAAGACACGGCCCAGGAATGATACAATGAAGTCCCCAAATCCGCATGTGGAGGAGCGGAGTATCATCTCTTCCGACTCATCATCCAGGTTGGTGTCGTAATTCAGCTGCACCTCGACACCTTGGTCTTCCATCCGTTCCATCTCGCCGGTAATCCATTGCATTGCAAGCATGTTACAATTTACATCTTCTCTGTCCTTCGTCAAGTCGGCCATGGGTATGTTGTAGCATGCGGACTGGATGAATGAAAGTGCATGCAGAGATTTTTCGAGATCATTGGCGTCAATACCTGGTAGTGCAAGGCCCAATAGAGTGGTCATATGGCAGCGGTAGCCCTTCGTCCTCGAGATAATGCGCGATAGGATCTGAAGAGCCCGAAGCGAAGAGGTAGTACGATGAACCTCCACCAGGCCTTGCAGAGATGGGTAGATCCGCTGGAGAGCACCTGGAAGGATCAAGTGAGGCTCCAAGAAGGCCAAACTCTGCAGAGTAGACAATGAGAAGCTCATTGCCGTGCCACTCTTAGCATAAATGCCCATGAAAATGACATCGCGTAGACAGAGAACGAAACGGCGTTTCAGGGGCTCGTTCAGTCTCCGCTCTGCCGGGACGTCCATCTCCCCACTTTGCTCACGATTCCAGCGCATGACGAAAAAGTCTGCCAGATAGTACACTAACTGAGCCAACGTCTTGGTCCAACTTCCAGAATTAGAAGGATGGAAGAAGGTCTCCACCGCTTGTATGAGGCCCTCAAGCTGAGTGAGCACTGACTCCTCGGCATCAAGACACGCGGGCGAGAGAGACATCACGATCCATCTAGCGATGTGATGAGCAACAGGATGCTTCCGTGTGTCTCGGTCCAACATGATTCCCAGCCCAGAGGAGATATCTACAAGAGCACTGTAGGGCGATGTTGATTGTCCGACCGGAATCTCCAATAATCGGAGGATGGCCGTGAAGATCAGCGCCGACTGCTCCTTGGAGTATATGCCATACTCCGAGAAGGGTATATGACCAGCAGGCAATGAGTCTCGAGCTAGACGAGAGAGATAATCGAGGAAGGTTATATCGAACGTCTTCGAGCGACTGACAAGCGACCAAAGGTGAAAGTGTGTTGGTAGGTAATGATGTGGTAGGAGATCCTCCCGGGCTTCAGGCGGAGGAGAAGTGGGAAGTAAGAGGTTAATCAACCCGACGACGACGAAGGCGCCTTCCGAGAAGGACGTGGTGTAATGAGGAAGAAATTCTTCTAGCATGGCCGGTAGCTCACATGGGTCGATATACAGCTGAATGAAGGCACAGAGCTTCGTCAGTGTCTTAACATTGCGTTTCAAGTTAGTCGAATGGACAAGCCCAGACTCTGTGGGCAGAACAAATGACTTCAATTCCCTGTACAGCGGCCTCCAGTCTAATACTAAATCTTTGACGGGTCTGAGGTAATGCTTGCGCCTGTGGCCAGTGTCAGTTTCAGCCACCATAGAGCGAAGAATCGAATAGACGAACTCACTTAGTCAGAAGCATGAACATGCTCGCAAACCGCTCTGAAACAGTGGGGTCTATTCCAGGGGCAAGCGACAACTCATAGTACAGCTTGACGAGGTTGATCCGCTCTGTGCGAGTGGGATCGAACTTGAGTGATAGCCATCCTCTGAGCTCCCGCGTCCAGTGCACTGCACCCGGATTGAAATCGCCGGCCTCCACCGCAATGTAGAGCTGTTTCAGGATCTCTTGTAGGTTGCGTTCCCTCTCCGGCTCATCTTCGAGTGTATATGGTAGATATGTGAAATATGGATATGTACGGGGACGGACCCGTGCCTTCGGCTCGCCGTCTCCGTTTACAGCCACAGGCTCACCTCCCGGCGACGTGGCCCGGGAGATCTCGTGTGCATTTTGAAAGTTGTCGGATGTCAGGATGGCCTTGGGGCCTGATTGATCCATAGTTGTGCGATCAATAGGGCGATTACTGGGGTGCGAAAGTTGGGGACGTAGGAGGAGGTTCGGGAGAGCTCTAGGGGCCGCGGTTTGTTAGCCACCCTTATCACCAAAGGATCAAAGAGACATATGAGCAGCGGCGAAGGGCGCACCTAAAACATGAAGGTTGGAGTCAAATTCTAAACTGCAGGAATCGATGCCCAAGTCGTGGCCTGCGGCCAGTCCTCGCATAGGCGATTTAGTTGAGACTCGGCTAGCAAGGCGACCGGAAATCACCAGAGCGTTGAACTGCACAAACCAGGGGGTCAAGGAGGAGATGGTCGATGTTACTGGACTGAGACGTGAATTCGGCCAGCAATGCTCTCTTTGCACGGAATTTCGCTCAGGGTTCAAGATAACTCGAGCTCACGCGTAACAATCCGATGGTGGAGGTATCCTTCGGTCTGGCTCAGTTTTGTAAGATCGGTGATGACATAATTCCACGTAACGGCCGCCGCCTAATTGGGCCCGTCTCCAGAACAACCGCCGATGGGCATTTCTCTTCCTGACGCTAGGAGCGATCTATCTACACAGTAGCTATCTATCCATCTATCTACTAGTATCGATCTAACTACAGGCTGGGGCCCTTTTTGCAGTCGCAGACAAATATACACCCATGGTCTACTCATGTGTTCTATTTTCAAGGCTGCATTTCCACTAAAGTAGTTTACTCTTATGCGGGTGGCAGGAAGGAACCGAAGAGAAGAGCCTGGATCAGTGCATAGGCCACCATGCCCCGCACCGCCACAGCAAAGCCCCGGCTGTCTTGCAGGGAGGGTCGGGACTGCCCCCAGTTGCCCGACACTAAATATACGAGGTACCAATACCACAACGGGTAGCCCGAGGAGATCCTGTTAATTATCTGCACATGGTAACTCGTCAGGGCCAGCACCGCAAGGAGTCCCTGAGGAACAGCCAGTCGGAGAAGAAGGGAGGCAGTCGTGGCTGACGACGACGCTTGGTCAACTCCACTTAAGGCTCCCGGGAAGATAAAGGGCACTGCCACATCTAATGCCCATAGTGAAGACCGGCAGAGGATGGCCAGCATGGGCATTGCCAGCACAAAAAGTGGTATGTTGGATACGGTCCAATACCGAAGGAATCCTACGTTCCTGTTCGCCGATTTAGTGGTGTTGGTGCAGTGCTAGGTGGAGAATACAACGTACCAGTAATGCCCTTGAACCCAACCATATATACTGGGGACTAGCCATCGACACCACGGACGTGCAATGTCATCATCCACACAGTAAGCCGTATAGGCTACGGCTTGGGGCATGACAAGCCCGAGGGCAATAACACAGCCACTCACGATTATCACGCAGAGATGGGCACAAGCACCCACTGATAACCTCTGGCACAAAACCCGACGAAGCTGCAAAAGAGCATCATAGGCATATAAAATGCCGCTTAATATTCCATTACTGCGAACCGTTGTAGCAGCCGAGAACAGTACGGCAGCTAGGAGCAGCTTCGCATCCCCTGATAGGCGCTTGCCGGCTTTATTGTCGAGGAACGAGGACGAGTAGACATAGAACCCGGTGATGTTGAGCAAGGAAAATAAAGACTCCCCATAGGGCGCAGAAAGAAAGGCTCCTGCGGGGCAGATGATGTGTAGTGCTGCAGAAAGGAAGCAGATTAGTCTTTGGGTGGCTGTGTCACGCCCGAATACGTTGACGGAGAGTCTATATAGGGCCAAGACTGAGAGATAATGGGCAAGATGAGAAAAAGCAATGGCCACCACTGCAGTCCTGGCCACTCCACTGGGACCTATTAATCGATCTAGTGCTACATCGACAATTAGTGTTCGAATAATAGAATAGAGCCGTGCACTTTGGCTGAGGAAACAGGTATATCTACCAGTGGCAATGAAGGCCAGGACTCGAGTATACCCGTAGCCGAACGCCCATTCTTGCTCGAAGACATAGCCGTTTTCTGCAATGTGTAGGAAGTAGATGGAATCCCACCTGACGAACTTCAGTGGGATAGGAAGGTGGGCATAAGTGAGGTCCTCCGATGATATGACATCAGAGCGACCGTTGGTATGGTAAAGATGGCTTGTGGAAGTGTCGTAGCCAAGGCCAGGGCAACTGATGATGACCAGGTATACTAGAGCCTTCCATAGGCAGAACGCTACCGTTAACGCCTTGACAGGCTGGCGCGGGTTCAGGAGCCCTGGCCGGTTCGACAAGGAGCTCATCATTCTCGTGTAATTTTCACTCCCGGGCAGCCAGCTTCCCCAGCATCGTAAGACAATCGTAATGTTGGGCTACTCAGGCGTGTCTAATGATTCGCCCACCCGAAACAAAAAGAGGGATTATTATTCAACGCGACAACATAATAATAATCGTCATCAAATCAATTCGTTCGCAAGAAGCCGAGGTAAAGCTAAAGCGATCATGGAGAAAGAAAAAGACGCGTCCAAACTAAAGACGGGTCGACGGTTGATCGGTCGGAATCCTCGGCAAGCATAACCCCCTCTTATTCAGCCTCCACAGCTGCATAACTACGTAATGGGCATCGTGGTATGTGCTACTGCTACTCCATACTAGGAGCTAGTTTCATGATGAAGAATGGCACACTACGGAACATCTAGGACACAGTAGGTAGATACTTCGTACGCCGTATGGTCATCATGTCATGGCAAGTGGCGCATCGGTGGGAGAGTCCGGTCGGCTAGTCCCAACTGGTATTCAACTCCCGAGGGCGATGACTCCCACCTCCCATGCAGACGGAGAAGAAGGATCTAACTACGATCACAATGACTAGTATATGAGGAGACATACTGTGTAGTGAGATAAATCATAAAGAGTCTTGATGATGTCAGACCACTTGGCCTGTTCATTTTGGATAAACAACTACCTATCGGCAGTTCTGGAATGGACGAACATGTCATCAAACCTTGGATCAACCCGCGGGCAGGTCAGCCCTACGGCGTTGGCCGGAGCTGATGGAGCCCGATGCTCACAGATGAAATTTATGCTCAAATCGACAGATCCATCCCTGCAAGTCCACATGACAAGGGATATTTGGCAACCCCGGCATTAATATCTACTAGTAGATACTATGTAGATAGAGAGGGAGGATGATCCCTGTCTTCCGGAGGGACCGAGTACCTATGTGCACGGTACATAGTTAGGAGGTAGCCCCAATCAGTGAGTCCAGAAAGGAGACAACAGAAAGCTAGATAGCAAAGGCTCTGGGAAGGCAATCAATATTGTCCTGGACCAAGTCGATGGATCCTATCATGATTGAACCTTAAAGTAAATCATTGTGCTAGTTGTACCAAGTAGTACAGAATACAATGTGGCGAGTGTCTACTTGGGCACCCTGTACTATAGTAGTAGCCACCTGACTGATCATTGCTTTCTCAACGGCACTTTGCTCCGTGAGGAATCATCTGTTACTACTTACTCTCTTGTATGGGGCCTTACTTATGTGCTAGATAGGTGAAAGACGAAGGCGGTCATAGTCGCCTATACTCTGTACACCTCACAAGAGCTAGATCCTCCAAGACTACTCCGTACCCTGAGTGGAAATTTAATATCTATGGCTTTCTTTTCCCGGGTCGCACCAAAGCTGAGCGAATGCCATACTTGATCAACGTGGAATCCTAGGATATCGAACCGATCTGCTGGATGTCTCTTTTCACTTCTGGGTGACATTCCAACTCGGCCACGAGAGTTTGGGTCTTTACCTTACCAAATTCAAAGTCACCATCACCCCATAATATTAAGTTGAGGAGCCAGCTGATCAACCGGACTTCCTCCAGAAGCTCCCAGCCTCGCTCTCAGCCGGAGGGTCCACGATAGGACTGAGACCGACTAGACGCGAAAAGTTTGCCATCTGGTCCCCGCCAGGACCAGACCCTCGTTTGTTAGATCGTAATGCCAAGCCCGACCCAGAAAGTCATTCGGACGGAATCAGGAGGCCACCACCGACAACTACCGACAGCGACCGACCTCAGGATGCGAGGTGTGAGTGCCAGCTAGCCTCCGGATCAGTCAATACGGGGATGAAGCTTAGGTAGCTGGGCAATGCTTACTAGCTGGAAAGTATATGTGTATGTTGTCGCAGAGTTGGGTACCGGTGTCTCATGGCACCAATGATCCACGGAGCTGCTTGGTGACAGGATTTCACACCAATTCAGCCTTATGCTGCTCTACTAGTCAGTCTGTCACACTAGGCACTGAGTCAGCGGGCGTAGCGGTGTTCCCGCCCCAATTTGCAGAGCTCAGTTGCTGTCTCTAAAATCCGATATCCGGCCCATGGAACGGTGCGGACCTTACACCGTACCGGCAAGTCGGAGCTTCCGGTTCCGTGGGAAAGATCCCAGAGTCCGAAGTCCGCGGATTGCCCTCCTGATGTTTTTGCTGCAGATAGGTAATAATGAAGAAAATTGTTGCGGAGGGGTTGATCACAAATCAGGAGTGGGGTTGATGTGTACCAACTACTAAGTACCTAGGTACACTTTTGATGGCAAGTTTTTTTGGGTGCCGGGCAGGTACTGTGCTACTCAGTACTACATAGTATACTCCGTACTGTGTAGGTATTGTTAACTTGTTGCAGTCGAGGATAGCGATCGACGATACTACTCTGAAGTATGTATGATGCATAAAAAATGGAACTACATTAGCTAAGCACGATTGCATAATCCGCCTCCGACCGACCGACTGGCTTTCGGAGCGTCGGAAGTCAAAGCTACCTTGATCTCCATTCTCCATCCCCGTCCTCCATAATATTGCTGCACTTAATGATACGAGCCAAGGAATACGCGATACGACCCAGCCAGTAATCCGCCGAACTGGAGCAACATCCAATAATGAAAGAATCCGCGTCGGCGTCTGGTTCGCCCCGAGGATCGTCGGCTAGCTGCTTGTGGCCATGGATGCGAGGGCGCGGTTCATGCAGATTGCAGCGACTGAGACCAGACGACCACCTGGTTCCTTAACTTGATCACCAAATTGGCCCCGATTTGGCACTCTGACTGACGGACTCTAGATCCCGCGGGACCTGGCTGGGGGGGGCCGATGGATCATCATGGACGACTTCTTCCCTCAGCCTCCGAGGTGTATACCCATTCATTACCTACCCAGCCTGGCAGCCAGGCCGAGCGGGATGCTACTTACTCACTACAGTGTCAGTCTTGGTGGCCCATGTGGGCTCTTTTTGACTCTTTGCGGGTTTTTTACTTTTTTTGAATTTTTCCCTTTTTTTTTTTTTCCACTTCCCCCACCCATCTTGAGGAAATTATTTAGGATGATTATTAGTATTATTCTGGATGACTATTGCCCTTAAAAGCCATGGTGGGATCTTGACCGCCATGTTTGCTCGTCGCTCGATGATCCCTCGATCCATCTGACATGCGATCCCTGATCTTTTATTTACTATTTTCCTCACGGACTACATGGAATATTAAGGCGCTTCTGGATCCCCTACCCACCTGTCTGCTCTCCCTTACATATCCTCCCGCCCACTCTTTACTCATTCTCTCCCCCCAATGTCCACGTCGTACGACGTCTGAAATCTTCCCATTTATCTCTTGATCGGGTTTTGCCTCCTGCGCTGACCTCAATCCCCTCCTTTTTTTCTGCACACTCAGCCTCAGCCTTATTTCTCCAGGTGGAGGGGTCGATCGTTGATTGATTGATTGATTGATTGCCGTGCCGGTCACGCTCATACTTCCTGCTATACTATATTCCGCAGAGAACTCCCCCCTCCTCCCCTGTCCTCTCAAACTCCCCTCTCCCCAATTTGTTCGATCATTGTTCCCCCGTTTTCCACAGCCCCGGATTATTCAGCACTATAGCTCGAATACGAAGCCTAGTTAAATTAGCTAGGCAGGGCTTAGTTGACTGACGTACCCTGTCAGCCACAGCCACACTCTTCGCCGTCATTCTTATCCGTACCAGGCGCCGCCACCCCCGTCTCTTTTGTCAATGCTGAGCTCGGAGAATTGACAGACGTTGTCGCATCCCCTGAGATAATGTTATTCAACCTTGGTCTGACAGCGGATGCGGCAGCAGCTCACGAAAACGAATACCTCGGTTCTCCTTCCGAAGCCCAGCTGCCTGGTCCCACGCGCCATTCGTCCCCGGCCATTTCATTCGCCTCCCTCCCATCTTGGGGCCTGGGAAACATCTACAGCCGGCACAAAACCCCGGAACCCGACATGACGCAGCGTACAATGCCGCGGAAGGTGACAATAGATACATTATCTTCGAGCGATGACGAGCGCTCAACCATCGCGCCAGTTCTAGCTCCATCAAGGATCGCCCGTTCGCAATCGCAATCGGTTCGGAAACAATCGTCGCGGCCTAAAACGTCATACCAACTAGCGCATCCCGCGGGTCACGCACGCCATAGGCGACTAAAGCTTCGACCGAAGCTTCTCTTGCAGCTCCAACGTGTCTCGCAAACCCCACGACCCCTCCCCATTTTGGATGTGTTGCCCTCGACCGTCTTCCTGCCTCCTCTAGCTCGCAAATTCCCGACGATATTCCGCGGCAAGAAGGGATTAGGCCCAAACGACCTCATTGTTGTGACAAGCGATCTCTATGAGCGGGCGCACGGGGATGTTGGGGATAGACATCTGAGCTCCGATGATGAAAGTGGGGAGCAGCGTGAGGTGGTCGCTACGATATGCCAGCTCTTCAGGGACGATGCTCTTTCGAAAGGGAAAGCGGAGATCTGCCTAAACCATGGACCCGTATGGGAGGCCACGCCCCTTGCAAATGGCTCTTATGAATTTGTGGCCAATACCGACCATGGTGTCCGAGTCCTACGGTGGGTTCTGAGAGGAGGAGGAAAGAATCGTCGTGTGTCTGCACCCCCAGGTTTCGCATCGCAGGAGGACGGCAAGCGTTTCACGTTCAGTGTGATCAATCCCAACACTCGTCGTCACCCGGTTGTTGGCACAATGACTCGCAATTACCTCGAGGTATACGATGAGTTCTCGATGCCGACGGCTTCAGGCATTGCTAGCTCACCGACCTCCGCCATGTCCGTGATGAGCGATCTGTCAGAGATGGATGATTCCTTGGATCGGAAAGTCATGACAACTGACAATGAACTTCGCATGTTGATCATTGTTACTAGCATATGGGTAGCATTTAGAGAGGGCTGGTCACACAATTTCACCTATGATGACTCGGCCTTGGCGCTTAACTCTAAGACGATGTGTCCGTCGAGACACAGCTCGCCAACTGCCGTGAGAGTGGATAGTGATAAACTCTTTGAACAGGAGAACGGTCAAGATGATGGACCTGCCCCGAATGGTTCGAGACCTCGCCTCTCGACTTCGACATATGTACCTTCGCAAACCACGACTTCCGACCGGTCCGCATTTGGCAGCTTATCAAGGCGCTCCAATTCGACTGGAGCAGCATTTATTGAGCGGACCAACCGTCGTGCTTCTGGTAGCAATGGTCGACTCAATCGACACAGTACACTTTCCAGTCCTCGCGAGCAGAGACAGGATGAGGCCGCAGAAGCCGCCCCTGCTCGGCAGGACTCAAAGAGCCGCCGGTTATGGTCCCATAGGAAATCCGACATTCAAGACCCCAAAAAAGCCACTACTCCCGACCAGAAACCAGATCGGTCCCAGGCTTTCGAAAGCCATCAGTCCCGTCCAGTAGAGACGTCTCGCGACCTTGGCGCGAAGCCATCGGCTGGGGATTCGGCTCCTACAAAAGGAAAGCGTCGCCATCGGATTAGCAGCCTATTTGACTTCATCATCCGAAAGACCGGACATCATCATTGAGTGAAGCCTGGAGCTTACGTCATATTCCCAACTCAAAAAACTGGCGCTTTCATCTGCTCTCATACTTCCTTCGATTCGTATCTCCCTCTTGCAGAGGTGAGAATTTCTTGCAACCTTTTCGCAAGACTACATTCCAGACACTGCAAACGTGGCCCAAGAGCCTGGCGCTGAGGACACTTTGTATGCATGTGGCAGGAATTCTACAAGTTCAGAGCTACTGCTACTACTTTTGCACTGGGTGTCTGGGCATCATTTTCCATCTAGCTCTCATGACTATCCTCCACACACACACACCAGCTCTCAGCTCTTGCTCTTACCAGCGATATGAATACCACGACAGAAACCTGATAGCGCTCCTTCCCTCCTCCTTCCTTCCCACTTCTCTCTTCCAACATCACCATACCAACCATTGTATATGTCCGAACCAAGATCCACACAGCATTGATTGCTTGAGAAGGAACTACTGTTCAACAGAAATAGATACCTTGTAAAATATGGGGAAAGGCCCCAGAGAAAAAATGAAAATAACAATAAACAATGAACAATGAAAACTTCCCAAAGAACGCATAGCATACATAGATTTGCTAGCTGCGTAAGCAACATCTTTCAACTTCTTACACTCAACCGTCTTATTATTCCCTCCAATCAAGACCGGTATTTTATGATGACCGCTACGGGAAGGAGGGGTGGCTAGCCAATCCCAATGCACACCTAAGCCTATCTAGGTAGTGGCTCGGAATAATATTCTTAGGTATCTAGTGTAGTCTTTTGCTTACATAGTGTAGTTGGCAAAGGGTTGTAGGGGAGTAGTAGTAGCTATTAAACATTTAAAAGAGTCACGATCATGATTATCTCACCTTGATTGATACAGTTACTCATGTATATATTCCCCACACATTTCTTGGTTCATTTTAGATAGTTAATATTTTATACTAATACTATTAAAAAAAGAAGAATTAGTTCATATTTACTTTCTTTTTTTTTTTTTTCTCTCTTCATGAGGCAAGGAAGGAAGGGAGGGAGGGAGGGAATGGCCGATATGGATGAAATATGGATTGTCATACAGATTTAGTTTGATTTTGGAGGAGTTTGTGAGAATCGAGGTTGAAGAATGGTTTTTCTTTTTCTTTTTTTTTTTCTTTTGTGCCTTAGGGGGGGATGACATACAGTAAATATAGAAAAACCACAAAGGACAAGGGAACTACTTAGCTCTTTACTATTATATCGGAGGAGAGAGATCACTAATAATAATAACAATGATAGTAATAATAATCTGTCCTACTGCTCAAACGGTCTCCTCAACCCCTCTGCCGCATGTTTCCCGAGAACCTCCAATGTCCCCATGCCCAACATTTCCAAGACACTAATATCAAAGCGAAAGGTCTGCTTCCACCAAGTTCGCATCTCGATGGCCACCAAAGAATCCATCCCCAGATCAGCCAGTCCCAAGGACGTGTTCAGATCCTCCTCCGGCTTCAAGAGAAGGCCTAACACTTTGCGACCGATCTCTCGCGCCAGGAGCTCGATTGTCTCGGGCTTCTCGAGTGCGCTGGGATCTGCTCGGGCCGTGGCCAAAAGCCCTTTCAGCTCGTTATGTGCTGCTGCTGCTCCGTCACCACCGGCCGCTCCACCGCCCGAGTTGTTTCGGTAGACGGCCATGCGCGGATCCTTGCGCCATACCAAGCGGTTGTTCTCGCTATCAAGCGACGTGGTGGATCTAAGGCCCACGGAGAAACTGGTTGGATGGGAGGTGGCTAGGACGAGGGCATCGAGAACCTCCTTACCCCGGATACAGTAGAAACCCGCCGATTTCAATTGGCGTAACATGTCATCGTTGCCGTAGAAGACACCGACATCGTCGACGGGACCGAGCTGGAGGACGGAGGAGGCCAGTCCCAGACCTGAGCGGTATTCGTGGAAAGCGTCGAGGAAGGTGTTCGCACTGGCGTAGTTGGCCTGACCCGGCTGGCCGATGATGCCGGATATCGAGCTGAACAGAACAAAGAAGTCCAGGTCGATTCCGGCAGCCACCGTCGCGTTGTGCAAGTTCCAGGTCCCCTGAATCTTGGGGGATGTGGCCGCTGACCAGTCGTCCCAGGTCATTTTGGGGTATGCCTGGTCTCGAAGGACCGTGGACATCTGGAGCACGCCCTTGAGAGGGGCCGTTGAGACCTGGATCGCTTGTGTGACGGCTGCCATGTCGGACACACTGCCTTTGACGAGATGTGCCTCGCAACCCATGGTCGCAAGCTCGTGGACAAACGATTGATCTTGGGGGCCACTGCCGGCATTGCGGGACAGGAAGATCAAATGGCGGGCTCCATGCTCGACCATCCAGATGGCGACAGTTCGACCAAGACCTCCGAGGCCTCCTACCAGAAGATAGGAGGAGGAGCTGTTGAACTGGGGAGTCATCCTCCGCTTTGCAACATCGAGCGGGAGGAGGTTGGTTTCCCCTGACTGACGCAGTTCGACGACAGTCTTGCCAGTATGTTCACTTCGTTGGACATCACTGAATGCGTCTAGAATGCCCGATGCCCCGAATATTTGGACAGGATGGATGGGCTGGATCAGACCCTTCCGGTAGAAGTCGAGTGTGTCGCGTAGGAGACTGATGTAAGGAGTCAGTTTCAAGGAGGGGATTAAAGGTGCGTTATGACATACCGCGCGATTGTTGAAGGCTTGCCCGCCCGGATCCGATCTACATCCACATAGCAGTAACTGCGGTTGAGGAGGAAAACATCCATGTCTAGTTTGCCCGCGCCCAGGATGTCTTTCTTCCCAAGTTCAATCATCCGGCCGAACTCGGCAACGCAGCGCCAGGATGCGTGCAAAGACTCCCCAGCGATTGAGTTCAGGACGACATCCACACCGCGTCCCTGGGTTTGAGCCTTGATCCCATCTACCCACAAACCATTGGCATCAAGGAAGAGATGGTCGCGTGGGAGACCGAAGGTTTCCACCAGGTACGAAAGCTGGTTGTCGTTGCCAACGGTGGCGAAGATCTCGGCGCCTATGATCTGGCCCAACTGGATGGCAGCGAGGCCAACGCCACTGCACCCTTGATGGATCAAAATGGACTGGGAACGGTTAGAGCTGAGAGCCAGAGCTGAGAGGGGAGCACGTACCTGACCAGCCTCGACATGGCCGATTTCCGTCAAAATGTAGAGGGCGGTCGCATAGGAGAAGGGCAAAGTGGCGGCCTCATTGAAGCTCAGTTGATCCGGAATGGGGGCAAAGAGCATTTCGGACGCTTGAACGACTGAAGAAAGGGCTCCCTGAACAAGACCCATGACGCGTTCGCCCACCTGGAGATGCTTGACCTCGGGGCCTGTTCGATGGACTACACCGGATGCTTCAAGCCCAAACACGGGCACGGGGAGCTCCAGGGCACCTGTGGCAACCAGCACATCCTGGATTCCGATTGTTAGCGAGAGAGTATACGTTTCAGAAAGCCGGTGCTCACCTGGTAGTTCAAGCCCGCCGAGAACACCTCGACCTCGACCTGGTTTCCCACCAGCTGCTTTACCGGCTGACGGGACCAGCGAAGGTCCCCCAATCGACCAGGAAGCCTTGGACCTGGGCATATCGCGGATCTTTGCAGTCAATGGAAGTAAGAGGCGTGACCCAGAAGAGGCCCGAATCACCCAGTCCAGCAAGGAAGGCTCTAAGTCGGTCGAAAGTCCCGGCAGTTAACTCCTCAAAGAACGGGGCATTTTGGTCTAGGAGAGAAATCACATCCTGGCCAGCGGGAGGCCGACCATGAATCGTACAACGGGAAATTTGGTAGTTTTGTTTCTGGAGCTCCTCCAGCATAGGCCCCAGATCGCTGGCGTTGTCCGCGGCGAGTAGGGTCACTTTCTTAACAACATCGACCGCTGGTTTGGGCCAGGCCACGACCGCAGCTGTCAACTGGAATGGTTCATCTGAGTCGGGGACTACAGTATCGAACCCATCAAAGCCGGCCTTCTCCAGCTCACGCTCCCATCTCTTCATGTCAACATATGGCTCAGATGTGCGACCATCCTCCGCGCCCAGCCACCAACCACGAAGTAGACCGAAGATGTAATTAATCCATTTGGATGAGGGACAAAGCTCTTGCAGTACCAGTCTCCTCCGGGGATGAAGAAGCTTTCGGGCATTGGTCAGACTTGCGCCAAGTGACTCCGTTTTATAGAGGGCATTAGTGGCAATAATGAGGTCGTACTGCCTCTCGCCGAAGTCCTGCTCCTCCAGATCCTTGCTGATATCGAATGTCGTAAATTCTAGATTCTGCACGCCCTGGAGGCGCTCCTTGGCCGTGGTAATCAAGCTAGAGGAAGGGTCAGACACGGTGTACTTGGAATAAAATGATTCGAGATGGGCGAGGATCTTGCTGGTTCTGGCCCCAGAACCAGCCCCCAGTTCTAGGATGCGGAGATTGGGTCTGCTGTGCGCCAGAACATGAAGGAGCAAAGATGGATCAAAGTCTTCGATGAAAGAATGAAGATTGATTCCTGTATCCCCTTCATCAAGGAGGTCGAACACCTCTCGCTCCCCGGATAAGAGGCTTTTCGAAGCACTCGACACAAGGGATATAGCAGCAGCAGCAGGGGCAGCAGGGGTTTCCGAGAGATGTTTCACCCGAGTATTTATTCGGTCAAGCAGCCCCTTTTCATCCAGATGCTTCCAGGCGGGCGAAAGAGGCTCCCTAGAATGGATCTCGGTGTCCAACCAAGCCTGATACTTCTGCAAGTGGGGCAAGTTGGCTTGGAGACCGGCGATAGATTTCCAAGAACGCAACATGCACAGCTGAGCTAGCTCGTTTAACGTTGGCATATACATGGCCTTGTCGATGGATGGCTTCAGGAGCGACCCCGGATTGACCAAGTCAATATGGGGTCCCCACACCTGATGGGCAGCAGCGTGAGTATCTCCAGTCTCAGGTGCCTCCAGCACAGTATGCCTGACCCCGGACATTCGCAAGACAACCTGGCCATCCCCAATGCATTGTCCCTCACCGCTGACTGAGCCATTATAAGTGAAGGCTGCAGATGCACTGGCCACTAGGTTGGATGAGCAGCGGGTGATACTCAACGCCCCAACCCCGGTTGCCACATTGTTTCGGTGCTTGAGGCCAAGACCGTATGCAGCTGCACAGACAAGGAGTTGTAGAGAGGCGTCAATGACAACGGGATGAAGGTGGTACATCGACTCGTCGCCCTGTCCGTGATTTTGAATGTGCGCCGTGGATCGGCCAGGGAAGTTGGTCGAAGACCGAATATCCTCCATGCACTGGAAGCGCGGGCCAAATTCGAGGCCTCCTCGGCGGAGGACATCGTACCATTGCCGGGAGCCAATTTTTCGGGGGAGCTGAGGTATAGCCTCGCCAGGCCCCAGACTGCCAACCTGGTCTCGCACTTGTCCGGTGCAGTGTCTAGTCCACACATGCCCATTGTGGGATCCAATCGTGAACTCCCACCACTCGCTATCATCGGAATGGGTCAGACGGTGTCGACGCAAGGTAGTGACCATCTCCACCGGCTTTCCCTCGTTAACAACGAGGGCCGTGGTCGCTAATACATTACGGACCTGGAAGCCATCCTGAACCCCAGTGACCTGTCGCACAGCCTCTCCGGCCATAGCAACATACCCAGCAAATGGGAAGACTATGTCATCATTGACCTTATGATCGCGAACCCATGGAGCGTTATCAACATGGAACATGTTGCGCCACACAGGCTCAAAATCGGTACACTCCGTTGCCTTGACACCAAGGAGGTCATGGTAACCATGTTGACGCTGACGCCATTCTCTAGTCACACGAGTTTCATGCCAGTAGCTCTTTTCGTAATTCCAGGCATATCGGGGCAGGTCTGGGAGACAGGTGCCTGTTGGGAACATCGCCGCGAAATCGATGGAGACATGTAGCGTGTATAGCTTGCCAATGGCGGAGAGTAGCGCATCGGTGCAGCTTTGCTGGCGAAGCATCGCGGCAACATACGGTGCCGTGCTTGAATTGTCGGACAGGATCTGACGGACAGGACCTGCGAGTGCGGAATGGGGTCCGACTTCCAAGAATACGGCATTTTTGCCTATCGAATGACGGCAAATGCTGGAGATGGCATCTCAGAACAACACGGGTGATTCGAGATTCTGCTGCCAGTACCGCGCACCGAGTGCTTCGTTCTCAGAGAGCAACTTGCCGGTGACACTCGAGAAGAAAAGCTTCGCCGGGGATTGCCCAAGTACATTCGGGCCAACCAGATTGTAATAGTCCCCTCCGACCTCCGCCATATGGTAAGAGTGGTATGCTTTGTCCACCTTCAGGAGCCTAGCGAGCACATCTGGTCGAGACTTTTGAATCTTGGAGACAACAGCCTCCACCTTGTCGGCGTCGCCCGAGAGGGTAACACTCTTGGGGGAGTTCTCACAAGCGACACCGACAGTTGGCACCAGGAATTCTTTGACCTCTTCCCAGCTCATGCCAATGGCTGCCATGGCGCCAGGGCGCGTCTGTCTTTGAGCTATGGCTCTTCGATGAAAAGCTGCGGTGATGGCTTCCGCAGCCGTGAGAGCACCAGCAGCATAAGCTCCTGCAATTTCACCATTGGAGTGTCCCACAACTGCGTCCGGTACAATACCGACAGCAGCAAGGCTATCAACCAAGGCTATCTGGATGGCTGTGCATAGTGGCTGGGACAGCTCCGCTGTACCAAGCTTACTTGTCTTAGCAGGCTTGCGCAGTTCAGCCTCAATCGTCCAAGTTGGCCCGGCCGCCCCAAGACCCTTGAGGTGCTGATCGAGGCCCTTGATGCTAGCCCGGAAGACGGCATTGGACCGCAGCAAATCACGACCCATTTGTGGCCATTGCGCGCCTTGACCCGTGAAGACCATGACAACATTTGGGGTTGGGGCGGGCTTAGCAATCGCCGAAGCACTCCCGGGCTGTTCTCTGCTCGCCACCACGAAGGCCCGGTAGGGGAGATGCTCACGCCTATTTGCCAGCGTGAATGCAAGATCCTCTATGGCTTCTGCGTGATTCGACAAGTACGCCCGATAATCCTCGATCATCGTCTCCAATGATGCGGGTGAGCTGGCCGACAGCACCAGCAATTGGGGATGGTCCGAGGCCTCTTCTCGCCGAGGAGAGGCGTTGTGAGCCGAAGCCGAATCAAGGATCACATGGGCATTGCTGCCTCCAATTCCGAAGGAATTGACGCTGATTCGTTCCATGCGCGACTCAGGCCAGGGGGTCGCCTCGACTGGGACTTGGAGCTTGGCTGGCTGAAAAGGGATGCTCGGGTTGGGCAAGGTGAATTTAATATTGGGAGGAATGATGCGATTCTCGAGGGCTAGCACCGCTTGGATCACCGAGGTCAGGCCGGATGCTCCCTCCGAGTGGCCGAGATTGGGCTTCACCGAGCCAATATAGGTACCACTGTCCCCAAACACCTTGGCAACTGCGTTTGTTTCTATATTGTGGGATCAGTATCGTGTCATAGCAAGAACTAGATGGATGAAAAGGGACTCAAGACACACCGATTCTGTCTCCAACCACGGTGCCAGTTCCGTGTAGCTCAAGGAACGGAGTCGCCGCATAGTCGGCAATTCCTGCAATTGTATATGCACGCCTGATCAAGGCCTCTTGTGCTTCGACACTTGGATATGTCATTCCCGGCGTTTTCCCATCGCTGTTGGTGGCCGTCCCACGAATGACGGCTCGCACGGGGTTCCCAGCCCTAATCGCATCAGTTAAGGGCTTGACGTATACTGCATTGATGGCCTCAGCACGGCCGTATCCATTGGCATCTGCAGAGAAGGTTTTGCAAGAAGCATCAGGTGACAAGACACCCTGTTCGGTCAATTTGATGGACATGGTTGGAGTAAGTATCAGGCTTGCACCGCCCACGATGGCGGACTTGCAGTCACCCCGAGCGATAGCTAAGCACGCTTCATTCAGGGCCACCAGTGATGAGGAACACGCTGTTCGAATGGTCATACTGGGCCCTTGGAGGTCCATCTCATAGGATACTCGGTTGGCGAGGGCGAAGTCCCCTAAGCCGGCCAAGCGGTAGACACCATACTGCTGCGACTCTTTATCAGACATCTCGCTCCAGTCCTCGCCGAAGTTGCCCATGTAAACTCCGGTCCTAGTTCCCTTCCAATCCACCTCTCCGGCATCCTCAATGCATTCTCTTGCAACCTCTAACATGAGTCGTTGCTGTGGATCGCATCGCCCCAGCTCCATCGGCGACATGGTAAAAAGAGAGCCGTCGGCCTTGCTCAGGTCGTCATCAAGGAAGTACCCATACTGTGTTTTGATACTTCCCGGCTTGTCCACGGGAGAGTAGTAAGCATCGATATTGTAGCGAGATTCCGGCACCCTGGATCGCGCATCTCCTTTGTTGAGTAGGAAATTCCACATTTGCTCCGGAGACCTGATCCCACCGGGAAGTCGACACGCCATGCCACAGATGGCAATGGGGATAAAGCCGGGAACCGAGTCATGAATGCCCTGTTCTCCATGGCCGTTAATGCTCGCTCCGGTCTCATCCGAGTCGCTGCTCTCTGGAGTGAGTCCGTTTGTGGTGTCTAGGACCGGACTCGCTACGTCGACCCTCATGACTGAATATGTAGGAAGAAGAAGAAGAAGGAGAAGGAAATAAAGACCAAATAAATAGCTCTGGAGCGTGTCAGGAAAAAGAAAACAATTTGGGGGTCAGGGCTGGGAGGGAAATCGCCCTCGTTGCACTGAGCTATATAACCCTCCCTACTCATTTAATCTCCTGCCAAAGGCCGACCGTGACATCCAGACTCGAAGCACCCCAGGAAGCTTCATGGTGTGATCAAGAGAGTCTTACAGCCCACTGGATGTAGCTGGGCCTCGGAGATTGAGGGTCTCGGTTATATAGCCCTCCGTCTTGCTGCCAGCGCATAGTATTCGCTCACGCTGCGTTCACACACTATCATCCTTATCTGCCTGCACCTCAGTCCAAGATGGCAAACCCGGCATTGCTCGCGACATGGTTCCCAGACCACAAGGCCAAGGGCCCTAGTATGCGCACCGCGCCAACCTTTTTCCGCAATCTAGAGGAGGCACTCGATCTCCGCCGTGCTGAACGAAGCGTCTTTCTGGTGCGAAGCAACGAGCCTGCACCCAATAGCATCGACTTCAGCACTCTCGATTTCTTGCATCTGACTGCCAGTGGCGCCATCCGGACCGAATTTCTAAATGAGCTGGCGCGCAACCCGGGCTTTGAGCTCGGGGCTGGTGGTTCGCGCCTACTAAACGGCAACAATGCATATACTGAAGCGGCTGAGACTGAGATCGCCGAGTTTCATGGAGGCGAGAGTGCTCTGTTATTCCACTCCGGATTTGAGGCCAACACGGCCATCATGGCGGCAATCCCACGTCCTGGCGATGCCATTGTCTATGATGAGCTGATCCATGCTAGCATGCACGAAGGCATGCAGGCGAGTAAGGCGCCGTGCAAGAAGTCCTTTAAACACAACGACGTGGACAGCTTCCGCGAGACCTTACTGGATGTGCTGGAGACACAGTCCCTGATTAAACAGGGCAAGCGTTGCGTGTTGATTTGCCTCGAATCAATGTACAGCATGGATGGAGACGTCGCGCCATTGAGAGAGCTGATTGCGGTCGCCAAAGAGCTCTTCCCCGAAGGTAATGCGCAGTTCTTGGTCGATGAAGCTCACACAACGGGCGTCCTCGGACGACAAGGTAGAGGGTTCGTCAACGAGTTGGGTCTCGAAGACGAGGTGGCGATTAGGATGCACACTTATGGAAAAGCCCTAGCTACCACAGGTGGTTCGTATAACTTCGTTCCAAGCTTGGCCAATTGTGGATAACTAACAACCATGTCAGCTGTGGTTGTCTCCAATCGAACCATTCGCGAGGTTCTTTATCAACCATGCCCGGTGCTTTATCTATTCAACCGCACCCTCTTTTCCCATGGTGGCGGCCATTAGAGCTGGTTACAAGCTCCTGATGACAGGTCAAACGCAAGCTGTGAGTGCTATCAGCATTATCCCGGCACTCGGGCCCACTTGATACTAATCGGGGGTACGATAGTTGCAAGACAACCTCCAGCGTTTGGTCAAACATTTCTTCGAAACGATCACAGCCAACCCCGTCTATGACGAGGCAAATGATGCAGGTATTCTGTCAATTCCCCTAGCCGAAGACTGGGAGTCGCGGCCGTTCCTCACGCAAGTAATACCCGTGATGACGCGTCAACGGTACATATTATGGCTCTGCTATCACCTGCAGCTGGCAGGTCTCTCCGTTTTCCCCATTGACTACCCAGTTGTGCCCAAAGGGAAGGGCCGCGTGAGGGTGGTATTCCATGCGGGAAATACCAATAACGAAGTTGAGAAGCTGGCGGAGACGATCTGTGAGTGGGCGCAGGAGATGCTAGACATCGAGGAAAGCGGCAAAGGTGGTGCGAAGATCCCCAGTGCGGCACGGCAGGTGCAAGCGTACCAGGCTGCTGCGGAGACAAAAGGGGTCAAGGCGTAATGAAGATGTTGATAATGATGATAATGATGATAATGATGATGATGCTGGTGGTGGTGGTGGTGGTGGTGAATGTCACGTAAAGAGGCGAGGAGATGCCAAATCGAATGCCGGGTGAAATGATTCTGCCAAGTTCCAATTATGAGCACTAAAGCCTCTCCTGTTTGATCGTGCCGCGGTGCGTAGGAGCAAGTGGTGTTCATTCGTGATTCCCGAATCGAAAGACACATCCATAGTATCATTCCTCCTCGTATAGAGAGCGAGGGTGTTAGCTCGACTATTCCTTAAGTATGTGCCGAAGACGGGGCCAATCTTTAGGACGCGGAGGAATGAGTGATGCGAAAGCATCATCCATGATCATACAGTGGCAGTTCTAATTACAACCTGATGCCAGACTCGGCGTCCTCTAAATGGCTCCGTACTTGATTTTTACCTATCGAGCGATCTAGGATGTAGGTTCGGCGTGGCTATTACGATTGTGGTGGGGAATAGGGATTCAGGTACATCGAATGACCGGGTGTTCCGTCAGAGTGTCCCCAAGCAGTCGGGCCGGACACCAACTGGTGCTCCTCCCGGTATGCTCCTGATAGGTGATATGACTCCGCTACTAGGCACGGCGAATCGTCTGCGAGACCTGGTGAATAATTTGCAGACCCGGCTAGGGTGGGGATCCTTTCGAGCCGGATAGTAGCTTGGTGTGGCTTGACTGATTCCGGAAAAATGCTGGACAGGACTCTGTGAGAAGCATCCGAAGGCTGAGAATTCGTACTAGCGTCGTGTGTTGAAGCCAGCTCCTGCACTGAGGCGCTGATATCGAATACGGAATCCAGGTAGTATCCCTTAGCATTGCTGTAGGGGCTGCAGGGTAGATGAGAGCCCCCCTTTTGTGTCGATTGCGGAGCGCTGCCGCAGGGGTTGAGATAACTGCCCACGGCCCCTGACCCCGTGCAACTGACACAGGGAAGCTTTGGCTGAGGTTCGTGCGAGGAGATGGCATGGAACATCCGCATGGAAGCTTGTATTTCCGTGATAGCATCGTCCAGCCGGTCCACCTGGTTCCTTAAGTCATTGATCTGGCTGGCGCTTCGATAGATTAGCGTCTTCCTAGTGTCACGCAGACAGGGTATTGCGCGCAACCTACAGCAATGCAGTCTGGTTCGGCTTTTTGCCCTGACTGGACCATTCGCAGCTGTGACCGAAGCGGATGCAGTTGGCACATTTGGGACGCTCCCGGCCACAGCGTATTTTTCGTATTCGACATTCTCGGCAGACTATGAAACGGGGCACAGTGAGCTCATGTAGATCATGATTGATCCCAGATCGAACCTACCTGGATAGTCCTTCGAGGCCGCTTGGAGAGTCATGTTCAGCTGGTATCTTTCACGGAGCGGTCTATTCCAGCACAGCTTCTTGAACAGCTGCGCACTGAAGTTTACGCAGCTGGCAGACTACCGCTAATGTCTTAAGGGGGACACCGCATCTCACCCGCACCCCTCAGACTCAGACTTAGGGTATGAATCTGCAGTGACAGCATGGTACCATCACGCTTCGCCGCAAGTGGTGCTGCGCGTAAGATTTAGGGTAGACCGTCACATCCTTCTCTATATCCAGCCGTGCAGAGCGGCAGATGCATGGGCGCCTTGAAGGATAGAGAGCCCCCAAGAAGGATTCCTCCTGCAGGACGGTAAGTAGGTAAGGAGGAGCGGAATTGGTCCCGTACACCCAACCATCGCAGTCGGCGCACCTCCCCGACAAAGCCAACCTGGTAGCAAAGAACACTCCCGCAGCCGACGGAGTTTTAGGTCGGGAGACCGGCGGAAAACGCAAGCGCGCTAAATGGTGCAACCACGGGCAGGGATCATATGGCGTCAAGATAAGCAACACCGGCTGAACCAATCCCCGTGGTGGAGGTTTTATTAAAGGCAAGGCGACGTGTTCCGTCCGGACTAGCATTAGTAATGCTCGACAGGTAGAATAGGTGCAACACCCTACCAGCTGCCAGACTAGTGATCCTATAACTACCCAGTGACTGTAGGCGAACCGTAGAAAGTAAGCTGCTAGAGTACTTTCCAATAGCCCCGCCGGATAGCTTTCTCAGGGTCTAGCGACTCCGGCCCACCCCCAGCCGAATTTCCCAGGTAGCCATGTCAGAATGCTGCGAGGGCATCTCCATTACCGACTCCAAGGCGCAGTCTGAGTGTGCCCAGGAGAAATCGACTGGCCTGGATGCATCCAATCTGTCACTGCCAGTGCCTCGGGAGGCAGATAGTACCCGCCGCAAGAAGCCGTGGTCCTTTTTTCTCGCCTTCCTTGCCCTGCTGTTGATGGTCTTTCTGGTGTCGCTCGATGCGACCACTTTGGCTGTCGCCATCCCGGTATGTCTCCTACCGTACGCTTAGCACCAGAGTCGCGTGTAAAATCCCTGATGATAACCAAGCTCACGTTGACTTTATAGGCCATTACCAGTGAACTGTCCGGGACTACACTCACAGCCTTCTGGGCCAGCATCTCCTTCACCCTGGCCGTTGTGGTCGTCCAACCGATCTATACCAGTGTTTCCGACATTATTGGACGAAAGCTTCCACTCTATGCCGCGTTTTTTCTCTTCTTCGTCGGCTCCATTGTCTTCTCCGTCGCCCCGAGCATGGCCGTCCTGATCTTAGGTCGGGTGCTACAAGGGCTCGGAGGTGGTGGCCTGGACGTTCTCAGTGAAGTTATCGTTGCGGATATTACCACTCTCCAGGAACGTGCCCTGTATATCGGTCTGCTATCAATTCCCATGGCAGCCGGTAGCATCTTAGGGCCTATTCTTGGGGCGTTGTTCAGCGAGTATGTGGACTGGCGGTGGATTGGGTGGATCAATCTTCCCATCATTGCTGCGGCAGTCCTGCTGGCAATATTCTTCATGCGTCTCAAACCAGTGACCGACTCGTTCCGTACACAGCTTGCACGGCTGGACTGGCTGGGGATTGTGCTATTCACAATCGGATGCACAGTGTTCACATTGCCTCTGAGCTGGGCAGGCAACATGTACCCGTGGAAATCTTGGCAGACAATCGTGCCCTTGGTGATCGGAGTGCTGGTTCTGGTGGGTTTCGCTGTCTATGAGTCTCGACCAGAAGCTCCAGTGTTTCCATATCGCATTTTCCGGTCACGGACAGCCCAGATGTCCCTTATTGGAAGCTTTATTCACGGCCTCGTCCTATACACTTTGTTAATGTACTTGCCGTTGTTCTTCCAGGCTGTGTACCTTGAATCGGCACTGAAATCGGCTATTACTATGCTCCCGTTTTGCTGCGTCCTCATGGGATTCACGGGCATCGCGGCCTGGGCGCTAGAATATTTTCGGAGTTATCGCTGGGAGATTTGGGGGGGCTGGGTCTTTCTCACTGTCGGGGTTGGACTTTTTTCTCTTTGGCAACGTGGTACCGACCTTGCGATGACGGCGAGCTTCCAGGCTATTGCGGGAGTCGGGATTGGCACGCTCTTTACGGTCCCTCCCATTCCGATGCAAGCAAGCGCTCCGACCACCGAAGACCAAGGCCTGGCCATAGGAATCATGGTTTCTTTCCGACTCTTTGGAGCACTCATCGGGCTTGCCATCGGGTCCACCACGTTTGGAAGTGTTTTCGAGCGCTCTCTGTCGTCGGTCTCGTTGCCAGAGTCTTTGGCCTTTCTCCGAACAGCCAATGAAGCCGTAAGCTATATCCCTCACCTCAGGACCGCAGATATGTCCCCGTTACTTCGGAGTGAAATCCAGGATGCGTACAAGGATGCCATGCAAACCATTTGGTATATCTTAACGGCTTTTGGTGGGGTGGGATTTTTCACCTCGTTCTTGATCGAGCAACTGAACATCGAGACAGAAGAGCTGGGCAGGCAGCATTTTGAGCACGAGTCAGCATAGTGGCTATGCGAGTACATCATTCACTGGAGTGATGTTGACACCTATATACAGCAGCGTGGATGGAGCTGGTTCTGAATCTATGTCACGATACTAGAAGGCAGTGTAACTGGCTTTGATTGAAATTGTATTTTATCCCTTACCGCTCCAGGGCAGAGTGAGTCTTAGGGATGTAAGGCTCTTCCAAGTACTTGATCTCCTCATCGGTCAGCTTGACCTTGATACTGGCAACAGCCTCGTCGATCCGTTCCTTGCTGTTGAGTCCAAGAATGGGGTTCTCATTGGGATGGCTCATGGACCAAGCGATGGCCACCTGGGCCATGCTGGCGCCCTTCTTCTTGGCGACCTCTTCGACACGGTCGACAATGGCCTTGTCCGATTCTGTCTCGCGGCTACGGATCAGAAGTTTGAGGGCTCCGTCTGTAGACTCTCGAACGGTAGAGCGCGATCCCCAGGGCCGGGCCAAGACACCCCGAGCCATGGGTGACCAGGGGATTAAACCCACGCCGGTGTCAAGGCAGTAGGGGATCATTTCGCGTTCTTCCTCTCTGGCGATAAGGTTGTGGTAGTTCTGCATGCAAATAAACTGGTGCCAGCCATTGCGAGCAGCGATGTTTTGGAGAGTCTGGAACTCCCAGGCAGCCATCTAGGGGGTGTAAATGAGTCTAAGAGGTCGCTGGAAGAGAGCGGGAACGCCGAGACACTTACCGAGCTCGCTCCAATGTATCTAACCTTCCCGCTTTCGATCACGTCGTTAAGAGCCCTCATGATCTCCTCACGAGGGGTGTCACGGTCCAACCGATGGATTTGTAGCACATCAATATAGGTTCCCAGTCTCGCGACACTAGCGTCGACCGCATCAAAGATGTGTTTGCGGGACAGGCCAACCCGATTGACAAATTCACCCTCGTTGCGACCGGAAGCAGCAATGGAAGGAAAGCCCCCTTGGTCGTCCACACCAAAGAAACATTTGGTTAGAATGACAACCCGGTTACGGGGGATGGAGAACTTTTTCAGGGCTTTGCCAACGATCTCTTCCGAACGGCCGTGAGAGTAAACGTCAGCCTGGGGGCTAATTAGCAGTTTATTGTAGGCGAAGAAAAGCGGCTCGACGTACCGTATCCCACGTGTTGATTCCACGCTTGTAGGCATGTTCGATCAAAGGGAGGGCGTCCTCCTCGTCCAGCACCCAATCTTGCCACTGTTTGGTGCCATAGGACATGGTACCCAGAATGACCTTGGAAATCTTCAGGCCCGAGTTTCCCAGGCTATATGACAATTGCATTAGCCCCGTATGCTTCAGGACACTCACTGTCTACATACCGGACATATTCCATCTCATTGGAGGCCATGGTGGTGTTCGGATTCGACTGCAAAAGCAATGGTTAGCCATGATGTCATTCCAACATGCGCTCGGATAGGTGCGGAGAATTAGTACACAGTAGTGAATGCAGGGAGCACTGACAAGTCGGAATCACAGCTGATATAGAACTCGGAAAACTTAGAAGATTTGTGGAGGATAATCTGGCAGGATTCGCGAAGACTAAGAGAGAAGGAGACCCGCTTTGATGGGACTGCAAGCTGCTTATCGATCCTATGCCGAATATGAGGCTGCTTGATGGCTTAGTGCTAGTGGCCATCATCGTTGAGAGTCCCCACTGGAACTGCCGAAAGCGCGAAGCGATGATGTGCAGAGCCGATGAGTAACCGACTAACTTCCTCGGGTTCCCAACATCGGGCCGGGAGTTCGGTAGGGTTTATCTATCTGGCAGTACTGGCACATCATGCAGATGATTATCAGAGTTCACAACGAGGAACCTACATTAGTAGCAGCAGTAGTAGTATTGTAGTAAACCAGGAGTGGATGGAGACAAGGAAAAAGAAGAAGAAAGAAGGAGGGGGACGAGGGAGGCCGAGGGGCCGGTCAGGTGGGGTTCCCGTGACATCTTGCCGTCTTCCTCCTTCAAGTTCTCTCTGTTCTCTCTCTCGTCTTCTCTCTTGTCTTCGTCTTCTCTCTCCTCTACACACCCCCCTTCGACGACTGGACTGTTTTGAATAATGTAGCGAGTCTAGGTCTCTCTGGAGTATCCTCTGTGACCTGTCTAGGCATCATTCAGCTCCTGTGGATGGGTTTCCCCTCGGACCCCGCCAATGAACAGGATTGGTGGCGTGGGCGCCACGGGGTTTCCGGGGAAGATTCGCGCTCGACATGATGAATACCGGGGCCTCCAAACTGGCAGGGCTACTGGAAGAGTAACAAAATCAGCGGTCCACCTGACGTTCTCTTTTTTTTTTTTTTTTTTTTTTTTTCTCGTTTCGCGACCATCATCAGCCATGCTGTGTACCGTCATGCACGTGGCGCAGGTATCACGGAACATATGGCTTGGCCACAGCCTGGTCGAGTTGCCCCTCCCGCATGATGAACGGGACACACGAACACCAGGGGCTGGCTGAACTGTAACTCAAGCCAAGCTCTGTATGTCATGCCGTTCGAGCAGACCGGAAACACCGGCGGGTAGAACGAATTGTGGTAAAATTTCCCGAGCTGGGTCTGATCACAGCCTACCGAGCATTGATCCAGGCGATGCTACTGGTTGTCGGTGGTTCAGCCAACTTCTGCAGAACGTGCTGCATGAATTCCCTTAGCACTTGGCCCGGTTTCCAACGTCACCAATCGGTCTTCTTTGCAGTTCCAAGGGACTTGCGTAATTCCTCCACCCTGCAGCCTGACGCCCAGATAGACTTGCACCTGATTAAACAATCAACTGTGCCTGAGCTGATAGACATCCGGACAGGTATCCTGTTCATGCAGGCGATGATGATGTGACTGCTATCCAATGCTGACTCGCTGGATGAACATCTCTCCTTCCAGTGACAAAATATTGTTGCATGCATGTGGCTTCCAACAGGAAGCGCGGGGATGTATACCGGGGATGCATACCCGACTGCATCACCTGTCTTCATTGGATTTGCGCTATTTTCAATTCTCCCAACTCACGTTGACAGAACCTCACTGGACACTCTATACCGATGACAGATGCGGACTGGGTCATCCTCTCATCACATCGCAGAACTGTGTTGAACTAGCGCCAAGGCAAACAAGTACACCCGTATGGCTAGCAGCTTTGCTTCATGTAGGAACTCAACGTACTATCCTGAGGTTTCTGTTCTTGTACAGCCCAGCAGCTGCATATGAACAACCAATGATGGTGGATGGTCAAGGAAACCGACGGGCAATGATGTGAACTCCAGAGGAAACCTGTGGCCAGCCACCCGACTGCTGGCTTTAGCAGCCGCCGGCAGCTTGTGAATGCTTACGGTCCATCACATTCCAGATGGAATTGTGGCTAGCTGGGTTGGCCACTCTGAAGTCATTTCTTTCTCGATAGGGATACTCGTCGCGAGCAATTGCTCAGCACATCGCAGGATTCATGCCCAACGGAGACACCATGTCGCTATTCCAGAGATCTGAGTGTTCGAGGGCAGCTGAAATGTGATACATCATGCAGATGGTAGTTCGTAGCGAAGTTTCCATTGGCATGCCTCCAAGGACTACTCGAAGTGGCTCTGCCATTCGCAAATGTGAATCCCTCCAAGTCTTCCCGGCGGCAAAGTGAAGCTGAATCGATTCGAAGCCATTATCTAGTTCTACAACTATATAAGGCAGGAGGATCACCCTTCATAGCCCTCCTTCTCAGCACCATCGCCATCAAAGCTCGCACAGCAAAGACAGAGTCCATCTCTCAGCCTTTCTATCTCAATCCAAACCATCAATTGTTCTCAATATGTCTACCATTGTGACCACTGCTCCTCCTGTCCAGACCATGTCTCTCCAGACTATTTCGCACCAGGGCGCTTCGGATGAAGAGCTCCTGACGCTCTTCCGCAAAGTGACCATCGACAGCGCCGATGGCCACGACGTCTCGGAGATGCAGATCAAGAAGGCCTTCCAGCAGAAGATTAGCCGGCCCCTGGGCCGACAGGTCCTGGAGGCATCCTTGGCCCATGCAAACTCATGCTCGTGCTACCACTGGAACTACCACGACAGAATCAGCGGCAAAGTCACCATCAGCCGCGTCGAATTGTCCTTCGACCTCAACTCCAAGAATATGGGCCAGGCCGTCACGGGTGAAGCTTCTGGCTTCTTCAGGCCTAACAGTGCCTATATCAAGTATGTCCCATCAATCTCTCTTCTGAGCCCCCAAACCTCTGACTGCACTCAGTGCCACCATCTACTACGACGATCAGCAAACCCTCCAGGGCAACCAGAGCATCCAAGTCTACATGGACGGAAGTGTATGTCACGATCCTCTCCGACTTCCCTCCATAACATAATCGGTAGAGACCTCACCACTAACCCGCATTCCAGAAATTCATCATTGACTTCTACCCCACCGACGCTTCCGAGAAGCCTATCGCTCGTATCGTCCAGGAGAGCTCCTCTTTCTGGATTCCTGGCCCTGACCGTGGCGATGCGACTTGGTCCAAGTAGTTGCGCTCAGAGCTCCTTGGGATAGTATCCAATGGCGGTAGCCATCACAGTGGCAGCTGGTTGATGCGGATCAAGATGAATTGATGTTTCGGGTTTTTGTCTTTGACCTTTCTGCTTTTCTGCTTGATTGTTTCTGTTTTGTGTTTTTCAGTCGCTCCTTATGATAGTTAGTCTGGCTTTTAGTTAGTATATGAAATATAGCAGGTCCGCATCGATTTAAGTGCACGTCAATCCGTAGATGACGTATCATAGCTTTCTAGAATACCATCCATACAAAATTCACCACCCACATGCTCCCTTGCCCCAATAGTACATTTACAAGTCTTGGTATCTAGTAACAAGTTGTAAAACACGACACTCTCCATACTAGTAGTATAGCATCAATCTAAAAAAGAATCTAAATATATTCATTATCCATAGAAAGTCATCCACCTCTACCCTCTAACCCCAACCAACCAAACATCAGCATTTATATCACCCTGGTTCCATCTGTACACATTTTTATAATCCAACATGCCATCCAAGAACTTTTGTACTACCCAAAACGTCATAACGCTGTATATGTATCATAGCATATAAACCCACGCAAGAAGAACCAAAAAGAATAAGCACGCTAGCGATCAAGTCTGAATCTATGCGGAACCGCCACGACCACCAACATTCGCAAGTGCCTTCTTCTGATCCTCGCTCAGTTGGGCCGTGGGGAGCGGACGAGCTGCGGTCGACGCAGCGGTCGGGGGAGGAAGGAATCCAATCTTGACGAGGTAAGAGGCGTACAGACCGACCAGCTCTTCGGTCACGCCGGCTCCGGCGGAGGCGTCGATGCCGGACCAGGCGGCGTCGGCACGGAGAGAGGCAGCGGCGTTGACGTCGTCGAGTTCGGGGGCCTTGGTGTTGGAGGGGAGATCGGAGGTCACGAAGTGGTAGAGGGGCATGCTGGATTGTGTTGTTAGGATCTTGATGAGATAGTAAGAGGCGGTGGAGGAACTTACAGTGCGTGCTGAGACTCCGGGTCATCGTGCTGTCCGTCGTTGACGTACTGTTCCAGGGACTTGGACCAGGGAACGTAATCGACCTGCGGGACGTCATATCCGTACAATTGGAGAGCACCCAGGAACTGGTTGAACCGGAGTCGGGGGTGTCCTGTGACCTGGGCAACGCCAATGGGCGTGCAAGGAGGCTGGAAAGCGGCGGCGATAACCACGCGAGCGACATGGTCCACGGGGACCATGTTGACGGTGTTGTTGATGTTGGGACGAGAAGACAACTGGATGCATCCCTTGATCATACGGATGAGGAAATCATCGGTGTTCGTGGCTAGTGTTGTAGGTTAGCATGGGTGTATCAAAATAAAAGACCGGGTTATCTGCTTACTTCCTGTCTGGGAGTCACCAAGGACGTATCCAGGACGAACGACGGTTCCCTTCAGACCCCTACGGCCAGCCTCCCGGACCAGGTATTCTCCAGCCCATTTGCTTTGGCCGTAACCGGTTCCGAGTCCCACGCTGCTGCCCTCAAGGTCATCCTCCTCGCTGATACCTGCGCCGCCAGCCGCAATAATACGCTCGGATTCCGAGACATAGTGATCGCTGTCGAGAACGCTGGTGGAACTGACGAAGGAAAACTGCTTGGGCTTGCCGGTTGCGCAGAGCTTAAGCGCATCGATCGTACCCATGACGTTGGCAGGCTTAAGGGTAGAGTAAGGGTAGACCCAGTGCACCAGGGCGCCGTTGTGGATCACGGCATCCACACGCTTGGTCAAGTCATCCCAAAGAGCATCCGAGAAACCGAAGCGGGGCTCTCCCAGGTTACCGCACACGCATTGCAGCCTGCTAGTCCATGCCTCGTCCCAGAAACCATACGCGCGGCAGGTGGAACGGATACGCTCGAGCGCCTGGTCATCGGACTTGCCACGAACCAGAGTCACGACCTTGGCCGTGGGCGACTTGCGAGTCAGAAGATCGTGAAGGATATGTGCGCCCAAGAAACCAGTAGCACCAGTCAGGAAGATGGTTGGCTCGCTGGAAAGGATGGGCTCGGTACGGGTGGGGAAAGAGGCAGGCAGAGTCTCTGCCAGCTTCCGTGCATCCTTGGAATATTCATCATCGAGCTCATCAGGGACAACCGAGGCATCCGTATCAGCAGTGGTACGATCGTCGTTGGTGGCGAAAGACTCGAAGTTCTGCAGACGGTCGATTTCGGCAGCGAACCCCTTGAGACTAGGGCTGCGGAAAATAGCATTCATGCTGATGTCGATTCCGCGCCACTTGCGTCGGATGTCGAAGAACATTTGCTGGGCCAGAATACTGTGTCCTCCGAGGTCGAAGAAAGAGTCGTCGGGTCCGATCATACGAGCCGTGAGGTTGGGGATGCGTTGGGCCCAGATCGAAGCCAGCGCCTGCTCGGTTTCCGAAAGAGCTTGAACCACGGACGACTTGCGACGAGGAGCCGCGGCGCTAAGCTCTGCGGTATCAGGGAAGGGCAACGCAGGCTTGTCAATCTTGCCGTTGGGGTTGAGAGGCATGCGCTTGAGGGGAATGAACACCGTCGGCACGGCGTAGGAGGCGAGCTTGCTACGAAGCAAGTCACGAATATCGTCACGAAGAGGACGGAAGCGTCTAAGCATGCCAATCATGCCCTCAGCGGAGTCATCATCCTCAAAGCCCTTCTCCTGCAACCAAGCGGACCATTTGCTCATGTCCGGCACGAAATAACTGACCAGAGTCCGCTCCTCGAACTTGTCACGTCGCACCAGGGTGACGTTCTCTCTCACCAAGGGATGGCGGGACAGATGAGTATCGATCTCTCCCAGCTCGATACGGAAACCACGGATCTTCACCTGGTCATCTGCACGTCCCGAGCACTCGACCTCTCCCGAAGGAGTGTATCGGCCAAGATCTCCACTACGGTACAGGCGATCTCTAGGGCCCTGGTAGAACTGCCTCCAGGGTTCGTTTGAACCCTCGGCCTTGTCCTTCTGAACCCACGTGTCATTATCAACAAACCAGTTGTTGAGGAACTTCTTCTCGTTCAATTCCGGTGAGCCCAGGTAGCCCTCTGCAAGACCACCTGCGCGAACGTAGATTTCGCCAACTTCACCGATGGCACAGATGCGACTGGGCTCGAAGCGATTCACAACCAACATCTGAACGTCAAGCATTCCCCGACCTGCTGGGATAACGTCCTTCATGGTGTCGAGGTAGCCTTCGTCGCTCGAGTAGCTCGGGATCTCGAAGTAACTGACAGCACGCTGTGTTTCAGTTGTTCCGTACATGTTGACAATGTTGACGTTCGGGGCCAATGCCTGCAAGGAGCGGCAGTCGCGCTTGATCAGAATATCACCGACGAAGAAGGCATGGTGAAGAGTGGGAAATTGTGCCGAAGCACCGCCAACAAGAATCTGACCCATGGCAGGAGTAAGGTGGGTAACAGTGGCCCCGTATTCGCGCATCCATTCGGCGAGCTTTTCGTTCTGAATGTCTTCCCGGGCAGGGACCAAGAGCTGAGCCCCCAGGAAAAGGGGAGTGAAGATATCTCGCTGGATCGGGTCGTGAGCGATACCGCTGAGCATAGTGAATCGATCATTGGGGTTAAGCTGGAAGGTCTCCGACATCCATGGGAAGTAGTATGCGAGAGAAAAGTGACGACCCTTGACACCCTTGGGTCTGCCTTCGGAGCCAGAAGTGAAAGACAATGTAGGGGTGGAATCCGGTCCGACAACGACGCCGACAGGCTGGGCCTTCAATGAAACTTGGTTGGCCAGGACATCCTGCCCATTAATCGATCCGCCCACAAGGGAGCCATCATCGCAAAGGGCAAGGGCAGGAACTTCAGTGCGGAGCTCCAGATTCTTGTCAATGAATGAGCGGACCTCATCGGACAGCTCGCCAGCGTCCTTGGTAGCCTTCTCAATGTTGATCAGTGCTCGAGGGCGAGCCACATCAAGGTAGATGCACTGTCTTTCCGGAGGGTAGGCTGGATCAATGACGGAGAAGGTCGCGCCAGCCTTCAGGATACCCATCACGGCCACCACAAGGTCGACACCACGGTAGGCGTACACCATGACGACATCGCCTCTCTCCACACCCGATTGGACCAGATGATGGCCCAGAATGTTCGATGCCTCATTTATTTGCTTGTATGTGAACTCGCGGTGAGGGGAACGCTCCGACTTAGTCTCAACCACGCAAAGCTTCTCTGGGTGCTTTTCAGCATTTGCAGAGAAGATGTCGTGGATAGCACCCCGGAAGTTGGACCAGTTCAGGTTGGAGGTAGGGTCGGGAAGAAGGGCGAGTTGGTCCTCAGTCATGAAATCAATGCGCCCAATTGCTTGTTCCGGGTTGCTGGTCGCATTTTCAACCAAGCGGGCAAGCTGCTTGAGAATGGTAGAAATCCTCGCGCTGGAGAAAAGTCTTTGGTTATAGTAGGCACCCAATTCCGCCTGGGTTGTGGAGCCATCCGATGCACTGATGGGGGCGATGTTGACGACCAGGTCGGTCGTCTCGAAAGTGTTGGCGGGGTAATCCTGAGAAGCAGCAGGGGCATCGTAGGCAGCGAAGCGGAAGAGGACGGGAGAACGCTCGGACTGAGACTTTTCTTGGATATAGGACCGTAGACTACCCAAAGGTACGATCTCGGCAGATCCTTGTTCGAATGCCTAGATGAGGGTCAGATGGGATACATAATACGATACCCTACACGATCATACCTTCTGGACCTTGGCATACAGCTGAAGGAAGGTTTCGGATGCCTCAATTGGGACCCGTAGGACGAAGGGGCGACCATCGTCATTGGAGCTGGTTCCGATGGCAATATCCTCGTCGCCGGTGAGACGTGCGACGAGCACGACGAAGGCCGTCAGGAAGACAGTAAACCCAGACGAAGAGCCGGAGATCTTCTGTAGGGCCGATTGGGTCTCCTTGGACAATTTGATCGACTCGAAAGCTTCAATTGCCCTCTTGGGAAGCTCCTGCTTCTGGTTGTCGGGATAATCTCTGGTGAGGGGAGAGACTGTGAGGTTCTGGAGTCTCTGAGCCCATCGCTCGAGGCGCTCCTGCAAGGAGACTGTTTCGACCGCCATGGTTACGATGCCCTTGGACTTGAAGGGGGCGTCGAGCTGCACTGGCGGGTGTGAATGACTAGGAATGGCTATGAATAATGAAGGTAGTTGATGGGAAGAAGAGCGATGAGTCAAGAGGGGCACGCGAGAAAAAGTGCCGATGTCGGCTGCACACCACACACAGACCACACTAACCACAATCCGCGGTTGCAACTCACCCCACACTCGACCCTCTTTTTTCTGTCTTTCAGCAATATTACACCGCTTTTGCTGAGCCACAGGCGACAGTGGCTGACTAGTCCCGATGAAGCAAGTCTGCGCCAACTTACCCGCTTTGGTCTAGGCTCTGAGCCCTTTGCCAGGGATTCCTGGATTGGGCCTGATGAGACGCGGCGACGCAACGATACGATCAGGAACATCTGAAGTGCGACGCTCTACCCATCCGATCTGCCTGAGGTGCTTGATTCTCGCTTCTTACCTTCGCTTGCCATGGATTGATTCTTCTTCTCTCAGTGGATGTGTCTCTGACGTTACCCCACATCTTTATCTTTTTTTTCCCATTGTTATTTCCCCCTTCTTTTCACGCACTTGTTCACTCCTTTCTCTCCCCTGACCCCTAAAGACATTGACCGCATTAGGCGATCACTTAAGTCCTATCCGCACTGGGATAGGCGGAAGCCTCAAGTATCCGATCGCCCTTTGCAATCTTGACCCTGCCGGGCTTCGACTCTACGAATTCCCTTGATTTATCAGATCAGGTCTGATCCAGGCCGTGCGTCTCATGCCAAAATGATCCCTCATCGGAGCACGGCTCTTATTACCATCATTGTGTTCGTCGCCTTGGTCTTGGTCATATTCTCTTCCTCCCCGGCTTCTGATCCTTCCTCTGGAGAAGAAGTCTCCGGCCCCGCCAAATATGTACCGAAATTGCCTTCGTTTAGTGACCTGCATCTGCCGTCCTTCCATCCCACGGTGCATACCCCTCCGGAGCCGCAACCCAACAGTACGAGCGGCGAATCCAAGTGGTTCAGCGACTGGTCGTGGATCAATCCTTTTTCGTCGTCTATCACCCTCGATGAGAGCCGCACCGTCCTCCCTCCTCTCAGACATCGGCCGTTCATCTATACCTATTACGAGCCGAATAAGGGAAACGATCGCGAAGAGGATAATGCCGACGCACAGCTTCTTCTCGCCTGGCGTAGGGCTTGGTTTGCACAAGGATTTCGTCCTGTCATTCTAGGGCCCGGGGAGGCCATGAACAACCAACTTTATGAGCTCGTCCAGCCCATGAACTTGAAGCCTGAGCTCGAAGCAGAATTGTTTAGATGGCTCGCATGGGGGCACATGGGTGATGGTATGCTTGCAGATTGGCATTGCTTTCCAATGGCAAGGTACGATGACGCACTGCTCACCTACTTGCGTCGTGGCACCGACCCTGCTCTTATCACACGCTTCGACCGCATTGGAAATGCTCTCTTTGCTGGCGAGAAATCAAGGATCAATGATGCTATCAAGAAGGCAATAAAGAAGGTGAATGACAAGTCCACCTCTATGGTGGAACTGATTCCCGCGGATTTCTTCACGGTGGAAGACTCGAACGCGTTAGCTTTATATGACTCGGCTGCTATTACCAGCTTCTACTCTGCAGTTGCCGAGAAGATTGTTTCCTCACCTACCGCTGGACGATTGGCGTTGGCGGAGCTAATCAATGCCCACTTGCACAACACTCTTCAGAATGCCTTTCCAGCCGGCATTGCCGTCTTAAAACCCTTTCCAGAGCATACAACAGCGCTGGTAGAACCAGCCTTGCGGCTTGCCAAAGCTCTTGTCCAATGTCCGAGCTCCCCCGTGCCGCGTTCATGCCCTCCGAATTTGCAGAAATGCCATCCCTGTGATGCGGAAAAACCAATGCAAATCAGCCAACCGGCGACCTACAGGAATACAACCCAGGTTTTTACCATTGGAACACTCCCGCATCCTTTTACGCTCATTAGCCTGCAACAAGATTCTACAGAAGTCACAACACGGCACATTCGGCGCGAGACAGACCGTGATGTGTGGTTGGCGGAAGTGACCAAGGAGCATTTGGGGACTGAGATCGGTGGCTCCCCAAGGGCTGTTGTTTTCAAGAGGGCTGTTGCCGATGACGCCGTCGTTGGCACCTCTCTGTGGATGACTGTCGAGACTCTGCCGCCTCAGGCTGGTCAATCTTTGCCATCCGAGCTTTTGGACGAGTTTGAATGGCAATTCGGGTTCCACATCCCTCGTGATGGCAAGGTTGATGCGAAGAATGAAGGAGAGACAAAGGAATCCGTGCAACAGGCCAATCCGAACGAGCAAGGTGTCGAGAAGGAGTACAACATCTTGAAACAGGCTCGTGAGTTCCTGAAGGGCAAAGGGACTAACCGAGTCGGTATCACCGATGTGGCGGAGGCGTGGAATTTGGCGGACACTGAAGTCTGGCGTTTTGTGAGAGCATACCGGTATGTATTGCCAAGGAATCACCACAAGATATCCATTGTTTCCCTTTTTCCTTCGTCTGGCACGTGAAGGGTTAGCAACTTAATAATCCCGAGCTAATATGTTACTGCTCTTAGGGCCCGAAGTGTCGTGGAACGCACGAAATGGGAAGAGGAAGAAAGAGACTTTGTTGGAGCTAAGCCAAAAGTATAAAGTGCCTCCTCGTTTGCACCTATATACAAACTACCGTCGCTTTCTGGTGTAGATTTGTTTCTCTTTGATCGCTTGTTGAATCTTTTGAACTACGTGGAGTATTATGTTGAATTACCACGGGACACGGGCCGGAGCATTTGGAGCGGCGTTGATTTGATGCTGAAGATACCTGTTCTTGCCTAGCTGTCGCCAATTTGAGAGCGTTGGCTTTTAATAATCTAAATTATTCGTTGTCTTGTTTTCCAAGATAGATCTAATTCACGGCGAGCTACCTTCTTGCCTAAAGTATAGAAGACAAAAGTCTACTACAACAAGTGACCGTAGAGCATTAGATAAACCGATGACTCATGTATCTTTGAAACCGATCGAATCCAACCTTTCGTTGATTGAACCGCATTATACAACATTTATTGCTCCGAACAGCGCCAGTTTTCCATGGTGCTAGCACCAGAGACCCCCAAAGCAAGGCACCAGTGAGAGCCGCCGGATTGACGATCAGGTGACCCAGCCCGTTGGTTTCCGCCCATCGGACAGTGGCGATCGCCGCCAGTGGTTATCCGCGGTGGGGGGCGGCGATAAGCTGCTCCATGACACCATTTCCGTGGTCGTGCCTCTCCCTGCGACTTGGGGAAACTTTCCCCCCCTTGTTCACCGTCTCGCCACCATCATTCTCACACTATCTAGCTATATACTTGACCCTGAGTATCTTCACGCGTCGGATTTTATCCTAACTCTTAACCACCTATACCATCACTGGTCGATCTTGGCGTCCGCTCACCTTTGCGGGGAACTCGACTCGCCGCATTTGAGTTTCAGGCCACAAGATGGCTCCAGGCATTTTGGAATCACCAAAGCCTACGGTGGCTGCCAGCAAGGTAGTTACCTTGGCTCAGCTCACAGAGGACTGGGACGACACGATTCGTTTCTACCTCAACGGCACCAAAGTCGTCCTAGACTCGATCAATCCTGAAGTCACGCTATTGGAATACCTGCGGGGAATCGGGTTGACAGGAACGAAACTAGGATGTGCGGAAGGTGGCTGTGGCGCTTGCACTGTTGTATGTGATAAGTTAGTTTGCTGCGATTCGGGTATGTGCTGACATAGGGCAGGTTGTGTCGCATTTAAATCCAACGACTAAGAAGATTTACCACGCGTCGGTAAATGCTTGTCTCGCGCCCTTGATAAGTGTGGATGGGAAGCATGTTATCACGGTGGAGGGTATCGGAGATGTGAAGAATCCCCACGCTATTCAACAACGGCTTGCGATTGGTAATGGGAGTCAGTGCGGTTTTTGTACTCCAGGAATCGTGATGGTATGCGTCTTGATGAAAGCAGGAGATTGAATAAGCAGGGGACTGGAATAATGCTAATAATACTATAGAGCCTTTATGCCCTCATCCGCAATAACCCCCAACCGTCAGAACATGATGTGGAAGAAGCTTTTGATGGAAATCTGTGTCGCTGCACTGGATACAGGCCTATATTGGATGCTGCTCAGAGCTTCATGGCCCCCAAGGGCTGTGGGAAAGCTCTGGCCAACGGGGGAACAGGTTGTTGCATGGACAAGCAGGATGGCTCTGGGGGTTGTTGCAAGCAGCCATCGGCAGACACCGCAGATGGAGATGGCCCAAAATTCACGCCGCCAGACTTCATCAGCTATAACCCAGGCACAGAACTTATTTTCCCGCCTCATCTTCACAAACATGAATACCGACCTTTGGTTCTCGGTAACAAGAAGAAGAAGTGGTACCGTCCGGTCACTATAGAGCAACTTCTGGAAATCAAGGCTGTTCACCCTGACGCTAAGATCATTGGGGGAAGTACGGAGACACAGATCGAGGTCAAATTCAAGGCCATGAAATACAGCGCTTCTGTCTATGTCGGTGACATCCCGGAGCTTCGCCAGTATTCGCTGAAAGATAATCATTTGGAAATTGGAGCCAATGTCTCTTTGACTGATCTGGTATCAATCTGCGACGAAGCTCTTGATCGTTATGGGTCTCTGCGGGGCCAACCATTCAGCGCCATCAAAAAGCAGCTTCGCTATTTTGCTGGAAGACAGATTCGTAATGTCGCATCACCAGCAGGGAACCTGGCTACTGCGTCTCCAATCTCGGATCTGAACCCAGTGTTTGTGGCCACCAATACCGTTCTTGTGGCTATGTCGCTGGGGGAGGTCATTGAGATTCCCATGAACCAGTTCTTCAAGGGTTATAGATCGACCGCGCTCCCGGCCAACGCTATCATTTCCGGTCTACGGATCCCAGTTGCGTCTGAAAAGGGAGAATATTTGCGTGCTTACAAGCAGTCAAAGAGAAAGGATGATGACATTGCCATTGTAAATGCAGCCTTGCGGGTGTCTCTCTCCCCATCTCATGATGTGCTGAGCGTGAATCTCGTCTTTGGAGGTTTGGCACCAATTACCGTGTCTGCACGAAACGCGGAGGCCTTTTTGGTTGGCAAGAAATTCACCAACCCTGCTACCCTTGAAGGCACCATGAGCGCTTTGGGGCAGGATTTCGATTTGAAGTTTAGTGTTCCTGGAGGAATGGCAACCTATCGCAAGTCCCTCGCTCTGGGATTCTTCTACCGGTTTTACCACGATGTATTGTCTGGCATCCAAGTCAGAGAAGCAGATGTTGATGAAGATGTTATCGCCGAGATCGAAAGAGCCATCTCTTCAGGAGAGAAGGACCACGAGGCTTCTGCGGCATACCAGCAAAAGATCCTCGGAAAGGCTAGTCCTCATGTCTCTGCATTGAAGCAAGCTACAGGAGAGGCCCAGTACACCGATGATATGCCTGTACAGAAGAATGAGTTGTACGGCTGCCTGGTGCTCTCGACCAAAGCACATGCTCGTCTTCTCAACGTGGACCCGACGGCAGCGCTCGATATTCCTGGCGTTTTCGACTACGTGGACCACACCGATCTTCCTAACCCACAAGCCAATTGGTGGGGTGCTCCAAAGTGTGACGAGGTTTTCTTCGCGGTCGACGAGATTACGACTGCTGGCCAGCCTATTGGCATGATCCTCGCAACGTCGGCCAAAATCGCGGAAGAGGGTGCGAGAGCAGTCAAGGTAGAATATGAGGAGTTGCCGGCAATTTTGAGCATCGAAGAAGCCATCGAGGCTGGGTCTTTCTTTGAACATTCCCGCTACATCAAGTGTGGTGATCCTGAGAGTGCCTTCAAAGAGGCAGACTACGTCTTTACAGGAGAATCGAAAATGGGTGGCCAGGAGCATTTCTATCTCGAGACTCAGGCTTGTGTTGCTATTCCTAAGCTGGAGGACGGAGAGATGGAGATCTGGAGCGGTACTCAGAACCCTACAGAAACGTGAGTTACGGGATCCACCATCTAGTAAGATATATTGCTAACACCATTGCAGACAAACATACGTTGCACAAGTCGTTGGGGTGGCTGCCAACAAGATCGTGTCTCGAGTAAAGCGTCTCGGTGGCGGTTTTGGTGGGAAAGAGAGTCGATCGGTTCAGCTGGCCGGTATTTGTGCCACTGCTGCCACGAAGGCAAAGCGAGCTGTTCGATGCATGCTCAACCGAGATGAAGACATTGCTACTTCAGGCCAACGTCATCCATTCTTCTGTCGCTGGAAGGTTGGTGTGACTAAAGAAGGCAAACTCCTGGCGCTTGACGCGGATGTCTACTCCAACGGTGGCCACACACAGGATCTCTCTGGTGCGGTCGTGGAAAGAGCACTGTCGCACATTGACGGAGTGTACCGGATTCCTAACGTCCATGTTCGCGGCCGTATCTGCAAGACGAACACCGTTTCCAACACCGCATTCCGTGGCTTTGGTGGTCCCCAGGGTTTGTTCTTCGCCGAATGCATTGTCTCAGAGGTTGCAGACCATCTCAATATCCCAGTCGAACAATTCCGTTGGCAGAACATGTACCAACCCGACGAGAAGACCCACTACAACCAGGCGCTCAAGGACTGGCACGTGCCATTGATGTATAAACAGGTCATGGAAGAAAGCTCGTACGAGGAGCGGCGAAAGTCGGTGGAGGAGTATAACAAGAAGCACAAATGGTCCAAGCGCGGAATGGCCATCATTCCCACCAAGTTCGGTATCTCCTTCACGGCACTCTTCCTGAACCAAGCGGGTGCCCTGGTCCACATCTATCACGATGGGAGTATCCTTGTTGCTCACGGCGGAGTCGAGATGGGACAAGGCCTACACACCAAAATGACCATGATTGCAGCCGAAGCCCTCGGCGTGCCTCAATCAAGCGTGTTCATCTCCGAGACTGCCACGAACACGGTAGCAAACACATCTGCCACCGCTGCCTCCGCCAGTTCCGATCTCAACGGCTACGCCATCTTCAACGCCTGTGAGCAGCTCAACGAGCGTCTCCGGCCCTACAAGGAAAAGATGCCCGGAGCCACAATGAAAGAACTCGCCCACGCAGCCTACTTCGACCGAGTCAACCTCTCCGCGCAGGGCTTCTACCGGACCCCGGACATCGGCTACGTATGGGGCGAAAACAAAGGCCAAATGTTCTTCTACTTCACCCAGGGCGTCACCGCCGCCGAAGTCCAAATCGACACTCTAACCGGCGACTGGACGCCCCTGCGCGCCGACATCAAAATGGACGTCGGCCGAACCATCAACCCCGCCATCGACTACGGCCAGATCGAGGGAGCTTTCATCCAAGGCCAAGGCCTCTTCACCACCGAAGAGAGTCTCTGGCATCGGGCCTCAGGACAGATCTTCACCAAGGGACCTGGAAACTACAAGATCCCAGGATTCCGCGACATTCCTCAGATTTTCAACGTCAGTCTACTGAAGGACGTGGAGTGGGAGAACCTCCGCACCATCCAGCGATCCCGGGGTGTCGGCGAACCACCGCTGTTTATGGGCAGTGCGGTCTTCTTTGCTATCCGGGATGCGCTCAAGGCGGCGCGTCGGCAATGGAACGTGGAAGAGGTGTTGCGTCTGGAGAGCCCGGCCACGCCGGAGCGGATTCGGGTTAGCTGTGCGGATCCGATTATTGAACGGGCCCGCGTGGTGCCTCGGGAAGGGGAGAAGAGTTTCTTTGTTGCAATTTGATGATCTCTGGTCTAGTCCGGGGATTCTATGAATGAATTATGATACCTATGCCCGGTTTGTTGACTGTGGCTTGTTTGTTTCGGGAATATTTTTCTCTCTGCGCATGGTCTATTGTGATTTATGTAACATAAGCTGGAATGTATCGAGCACAGCTGGATTACTAGTAGCTTCCAAGACTAGCGACACCCAAAAAAGGGCATTGTCTCGATAGAGCAAATCACTGCATGCTATCCTTCCAATCCTTGGCCCATAACTCATAAGTAACACTCCCGTTCATCTCCCCAAACGCCACATCCACAGTGAATCGCTCCGGCCAGCCTTTCCCCTTGCCTTCCCCATTCGGCCTCCTTAAAAGCCTCTCCTTGAGCATTCTCAAGCGCGATAAGTCAAGAGCCGCAGAAAACGTCCCTAGAAAATGCGCATACGCCAGCTCATCAGACCAAAGATCTCTTCCTGACGAAGATGGATCCAGCCACGGTTGGATCATCCCAATCTGATTATCGCCCTGGGGGAGCGCTGTCCTGCGCCATCGCACCGAACGCAACAACTCGGCATTGTGACGCCCGATTCCCACCAGGAAGATGGGAAGGAAGTCGGTGGCCAGGAAGACGAAAGTGTTGCGGGAGTATAAGACCTGGCGTGCCTCGTTGTAGATCTGGCGATTGGTGATCAGGATAGCGAGGGGGTTGGATATGGGATTGTGTTGGAGGTAGATGTTCTGGTAGTAGGTTTTGGTGGTGACGAAACTGCTTTGGATTAAGCCGTAGAAGGTGATAGTTTCGGCGGTGAGGACGAAGCGGTAGAATATATGGCGGACATCTAGATGGGGGTTGGATTAATGGAAGGAACTAGTTGCGGAGATTTTATATATACTGACCGTATGGAAGACTGAGAAAGGGGAATGGCTTCGTTTGTTGTTGGGCTTCGACGCTCTCTTCGGAGATGGGGGAATCAAGGAGCTGTTTGATTTGCAGGACATCGTGGATGCCATCGGCGGGGATGCGCCATTCCTTGACGTATGACTGGAGATGTGACTGAAGTAGGGCTTTGCTAGCCTGGCGTTTGTGACAGAAGGGACAGGTTGGGGCTTTCCAGGTCATGGCGTTTGTTTTCCTGGAATGGATACTACCTGAAATGGCTGAATTGTAGAATGAGATGCTTCTACAGGCCATTCACGATCAATCCCCTCGATAGCAAGGCCTATTGATTCATACTCTGCAAAGATGATTTTTCTAGTCCGCCCATATAGATCGGGGGCTTTCCGAGAACAAATGGACCTGCGGAGCGTGCCTGGCTTTTGTAGGGGTATGCCAATGATTATTAGAAGCTCATCGGTGAAATCACTCAAATCCCAATCCCCTTTGCGGCCTTTAGTCAGTTTGTCCGGTGGGGGGAGGGAAGGGGTTCTCTTGAAATGTTCTGGATCTCCCTCGGTAGGTAGCTCAATTGTCCAGGAGAACCTTCTGGACAGCGCGTTTGAGAATAACCCCTTCCACCTCGTGGTGAATGTTTAGGCAACAAAACTTGGCATCACCTGGAACGTGATTGAATCTAGCTGGGAGGCCTTGGAGGCGCCCGGGGAATTCCTTACTAGGGAAGCATCCTGCGTCGCTCGGCAGGATAAATTTAGGGTGTTCTTCAGACCATCGAAGACCTCATCTTGTCTCGGCGAGTCTGTGACTGCCCTTGACGTGACAGAGGTGTCTGGGCAGAGAGGAATAGAAACAAAGGAAAGCAAGGGGAAAGATGACAGGGGGATCAGGTGACCTTGTTTGTTTCCATTGCATCCTCCACATCCTGGTCGGTTTCTTTGTCATTCTCACTTCTATCCAACTAAATTGTTCCTCGACGTCAATCTTTGCTCTTTTGCATCCTTAACTCGAACGAGACAATCTCCATTGTTGACTCATACGTCCTGCGAAACTCCGCCTCTGTTATAGACCGTCTGCGGACCCACCATTTGCCAGTATGTGGGCGGAGATAGCTGTGGAAATGGAACTCGACTATGAGATAAATGCCTTTGGCAAAAGGGGCAGGCGAATTGGGGCGTGGTTAGGGCTTCTACATAACGCGAACACAAGCGAAATAATATTGGAATGACGATGTATCCATACTACAATCACGCCATTTCCTACAAAATGCACACATGACATCCAGATAAACCCCTCCAGGTTTGAATCTACGGTAAAATTCCATCACTAACTACTTCAAAAGAGTCATCCATTTGTCCATATAGATCATCAACTTCCACACGATCCTCAAGAATACGCCGCAATAGCACTCGAGAAAGCCGCATCCACCTCCGTCACAACCGAGGCAATGGTCTCCGCATCACTCGAGGTAGCGATAGCCTCGAGATCCGCACCCAAGGTGTTGGTACTGGTCTGGAGCGTCTCCACGGAGGAGAGCAAGGTGCTGCTGACGCCAGCGGACGCGGCAACAGACTCCTACAGACCTCGTCAGCATCTTATCAATGGATCACATGTCCTGGCTTGAAGACGCACCTTGTCAATAATGGTGTCCAAGGTGGCAACAATGCTGGTTCCCAGCGTCTGCACCTCGCTGGTGATGCTGCTGCTGTCCGAGTCACTCAGGGTGGAGGTGGCCTCGGTGTCGGTGATGGCCGTGTCCAGGGCGCTCTTGAGATTGTTATAGTCGGTCAGGATGGTCAGAGCGGTCAGAAGAGAGCCATCCCAGCTGGACACTACAGAGTCGAGCGTCTCAACGTCGGAGAGAATGGTCTCCAGGTCAGACAGGACTGTGGCCGCATCCCGCTTAATGATGGGGGAGGCGGTGGCTGAGACAGCCAAAAGAGCAGCGAGGAGTGATTTGGCGAGCATTTTGTTCGATGCGAACTCTTTCAATTGAAGAATACAATAGAGAATGCAGCCTGAGAATGATTGCTGAGAGGGGAAATCATGCCCCTTTATATATCGTGCTAGACGACATCCCCTCATCAGGCTCTGACACCTAAGTCCAAGCAATGCGGAGTCCGGGGAATTGCCCCAAGCCTGGACTCAGAAGCTATTCCTGCCCCAATTTAGCCTGTACAAGTCTAGACACTTGCCAGCAGAGACCAAATGCAACCCGAGTGTGTGGAGATTCTGTAACAGCAATATAGATTAACCTGCCAGCTGTCAGAAGTAGCGATGTAACCTCTTGGATAGATTAGCCTATGTGATTGACCTACTCAAACACGTTCTACCCCATAAGCCTACCCTCCATACACCCCCAAATCACCCCTCTTCAAAAATCATGTCTTTCTCTTAATGATATCGTAGACACAGCTCCCCAACCCAACCCCTAGCATCAAGTCCAAAAGTAACTACACACTCACCAAGACCATCCAAGCCCTACCCGTAGATACACCTACTCCCCCGCTCCCCGGATCTCTCCAGAAGGAAAAAAAAGCGGGGAAACCCAACCCAACCCACCATCCACCATCCACCATCCACCTCCCAGTTGACGTGATCTGCACCTTATTCACACTAACCACCGAACCCTCACCTCGTGCAGAACCCGATCCCTCAAACAACAACCAACCCCAATCAACCCCCGTCAAAGATCCTTCATACATTAACCCCCCGTGTCCAAACAAGCAATCTCCTCCCGACCTACCTAATTACCGAGGGATAAGTAGCAATTCTCTACCCGTGACATGGGGGGTTCCCGAGGTGATGTATGCATGCATGCATGTAAGGGCGCTAAAATATATTAGTATTTGGGTGGTAGGTACGTAGTGCCGCGGTAAAGCATTTGACACATGAAGCTTTGGTACATTGGAGGTATTACATGTGTGCTATTGTGCTGTATCCTGGGAGATGATTTACGTGGACTGAATAACTATGTGTCATTTTCGCCTCGCCTTAACTGGTGAAAAAAAGGACTAATGGTATTAGGTTTTCTTCCGCTACCATATGTATACTGGAAAGAGAAATTACTCACGTCATGATTTTCTATTAATCTTAAAGATTCTCAAGAAAGCTAATAATTAGTCGGAATAGCTTGCTTTCAAAGCAAGCAGAAGTTCACCGTCTTTCATATATTAATACTCCAGACCACATTATGCTGCTAAGTATAGAATCCTCTACAGAATACGGAGCAAGTCCTGAGGCTTTAGATGAGGCCGTATAAAAGATCATTTCATATCCAATCCAGAGTCTATACACAATTTTAGGGAGGTATTATCTGTAAATAATTGATGTTCTGCTTGTTAGTTCCCTAAAAAGGTAGGCAGAGAGTGAAAAGTGTATCTTTGTCGGTGTGACATCATTTGATGTTGGCTGAAGTAGAACAGACCTTCAAGGAACAGCGGTATTCTCTGGCTCTTGACATCTTTCGACTTCAGCATACCAATCAAGGATAGACTCCGTATGGACCTGGTGATCTTTATCTTCTTCTTCAACCGGGTCATGCTGGCCATTATCATCGAACGGGTTCACAATCCACAGATGCACCTGCATTTGACGAACAGCCTCAATGCTCTTGGTTCCATCATCGAGCCAAATGCCGTCATCGTAATCTCGGTGCCAGTTGAATAGTCGGGAGGTTGCACTCCATGACTGCCCATCAGCGGTCTCCCTTTCATGACATTGGTACCTTGAACGTTAGCAAGAAAGTTGAAAATTAGGCCGTCATACTTACTCTTCGCAAGGCTCCTTGCCATCGGCATATGGAGCTTTGTTAATTCCTGGAGGGTTAATCTGGTGTCGCCCAGTCGCTGGAATGTCCGCCCCTGATTTAGTAACCCAGTATACCTGCCATGATAGAGGTCTGTGTCCGTGCTCTAGATGTTCTTTGACTTCCAGGCTCACGTTCTTTATGATTGTTGAACCAAACGGAGGAGAAGGTGGCCATGGTATGGATGCCGCAGGTCGGCAAAAATAAGACTTTGGAACTCTGTAGCCCGAGAGATCATGGGCTCCAATCTTTCTGGGCTACCCGACTGGTATGTTGCCTGGAGGAACGACTGGAGGGTGTTCGTCCAGAATGCGGCTGGTAGACAAAGAGGTGGCAACCGATTGAGGGACATGCGTAGCAGCGACGCAGCCTGATTTGTGCAGATGGCAGCAGCCCAGAGAGGGCTCAGGTGTGGCGCCTGCTTGGCAATGGCACGCAGCAGTCTCTGGTTATCAAGCTCACCCGAAGGGAACAACACTCGTTTGATACCTAGGGACGAAGCCCCAAGGAGATTACATGCAACAGAAGGATCAAAGAAGGCGCTACAAATCATTGAGTCAAAAGCATCCTGCGTAGAACTGAGAAAGATGACTTTGTCTAGGGAGTCGAAGACCTTATAAAAGACGTTGCCTTGTTTGGTCGAGTGTGGTGGAGCTTGGGGCGTAGGAGATTGAGAGATGGTTATCGGAGGACTAAGCTTTGGCGGTGGTATATCTCTTGATGTGAGAATTAGGACTGAAGCAAGGCCAACCAGTAACTCTGCCTCAAGACCTTCCGCAACGCAGAATTTCAGAAGTATATCAAACGCGAGAGATGAATTAGGAGGAGCTTGCACCCAGTTGTCGCTGCTGAACCTAGTATATTAGCCGACTCCGAATTTCAACTACCAGAACAACGCACCTCTTTTCCGGCTTTATCTTTCTGTCTTTTAACATCCATGGAGGGTGATGTATGCCCTTCTTGGTCTCTGACCGAGCTAGCCAGCGGCTTCGTATTACTATGTCCCAGAAGCAGTCGGTCAACGGAACATCTCGGTCATGAAACAAGGAGCACTTCCAGCCGGCCTGCTGTAAAATCTCGGTCCAACGACATGAGATGATGTATGACCATGCCAGTATGATATTGGTCAGATAGCCGCGACGAAGGGGGGAGGACGAGAGAGAGACAGATTGTTGATCCTCTGCAGTGATATTGTAGACCACGGGTGTTGCGAATCCAAGGCACTGCAAGTAATCAAAAGACTTCCAGTGCTGGTCGCAGTCCATGTCAGTCGCTGTCTCGAGGCGGAAAGATGACCGTAGAATCAATGGAGTTTTGGATCCGCCCATAACACAAGCGTCTTTCGGCGGGTGATCGAAAAAGGGGGGAACGTTCCGTAGTATTTTCAGGAAGACCTCAAGGATAGCAACGATGGACCCAGAATTGTCCGACCGGGCTGCATGGCTCCAAATCCCAAAACTGGCTCTATACTGGGCCAGGAACTCCGACGATGAGGGACAAACCCCATCTCCAGGGGACCATTCTACAGGGTCCTCCTCATCATCGGTGTAGATTTCACTGAAATCATTGCACTCGGAGCACGCTCTCAGACTCGAGGTATCATTTGTTTTGCTGCAGAGGGAACGAGGTCTTTTCTGAGCCATGGTTAGAGAGGGAGGGAAAGAGGGAAGTCACTCGAGACAGGCAACAACAAACCCGGGCGGCAGCGGAGGCGGTCGGGGCATGTTGGTTTAGCATCCTAAACGTGCTAGAAGATAGGTAGTGAGTTGGTATTATGGTCTATGGGTATATGATGGCCGCTTTGCATGCGAATGAAGCAGTTGATAACAGTGAGGAGTTGAAAACAAAGAAAGGTACATAGGCAGACACGCAGAGCCAGATCAGTTCTTCTCCATCCCATATTCCACATAGCTACTTCCCCGCAAATCCGACACTCCGTCTACCTGCAGATTTCGTTGACCCGCGAACCCTACCTTCTCGGCTGGATACTCCCACTCAGTGGGAACCACCACGCCGGAGCTGCCTGAGCTTCCTGGGCTTCCCTGACTGGTTGCAACCTCATACCGAGGCGCCGGCTGCGACCGCGCTGCATCTGCTGCATCTGCTGCATCTGCTACATCCGCAGAAGCGGCATAAGTTCTGGGCAAGCTAGTTAACGGTACATCGATGAAGCCATTTGGGTCTGGGCCAGAGCCAGGTTTCGGTCGTGAGTTGAGAGGCGCCGGGCCGCCCTCGCCCCGGTTCTTTTCTCGTGTCCAGAACAAGGTCAGGGCGCGAAGGATGCCGAGCAAGACATTAATGAACCAGACAAGGAGAATGCACGAAGCGATGATGGTTTCCGTCCGGATGGCGCTTGCCAGTGTGTCGATAACCTTCGTGACCACTTCAGTGATCTCATTGGATGTCTTCGCACCGGCCTCGGTGAGGAAGCTCTCGGATGAGTCGGAGCTGTTGAGGCTGTTTGCGGCGCCGACGGAGAAGGTGTTGTTGGGTAGAAGAGGGAATTCGACGTGAGCGTGGTCCGAAACCCAGGTGAGAGCTTTCTGGACGCTTTCGACTTTGAGGCCGACCAGGCAGTCGAATACATCCAAGAGAGGCTCGTAGAGTAAGGTCCCACCGAAGGTGTCGTTGAGAACGTCAATGGTTTTGTCGACGAAGGTGTTGAGTGTGTCGTTCAAGGCAGTGGTGCTGGTGTTGACCCAGCCGAAGACGTGGTCATTAATCCCGTCGTCTGCGTGCTGGATGACTTTATTGGCGTCGTTGGCCCATTCCGCGGAGATGTTTTGTAACACCCCGACGACCTCGTCGGCGAATTCACCCACCTCGGTGGAGAGTTCTGGGACGGTTTTCTTGATGGCGCTGAGAAGTATGTACTGGCAAAGGCAGGAGAGGAGGCCGGCCAAGGCGAGACAGAGGACGAACAGGGCGGCCGGGGAGGTGGCATATGCAATCACCCAGCGTACGAGGATCTGTCGGCGGCTGTTGCTGAAGCGGCTGGCAGCCCAGATACCAACAGCTGCGGTGTGAGGCCTAGAGACAATATAGACGACGTCCATGGGATCGTGCGCTTCCTTGCGGACAAGTTGAGAGCGTTCTTTCATAGTGTGCCAGCGTCGGATCTCTTGCCAGGCCATAGGGACGCAGGCGAGAATCGCGGCGATAATCAAAACGGCGATGAAGATTTTGCGGGCTGTCAGAATCAAATCTGTTACCCCGGCGAAGAATGAATTGATCCCGTTGTTGTCATCGCAGAAAGTCAATGTTCTCTTCGCAGGAACCGGGAGTGCAGAGGGGTTGAACGTATAGTCCCCCAAGGACTCGTTGACCAATTTCTTGACTTCCTCAAAGGGGAACCGTATCACATTTTCGGTGAAGTTCATCACTTCGGTAAAGGACGGAATGGAGTTGTTGAGTTTATCCAGGCCTTCATCGATAGATGACGGCAGATGCGCATTTTCCAACTTGTCGATCTCGCTGGTGAGGTTCAGTGTCGGCACGCTTGACCCTGCCAAGCTGGCAGCCACATTCACGAGTTTGATGAAGTCATTGAGAGCATCCTCGAATACATCGACTGTTTTGCCGATGTCTTTTCCCACGGTTTTGACCGTAGAATTGAGAAAGTCCGCTGCGTCTTCGATCAAGGTGACTCCAATCTCAACAGCACCGTGCACAGCGAGCGTGAACAAACATAGATACGTCTGATACATCACTTTGATGAAGAAAATGATCAATTCTTCAACACCAGTCAAGGTGAGCATCAGCATCGTCTTGAGGCCATCAACTGCCGCATCGACCACGTCGCCCGTGAGGTCGTTTACCCCTTTCGCCAGGTAATGGGGCATGGATACCATCGCATCGGCCATGGATTCGACGCTTGTACATGCCGATAGGGCCTCGCTTTTGGCTCGACCCATGTCTGTCTTGATGGTCGTGACAGCCATCAACACCCTGGCCAGGACCAAGAGCAGCAACACGGTCCAGCGGTTAAGCCACACTTGGGACAGACGCGCCCGTAGCCCCAGATAAGGCGTAGAGCCATCGGGATGCAGCGGAATGACCCGACCTTGGACGCCATTGGGATCTTGGACCCCGTAGGGTGGAAGGAGCGGAAAGATCGTCCGACCGGAGCTTGAGAATAGCATGTCGGCAATGGCTGGGATGATTTGTATGAAGCGATAGGAATATCAACAGGGCTCAGCTGGCTGAACCTGCGAAACAAAGAAGTCTATCGTAGTAAGGGTATAGAAAATAGCAAAGAGAAGATGCCAAAGAGAGAATAATCCTGACCAGCAGTGATTATTTCAAACAAGCAGAATGCAGTCTGTCAATAAGAAGTAAGGCATATCCAAATCTATAGATGAAAGAAAGGAACAATGTGCTGTGCGGAGAAGAAAAGAAAACGAATAACACCAGGGAACAATAGCTGAAAGGAATAAAGAGGAGGGTATTCCCGCCTTATTATGGAAAAGCGAACCAGCAGACCGATTCTCATTGTGACGAGGTGAATAATCGACGACACTAAGGCAGCTTGTTGGTAGCCACTGAGAGCGATCAGCGCCAACAAGGAAGGCAAACACTAGAACGATCTGCATGGCGGGTTTCATCTGGCGCTACCTTTCTAGGCAGAGGTTATTTCAATCGGGTTCTGCAGAGTTCTTGCACGCAGCCCAAAGATCGGCCCCATGCCGGCGCTTAACATCCGGTGCTGTCGTCCAATCCTTGAGCCAGCACCGAAGAATGCTGCAAGATCGCGACAGTCAATCAGGCTGTCGGCCGTCCAATTTCAAACGGCGGTGTCAAAGCCCAATACCCAATGACTCTTTGTTCGGTGCCTGGGGATGGTCGGCGCTTCCCGTTGCATGATGCGCTGGGATGCACATTGCTTGACTGGTTCGGAGCTGCAGATGCATCTGGGTTTGAGGAAAGCTAGACAGGGTGTCTGTTCGTCAGGTTATAATTAGAAACTGGCCGAAAATCAAGCGAAGAGGTGGCGGTTGAAGAAGAGAGTTGAATTCGGTGGAATTGGAGGGGGAGAAGAACAACGGGGCACGTGATGGCAGACGGTCAAACGCCCACAGCAAAACAGACGAATGAGGGAGTGATGTTAGGGGATCGATGAGACTTCTAAACAATTAATGATGCTGCTCGTTTGATGGGTAGCTACGGTGATGTGGTGACATTGGGGGAAAGACATACTCCAGGCATCTGAATCAGGAGTGTCTCATCTGTCCGCTACGCTTTGCCTTGCCAGCATTCCCATTCGTGCTCGACAAGAGGACGAGCACCACAGTTTCCCCATCGTAGACATTTCCAAACTCTTTCTAAGTTGATCATAGGAACCTTCCAGCAGTTTCACCTGTCAGACGCGTGATCTCTGCCACAGCCAACAATATTTCCGACTCGGCCGTGGTCAATACCCAGCGCTTAACATGACGGCTTGAAGAATATGACTGTAATTCGATCTGAAGGACGATGACATAGTCTAGTACAAGTGAGCTATTTCTAGCATTTCTCCTAGCTTGAGGTGAAGTATTTCCTGTGACTCCCACCCAGTAGACAGGTGCATCCATTCTCCATGGTGACTGAGCCACTGTGCTTTACTGGAGGATGTATCGGCGTAAGAGCGAGGAGGATAAGTGGTTAAATGTATCGGATCAGATGCAATGATTAGTCCAGTGAGTAGGTAAAAGGATGGAAAAAGCAAGCCAAAGGAACCTTGACAGAAGGGACTAAATCACATGATGCAGTAGGAGTATTCCACCATGCGGTAGGAATGATCCCGCATCTTGAAAACGCCATGTTCCTCATCAATAAGTTTCGAGAATGTCAGGGTCCGAACAGTATAGTCATTGTAGGACTTACTTCACACACACACCATGACTATCAGATGAGATCAGGCAGAAAGCCATGCCATGCCTGCACAGCCATATCGAACTTTTCTAGTCACTGCTTCCCTTCAGTAGTCTGGACCTGTGCCTGTGCCAGTGAAAAGAAATTTCCCCACGGAGAAGCCCCGGATGCGATATGAAGGATCCGCCCGCAGGGAAATCCAGGAAGGGGGTCAACAGATCATGCAAAGTCCTCTTTCGCGACAACCATCTTCATCCGACGTTACAAGCTTCGTCGGATCAGGCCTTGCACCCATCCAAGCCATAGGGTGCGGAAACCGCACAGTGGTTAACACCAGCAGCTGGATCAATTCACTGCAGCTCGTTTCACTGGTCACGGGGACCACAAGCCAGGAGACCCCGTGCACTGATTATGAACACAAACAAAGATTTGCGCTATTCTGAAGATACTTATTCGAGTGAGAGCATCCTGAGCTTAACCCTTTCGTTCCTCTCGTTCACACTTTACAATGCAGGAAGACGTACTAACCGGTCCGTCAGAGGCAGAAGGAGAAGGAAAAGGTAAAGGTGAAGATAATAAGGCACGGTCAGACGCAATCAACCTCATCCGCGCGCGTACTATCACCCGTACATCCCCGACAGAGGCTTCCTCACAGGAAGGCTCTTCTCACGAGCCGACTGGTATCCAGTGTGTTGTGATGGACGTCCCGGTTGTCGAGATAGAGCCTGTACCGGCATCAAAGAAGGCTAAGAAGAAGAAGAAGGCCAACAAGAACAAAAGACTCTTGCTGGGTGATGCAGGGAGTGGTGTCACTGGAGGTCAGCCTGAGTTGGTGGTCCAAAAGGCTTCGACCAAATCATCTTCTTCAGCAGGAAAGGAAGATAGCTCGATCTCTGCTTCGCACTTGCAGGTAAGTGAACTGGACTCTAGAGCCCTTGATGCTGCCAAGTCATGCACAGACGTGATCAGCTCGGTGGTTGCAGAGTCGGATGGCGGAGGTAACCTAGTGTTGCAGAATATAACTGCAGAGAGTGACCAGCGTGATGCTCTGATCCAGCCCCTAAGAAAGTTAGACATTAAAGGCAAACGGCGGGTCCGCCGAGTTGACCCAGTGACTGGCAACGAGATCTTTGAGCTGGTGCCTGCTCCACGCGTTCCTCAGCCCGTCTCAACAGCGAGAGACACGGTGATTAGCCCATCCTATGCAACCGTCCTGTCTGGCAAACGCACCATGACCAACCCAACCCCAGCACCAAACAACGGTTCTTTGTGCAACCCTCTTCAGTCCCCAACGATATCTGTTGACATGAAGCCCTCGGATACTGCCTCTCAGGCCCCAGCCCAAGGCTCCAGTGAGTTGAAAGCTGCATCGACAGAGATCCCTGCGCAGAATGACGAGGGACTTGATACCACTCAGCCTCCACAAAGCATGCCCAAGAGCGCCAATGCAGGCAGGCCCATGTTGTCTCCCATACGCGAAGTGTCTGGGGAATTCATACAGCGTCGATCGAGCTCTAAGGGACCCGTCAATCGAGCCGACCAGGAAGTACCAGGTTCGGGCTCATTTGCTGAGACTCAAAGTCTCTTCACATCTACACCCAAATCAAACAGTACCACATCCACCGGATGGACCAACCTAGCGCTGCCGATCAGTCCACAGACCACAGAGGCATCTGAGTTATCTTGCAAGGGAGCTGATCACCGCAGCCAGACAAACTCGAGTGGTTCACGGAAAGTGCACTCCTCACAGGTCATCAGCAGTCATGCACATCCACCTCCGCCGCCTTCACCAAGCAGCAGATACTCGATTTCCACCCCCACCGTGGCCATCTCAAACACCCAAGGTACCCTGTCCACGCAGAAACCAGAGGGCTTTTTCTGGCAACTCGACAGCCACGGATTCCCGTGCGCCAAGAAGGACTGCGATAAACGCTGCAACCTGTGGGATGGAGCCACGGTGATTTGTCCTCGCTGCGGCCCATATTCCGAGATCCGTTATTGCAGCAAGACACACCTGCTCGAGGATATCAAGACACACTGGCTGTACTGTGGACAGCTGGCCTTTCGCCATCCGTGTCGCGAGACCTCGATCCCCAAGGCCGTGAGGGCTGGACCTCCTCTTATCCCCTGTCTCCATCCATACGACATGCCCGAGCGACATCGCCAAGCGGTTTACTTCAACGTCAACGCAAGACAAGGCGACTACTTCGTTTTCGCAGATTGGGCCGATTATGTAAAAGCCGATTTTCCCGAGGACAGGACAGCGGTGCGGTGCTCCAACAAAGTGGTGTACGTCGTCAAGTTTGATGGTCCTGCTGAAAAAGATCGATTCCGACGAGTCCTGGCAGCTTGTCTTTTCTGTACGTCATTGCTGTCCTCCAGTGCCATTCCTACTAACCCGGCCAATTTATTAGTGACGCTCGAAGTCACTGAACTGGTCGATTATTTATTCCGCCTGATCCGTGACAAATTACGGTCGGTGTCCACTGCAGAACACATCCTGGATGCAGTCCGGTATCAGATCTTCCAGGAGTTCAACGTGACTATCCAGGTCATCATTACAGGTGAAAGACATGCGTGCGAGACCGATTGGGATGGAAGAAATCGTCGCAATTGCCCGGATCCAGTGTGTCGGGCGGAGTATCGCCGTCTCCTGGGCGCTCTGGGGGGTAGAGGTCTCTGTCGGCTCACTGAGACGCTGGAGTCAACGTACTGGATCCTTCGAGCGGCTAGGACTACCCATCCTACCGTGTCAGATGCAAACAAGCGGATGATGGGGGAAGGATTTGATGAGGTGGCAGAGGAGGATAGACGTGTGTTCCGACGGGGTGACGGTTGGGACGGTGCTGGCACCGGCGATATGGAGCTCGAAGGACTTAACGAGTACGCCCCTTGCCCTTAAAAGGTACTCGACCGACCCAGAGGGTTGGGTGGACGGGCTCCGTGGGCGCAGCTGGTTCTGCCTGTGAGATGATGCTGACTGTTTGTGCCGGTCTGTTTGAGTTTCTTTCGTGAGAGATGTGATGTGTTGACGACTCTGTGGGAGGAAAGTTCGACCTGGAATGAAGAAGGTCGCTTGTCTTAATACGAAGCCAGGAGAGGGAGGATTCCATCTAGTGTAAATTTAACGAAATCTGCTCGTTTGTTGAAAGCGTGGCATGGACATCAATGTACAATATCCAAAATTGAAATGAACTTCTATCTCAATTCTTTTCCAGGTCCGGTCAACCGGTAGCTCTATCTTTCCTGCATTATCTTGAATTAGGCCGTTGAAGGCAGTTTCAGATTCTGGTTCTATGTTATTTGTCGCTGACTAGCTCCACCAATCTCCTCACGCAATATACTTCTTGAGGCCGCGAAGTCTCTCCTTGGCAGTCTCCAGCACATCATCATTCTTGCAGACAGCAAACCGGAGATAGTCCTCCGCAATGTGGGCATTCGCGTCGGTGTAGAACTCGGTGGGAGGAATGGCCGCCACACCGACCTCATGAATCAGGAACCAGCACAGCTTGAAATCGCGAGGACGGCTGGCAACGTGGGGAGGAAACGGGTAGCCCTCGGGGAGTTTCACAGAAGACATGTTGGCGAGAACAAAGTAGCCTCCCTCGGGGTCAGAATACTGAAGTAGGAGGTTAGTTGAGGTCTCAAGTGTTTTCAAGTGGGACTCACAGGAATGTTAAGCTCATCAAAGACTTCGCAGAAACGCTCCATCTTCTTCTTCATCTCGTCCCGGCTCTCGTCCCAGAAACCGACCTTGTCGGCCTGCTCAAAGGCAACCGCAGCAGCTTCCTGGAGGGGAGACACACTGCTGTAGCAGATACGAGTGTGCGCACCGGCCACATACTTGATCAGATGCTCGGGGCCGATAAGGTATCCGACACGCCAGCCAGTAGCGTAGAAGGCCTTGCCCGCAGAGCCGACGGTGATGGTGCGCTCATAAAGCTCGGGAGACAGAGTAGCGATTCTGGTGAAAGGAACGTAGAAAAGGCGATCATAGACCTCATCGGAGAGGATGATAAGGTTGTGCTTCACACAGAGTTCTCCGATGCGCTCGAGCTCAGCACGCGAGAAAACTTTACCCACGGGGTTATGGCTGATGCTTTGTTAGTCAATGCTCAAGTGAGACCTGCGTGACTGCTTACGGGGAGTTCAGAACCTAAGACGGTTAGTACTATCATCGGCCGATTGAGATGGGGAGGCTTACGATCATCTTTGTCTTGTCGTTGATGGTGTTCTCCAGCTCCTCAAAGTCTATCGTCCACTCAGAGGCCGGGGAAGTCCTCGTCGCGCCATCCTTGGGAGGGTGAAGAGGGACATAGCGGATGGTACCACCGGGCATCTCAATGTTGCTGATGTACCTGGAGGGTGTCAGACCTGTAGGAATTGATTGCTGGAAACAGGACTTACTGGTCGAAGAAGGGCTCGAAGATGATCACCTCATCACCGGGCTCGATAAATCCCATGAATGCGCTCAGCATACCTTTGACCCTGTGTCAGCTAGAATCCGCACGAACGATCCAGTATGACCCACCTTCGTTGGCTCCGGTGGTGATGGTGACTTCAGTCTCCGGATTGAGGGTCCGGCCGAAGTAAGGAGAGTAGGCATCAGCCAGAGCCTTCTTGAGACGCGGACGTCCCTAGTCGAGTGTAAGCAAATTGCCCCAAGCACCATTCCTTGCAGTCCAATTGTACCTTGGTCGGGGAGTACTGGTTGCAGTCGACTCGGTCCAGGGCCTCCTTGGCGGCGTCCAAGGCAAACTTAGGTGGGTTGTAGCCACTGCGCAAGTCGGGTTCTGGTCAGAAAGTCCCCGTCATCCGGCAATTTATCATTACTCACAAGAAACCCTGTCCCATGTTCACAATGGGCTGGACGGGGGAGGCAGCAGCGGCTTCATTGACAATGGACCTGCAATCTATCAGCCCCGCTGGAGAGCATCAGAAGAGGAACCTCGCGCCATCGCACCAGACATCTTGTCTCTGGCCAGCGACTCTCGCTGCCGGTCGAAAAGGGTCGGGACGAGCCGTGGTGGCCGACATTGCTCTGGAGAAAGGATGGCGGGGTAAGGCCGGTGTTGACGAGGGGCGCAGGAAAGCGTGCGATGAGGAATGTAAGTGAGCGGCTCTGGTGGAGGAGATGGCAGCGCGGTAGCCAAAGAACATAGAGGCAGCGCCTGCGGGTCGAGAAGAGAGGAGAGAAAGAAGGGAGGAAAAGTGGCACGAAGAGACGAGAAAGGCAGATCCGGGGACGGAACTGACAGCGGGACTCGGTTTGGTGGCCGGAGGTTATTGCGTGCTTTGCTGGGCCGAGCTCTGCTGATAAGCGACCGTCGGATAATGCAATTGAATGAGTGAGACGGTCTCGACGCGAATTCGGTGCCGAAAAGAAGAATATTTAGTGCTGGCTAGATCAGAAGATATCGATGGAGCCGGTTGCTGACTTCCTTGACCGGCATGTGCATCCCTACCAGAGGGGGAGGGGCGAGACTTTGGGATTGTACTTAGTAAGTAACCTTCGACTGTAAGTTAACGATAACGTGGGGTTCGGGACCGCGGCCTCAATTCCCAATACGCGGGGGTCAGCTCGCTCTTGTCGCAGACTAACAATGAGTCAATCGCTGTCGCTTAATACTAGATAGCTTTATTGCGATTCCAGCATCCTTATCATCAGCCTGTAAGCCTGTACAAGCTCGGGGGGAACGCAGGCTTCCTCAGGCACGCAGATAGGCCTCTTAGTCAGCCGGCTTATCGCGCGCGCGTTTTGGACGCGTTTGCGGCAAATCGATCCGATCAGTCAACTCAATGGCCGCCACAGGCGAGCTGCTCTGCATCCAGCCTGCTGGCAGCGCTTCTCTTCACGATTCGAATGAGTCTCCGCCGTCATGGTGTCCTGTCCCATCTGCAGCCAGTCGGTGTCGTCCCTGAAGATCAACGACCACATCGATTCCGACTGTCAGAACTTCATCGAGGAGCCATCCAGCTCCGGGGAGGCCCCGGCCACCCAGAAGGTTCAGGTTCCCAGCTTCTTCCAGCCAACCTCCGCCCGGAAAGCTTCCACTCAATCGACTGGACAGAGAGACCAGAATGTCGCCTCCTCGCCTTTGCGCAACGCCAATGGCAAGCGGACGATGACGCACGATGCCGACTCGTCGGAGGCATATGATCGAGTGGGAACCAGTCAACCCCATATTGAGCCAAAGAAACCAAAGGTGAATGCGCTGCAAAAAGCTGCGCCACTGCCGGAACGGATGCGCCCCCGGACTCTCGATGAGGTCTGCGGGCAGGAGTTGGTGGGTCCGAAGGGTGTGCTGCGCGGGCTCATCGAGCAAGATCGGGTTCCCAGTATGATACTTTGGGGTGGACCAGGGACAGGGAAGACAACCATCGCTCGGGTGATTGCATCGATGGTGGGCAGCCGATTTGTCGAGATCAACAGTACCAGTACCGGAGTTGCAGAATGCAAGAAGATCTTCTCCGAAGCAAGAAGCGAGCTGGGCTTGACTGGAAGAAAGACCATCATCTTCTGCGATGAGATCCATCGCTTCTCCAAGTCGCAGCAGGATGTCTTTTTAGGGCCGGTGGAAAGCGGGCAGGTCACGCTCATCGGCGCCACCACGGAGAACCCTTCCTTTAAAGTGCAGAGTGCATTGCTATCACGGTGCCGGACATTTACTCTGTCCAAACTTACGGATGAGGATATCAAGTCGATTCTCCACCGGGCTTTGAGGGTCGAAGGGCCAAACTATTCGCCTTCTGAATTGGTTGACGAGGAGTTAATCGGTTATTTGGCCAGCTTTGCGGACGGTGACGCGCGGACGTCTCTCAATCTTCTCGAGCTCGCTATGGACTTGTCTAAACGGCCAGATATGAGCAAAGGAGAGATCAAACGAGCTTTGACTAAGACGCTTGTCTATGACCGGGCCGGAGACCAGCACTACGACACCATTTCCGCCTTTCACAAATCTATCCGGGGTAGCGACCCGGATGCGGCGCTGTATTATCTTGCTCGCATGATCCAGTCGGGAGAGGATCCGCTTTACATTGCCCGACGTCTCATTGTCGTGGCGTCCGAGGATATAGGGCTGGCCGACAACAGCATGCTCACGCTAGCCATCTCGACCCATTCGGCCGTAGAAAAGATCGGACTTCCAGAAGCACGGATCAACCTGGCACACGCGACCGTTGCCATGGCACTTTCGAAGAAGAGCACGCGGTCGTACCGCGGCCTGAACAATGCGTTTACCGCGCTGGGAGAGCCAGGCGTTGCCGGGCTGCCCATCCCGATCCATCTGCGGAATGCGCCGACTCGACTGATGAAGGAGCTCGGATACGGCAAGGAATACAAATACAACCCTAACTACGTTGATGGCGCGGTGGTCCAGGAGTACCTCCCGGAGCAACTCCAGGGACGGGGGTTCCTCGAGGACCGGGACCTTGGGTATCAGATAGACCCGGATTTGATGCCGTAGACTCTCATCTTGTATCTTGTGTCGACTACAGTACGAGAGCTGCTTGCGCGATTGTTGCCTAGTGCCTTATCGCTAGTATCGAGCGCACCACATGATCCGTTGCGCCCTTGGCAAGTCTGCTTGCCCAAGACTAAGTAGCTTGGATGCTTGAAAGAAGTCCCTATGTTAGATCTGGGACGTCACGACAGTATGCCAGACACGTGGCAGGGGCTCATCTAATTCCTATGCATGCATTACCAGGGAATGCACCCACAATTTGGGGCAGTCACTACGCTTTGGCGATTGGATATGTGGCTATAACCTTGAAGCAGGAGAGAGGGCAGCATGGACATACCAGCCAGAAATGGCTCACGACAGCAGATAGACCACCTATGTAAAAGACAGGCCTAATGGAACGCCCTACAGCATATTGTGCAGATACTACTCCATACGTTACTCCTATCCATGAAAATTGACATGAGTCGTGTTCCAGGCTAGCGGCGGCCGCCAATCATCGCGTCCCCATCGCGTCCCCACTCTGGTTGCTCTCCGACTTTCCTGTCCATCTTCCATCTCATCTCCATCTCCATCTCCGTCCGTCATCCAATTCCCCCATTGCAACCATCCCATCCCACCTGCCATCTTGCTTTTCGCCCATTTAACTCATCATCCACCAATCAACCCATCTCATTGACTCCTGTACTCCCACCCCACTCCACCCCACCGACCGCGGTCGGGGCCCCTCCCTCCCCGACCACCATAAACAAGCACCACCACAATGGCCTCCTCAACCCAACCGTTCGGCACGCGCTCCTACGCCTCGGGCAAACTCCCCGATCGATCGCTCAATACCAACGCCCTCCCCTTCAGCGCCTCCTCCTTCTCGCGACACCGCAGTCTCGCCGGCGCCCCCGGCGCCACCAGCTCCGCCGCCGACTTCGCCGATCCCAAGTCCACCAACCAGGTCCCATTAGGCGCCCCCCAGGCACCCCCAGCACCCCCCATGCACTCCCAACCCCATGCCTCCTCTCCACAAGATACGAATCCTCTGAACCGGTTAACAGAGGAGCAGCGCGAAGAGATAAACGAAGCGGTACTTCCTGCCAGTTCCCTATCCCCAACTTAATACTAACAAATTACAAAACAGTTCACGCTCTTCGACCTCGACCGTGATCGACACCTCGACTACCACGAACTCCGGGTCGCCTTCCGGGCACTAGGCTTCACCCTCCCCAAACAAGAGCTCATTTCCCTCCTAACGACCTACGGCGTCCCCCGTCCCCAAGTCCAACAGCAGCAGCAACAATCCGGGCAAGCACCCCAACAACCACAACAGAAATCGGGGGGGATAACTAACCCCCAACACCCGAGTAATCTGCTCATGCCCCTTTCTGCGTTCCAGGCCGTCACAGCGCTGAAGATCCTGGAACGGGATCCAAGGGACGAGATTCTACGCGCGTTTGAGCTGTTCGATGAGGGTGGGAAGGGATATATCGATTTGGAGGATTTGAGACGTGTGGCGAGGGAGTTGGGTGAAACGGGGTTGGAAGAGGAAGAGTTGAGGGCTATGATCGAGGAGTTTGATTTGGAGGGTGTGGGGGGTGTTACGCGCGAGGCGTTTGTGGGAATCTGTTGGCAGTAATCTCTCTATTGCTTCTGTTTTTGATGGTTGGGAAAGGGGGAAATATATGGGAAGGCTTGAGGAGATGGAAATCAGGCTGTTTGGTATTACTCTACTGTACTCTATCTGATTGTTGGTAGAGGGCTAATGGTCCTATTCTTGGTGTTGTCACGGTTTTGATTTCTGTGCATGGTGGGCGCTAATTCATTTCGAATTCTGGATTTCGAGTTTCTGTTTCTATCTGGTTTCTCTGGTATGGATCAGCCGTTTTTTAATCAACCACGAATACATACACACGGGCATGTTCACCACCCTACGGAAAAGCGGAGAGGTGGAGTTAGTGTAAAGGTAGGAATGGTGTATGTAACTTATTTGGTAAGAGTAACTCCGACCCACTTTGTCTTGTGTGAATTGCTGATCCAAGTGAGTCTTGAAGATACAATCATTCCAAAGAGCTGATTGAGGTGTGAATTGTGCTTCCAAGGCTATTTGTTGGAGGTGCAAAGCTACTATACCTTACCTGGTAAAAGCTCCGGAAAATCCAGTTTCCGACTAGATGCGGTGCATCTCTCTTCCTCTTTCCCTTTCTTCTCTCTCTCTCTCACTCTCACTCGTACAAAAGCGACTCATTCGTCGGAAAACAAGGCCACAACCACATTCACTGACGCGGCCAAATCTACGTGACACAGAGTTTCGATATCTGCACATCCTCTTGAAGAGTTGGGAGCTATACCAACCTGTCCTGATATATTGGGGGAAATATCGAACTATATACATACCGTGAAACGTGTGTACTAGCAATGTTTAAGCCGCATCCGAACTAACATCAAGAAACAAAGGAAAACCCCACCGCCACCTCCTCCAGGGGCTGGGCCAATGCTTTGCATGAAGGGCCATATTCGCACAAACGAGGGGATCATATGCAATGGCTTCAGCTGTACCTAGTTCTCTTCATTCTAAAAGATACTGTCCGTTCTTACTGACATGCAGTGGCTTCTTACATCGCAGGCCCAAGCTTCCTGGGTGATTCTCAATTCTGAATCCTGATCCTGTTTAGGGTGCTGCAATGAAGAGAAAGAGAGGCTTCCTGGAACCGACAAGACATACAGAGCGGAAATGCTATGCCTATTATGGGATGACACATTGCACAGCCAAGGTCCGATCTATTGACCGTGATATCCTACGGCTCGATCGATAGATAGATGAACGCTTCGTCAAGATGGCGTAAGGGCAGGGTATAATGGGTCCAACATCAGAGTCGGTCGAAATGTGCCTGTCTTGTTCAGACTGAACGTCGAATTCCTCAAATAAAAGTGAAAGCCAGCATACCCATCGTTCCGAGGTTGCCAAGAAAGAGTCGCACGCAATATAGAACTCGTGCATGCTGAATCTCTGGCAATGAGAGAGGTTTATGTGTTGTCCCGATAACAATCCGATTGAATAGTCCCTGTGATTACTGTCACAGCCTACGTGGGATGACATGTGATGAAGCGGTTGGTTCTTCCTATTGACATACAAGGACCGTCACCCAGCTGTGGCTTTGGTCTAGTTGGCAAGTCGTGTGACTGCTTAGACTTCCTAGCTACGTGGCAGACTGGGAATGTGAGGTGAACCCAGGGCAGGCGAAAGGGTACGTCCTTATGCTCCGACATCTGGCATACAATATACGGAAATTTCACCGTCAGCTACCTGGAATCACCTGCACTGGGAGCCGATTCTCCTCAATATCATACGCATTCGTGGACTTTGACGGTCATTGTGGAGTGCGGGCGTGTTCCAAGGACAACCTACGGCGTCATAGCAGGAAGGCTGGGGAGGCTAAATGCCTGATCCAAGGACATTCTACTTGTTGACGCGAGGTATACCCCTCATGCGGTCCGCAATCCCCGCAAAGTGGTGCAATATGAGATGATGCGCGGTAGGCGGCCCGCAGCATTGAAGGAATGAGGGCTTGGTCGGTGCCTGAGGGCTGCCATCCGCCAGAAATCTTCGGTGGAGAAAGTGGTCCGACGAGATCGGGGAAATGGCGGGCTGGTCCACCGTCTGAACTGGGGGAACCCGGGGCAGTGTTGGGGCAAATCAAATTACTCTTCCCTGGGATGCCATTCGATGAGTGAATGCGTATCTACAGGTGGTGACAGCCGTGACAATGCCAGGATTTCCGCCTAGCCCTACCGGGGGCCATGAGATGCCTCACGTCTCGCCCCGAACTCGCTACCTGTGGAAGTCAGCTTCTGTGTGGTGGGACTGTGTCTCTTCTGTCAGTCCGATCCCACCTGACATCCCTCGTAGGACCGGTTAACATCAAACAGCATCGGCAAACGGATATGACAGCTCCCTTCTCAACCCCCCCAAACAAAGCCGAATGCTGGATGTCGGCCAGTTCTTGTATTTGTATTGTCAACAGTGCTAGTTCCAGTTGAGACGATTTCAGGGAAGATATACTGATCATGTAGCTCCGATCCATCCATATAACAAGTAAAGTATACCACTACTGATAATTAACAGACAAGACAACACACCCAGAACCTCTCATATAAATTATAGGTTCAATTCCAAATACACCCTTTCTCTCCCCCCCCCCCCCCCCAACCGTCCTCTCTCTCAACGAGAGACAAAAAAAACAACAAGGAGAGAGAACTAACTACCAAGCACAATTCCCCCCATCAACCCTCAAATCCGCCTCCGTCACAAACGCACTGAACTTCCCGCTGTCGGCGAGGGGAGGGGATCGACCAGGCGGAGCTGGTCAAGTTGGCGCAGGCGAAGATGGGGGGTGGGCATGCTGTGCACACCCGACTCGGCCTGGTGTACAGGCAGCCTGGTCAATGCCAACAGATAAAAAATTTCAATGTCTTCAAGGGGTTGGAGTGGACTGGAGTAAAAGAATGATCGATCCAGTAGACTGCGGGGAAATCACGTGCCCATTGCGGGGAAGACCCTCCGTAGTTGTTGGGACACAGTCTTCGTTCCGTCTGTTCTCCAGATGGCCAGCGGATTTCCGTTTTGGCCTACTGGTATGAACTTAACATATTATTGAAACCATGCCACAATTAGTTTACAGCTGATGATGATGTCTACTAGTTAAAGTACAGTTACTAGCTATACATTGCTTCTTACTAAATCCGGCAGCTAACACAAGGTAGTCTGGTTGTTTTCTAGGAAAGGTTGAAAGCAAGGTGCTTATTAGAAGTATGTCTCGAGGACTTGTTAAAGGTATGAAATCAGGTACGCACAGCACCAAGGAATCAATCATTATACACTGCAAAGATAATATACCACGCCCTGTCTAATATGAGCAAAGAAAGGACGAAAGATGCATCAATACAAATCCCAAGCCGGTCCAAACCAAACCCAACCCAACCTCAACATCCAGAACTACATGCGCCGTCGATAGTACACCAGAATGTCAGTCGTCAACATGAAGAAATAGCGCTCACAGGATCATGATGTAAGACTATATTGAACAAGTATCAAGCGTATCGCCCCGGGGGCGTGTACTGCACCGGCTGGCCGGTCGGGCCTGGGTAGGGCGGCGGAGGCTCATTGCCTACCCCGTAATAGCCTCGCGCGGGCCACTGGTTCATCTGCGGTGGTGGAGGCATAGGGCCTGTCCAGCCTCCGTATGCTGGACGTGGCATAGGCTTGGGCGCGCGGGCCCGGCGACAGCGCCCCAGTATGCAGGAGCAAAGTGCAAGCAGGATCAGGACTCCCACGGCGCAGGCGACACCGATCACGATGCCCTTATGGTTCTTAATCCAGGACTCGACATTCTGGCCCTTGCAGTCGCCGTTGCTGCAAGATCCGCCATCGCCACAGGGAGTGCCGTCCAAGAAATTTTGGTTGACGCTGTAACATTCGCCGATTTTCGGGGACGTGCAAATCAGCTCACACGAGGAACTGAATGCGCTGCATGCATAGGTGTCGTTGCTGTGCAACAGGGTGCCCATCACGCTCCGGCATTGGTAGTCCCGGCTGGTGCACTGGCCGCTGGCACAGGTCAGCCCGGCGCCACTGCTGCCGCAGCTGGTGCCGTCCTTCTTGAACGCGTCTGTAGGACAAGTACTCGAGTTGCCGCTGCACGTCTCAGCCTCGTCACAGTCTCCGCGGCTGGCCCGACACACCGTACCGGCCGACGAATACTGGCAGCTGGAGCAACAGCTGTCGTTGGAATCGTCGCACACAGCCCCGGACTTGAACTTGCATGTCGTGGCGTCACAGCACTTGTTGTCCCCACAGGACTCTTCCCCGCCACAGTCACAGTCTTCGCCAGACTCGACGATCCCGTTCCCGCACTGGCTGCCGGTGTAGGTGGTCACGTCGCGGTTGGCGGACAAACAGCTGGACTTGACGCTGTTGCCGCCCAAAGCCGAGCAGATGTTGCCGATGGTACATTTCGAAAATGCGGTGATGTCCGTCCCGGTTGTAGGGTTCATGATGTACTTCCCATCCGCATCGCAGGTGGAGGTGGTCAACGGACAGCACTGAGACGTGGCCTCAAGATCTTGTGCGCAAGTCTGGGAGTCGCAGTCGTGGACGGCCCCGAAGGTGTGGCCGGATTCATGCGCAAAGATTTGCCAGCTGGCCCCGGAGGAACGGACGACGACGTTGGTTCCGCTGACCGTGCTGGAACCATCCGAAGAAGCATCCGAATTGCAGAGTTGGCCTAGCCAGGCCAGTCCGACCTCATTTCCCGTCGCGCAGTTACTCATCAGGGTCCAATATGCGTTGTCGTCGGTTTGGTCTCCGCGCCACTTGGAGAACAGGTCCAGTCGAGAAGTGAGATTCCCGCTGGAGCAGGGCATATTCCACGCGGTAGCAGCGGGTGGATTGTCGGGACATGAGCTGTCGGTGATGGTCAGGTTCCGCAGGCCGATGGTGATGTTGAACGCCTTTTCGTAAACACTGGATGCACTGTTGACAATGCTGATGACCGATTCTTTGGCGGCGGTTTCGTTGCCAAATGAGCCGGTAAATGAACAGTCCGTTGCAACGCCAATCAGGGCCACTTGCTTGGTGTTCGGACAGCCCGACGTGTCGCCAATGGTCGACTGCAGGTTCACCCCGCCGGCATTACCGGTCACATTCCCAATGTCCGATTGTCGCCTGCTGAGTCCGAACATCGAAGTCAAAGACATGCCTCCCCAGGCACTCGTGTCTTCCTGGCCGAAGGATTGCAACACAGGATGATTTGGGTCGGTGTTGAAACCCAGCTTATCGGCTTGACACGAGGTCGACCCGAGCGATGAACGCTTGAGTTCCGTATGCCGACGCACCATATCCGAGTCCCGATAGAAGACCATATAGTCCGTCGGCGTATTCACAATGTCGACATCCTCGTCGCGCTTTTTCTCCAGGTATGTAGATTTAAGTTCGACGTGATGGTTGTCGCCATTGACACTGAAGACTCCTTCGAATAGCGGGTCCGGCCCGTCATTCTTCAAGTAAATCCGCGTCCATCCGACCGGATCCCACATGCTTTTGCCTCGACCGAGCAGACTTCTCCCCTTGAAGACCTTGTGCTCGTGTCGCGCAATGGGCTCTTCCCGTCGAACATTGCCGTCCGCGTCGAGGTACTGCACGTAGGCATCTTCGGCCAGGATGTCGTGATTAGGCTCGAGCTCGAGCTTTATCCGCTGGTCATTGTCATGGAGATTGAAAATGATGTCAAAATTGGACAGATGATCGACCTGCTGCGAGGGTGTCTTGATTGTGGTGTGGTCGAGAGTGGAAACATGTCGGATGGCACTTGGTGATTGAGAGCGAGCTGTGCGAACTAGTATTAGTAAAACCATGCAGCCACGGTTGCGCAGCACTGACCTTGTACATTGACCCCCAAGAGGGAGATTGCACTTGCAACGAGGGGGATAGAGTAAGTAAGAAACCGCATGGCTGACAGCGAGCGATACAGCCGATTGGAGAGGATAGTCGGATCAACAAAGAAGAAAAGCGAAAGTTCAGGAGACCCCTTTGATTCCCAGCATCAGGCAGCGACGTAAAGTGAAACCGTCCCTTCACGCGGCGATGGACCCGGTCGAGATCTTGGCTCGGGGTCCGATCATGTATGACGGGTCACACCGGAGATGAAAGATAACTGGCGATGTGCTGTTTTTCTCCGAGAACCCACAGCTTCACGAGTAGTATACACTGGGAGCGGATGTGAGCGCGACAACAACAGACAGCAGACAGGCTCGCTCACGACGAGGTGGAAAGGGATTCCGACAACAGCGAACGACCAATGTTGGGCTTGGCTGGGGCGCAGCCGCCTTGGCGGGCGGGTGGGAATTGCGAAAGAATGAAGGGAATCGATCCCACGAGAGCAACAAAACGATCGTTGTGTAACGAAGGAGGGGGGGGGAAACAAAGAGAAGGAGAAGGCGTGGTTGCGGCGGAGGGGAAAGAATCGAAGAAAGGCGGAGGAAGAAAGATGGGAAGATGGAAAGATGGAGAGGGATTGACAGGGTCTCTTTGGACCCCTTGGGTTGTCGCGGACAACAACGCCAAGCCCCCGGCGCTTACGGACGGTTGGCGGACTGTCGCCATCGAGCCATCGACATCAACGCAATATGCATCATTCTTCATTCATTGCTCTCCCTATGTACATAATCATCATGGTATGGAAAACACACAGGTTTAAGGATTAGTCAGGAGCCATATGGAACATTTCGTGCGCTTCTCGGGCAAAATGCGGGATCAATGCGCCACACACAGCACAGGCTACACAAGCCATCGTACGGTCTTCCCCGTCGCTCTCCTCCCAGGCATCATTCTCCACTTGACTCCAAGGAGCGGCTGGGGAACATGCAGGGCGCAAGGTTTCCGCGTGGTGTAGATTCATACTGCCACGCTCGGAAACAGTCTCCGGCTCTGCAATGCGCCGCAATCCTTGACTCTGGAACATCTTGCCAATGTCGCGCCCGCTGCTCTGCTTCCGATCCCCAGCCGCATCGACCATGTTAGTTACCGCGACATTCATCAGGCGCAGGTTCCACTCGGACCTCTCTGGATGAAGCTTGCGGAACATGGAGAGGAGCTGGTCGTGCACCAGTCGCTCTGCCAGCGCGTCCACGTTCTCATCAACATGGAACGCATAGCCAGGCAATGGGGCCGAGCGCGAGATCCTACCTATATGAAGAGCTTGGGTTCCTTCTATGGTTGACCGAGGACGTGTGGACAACCGTAGGGTCCGAGGCCGAGCGAGCCATCGGACTTTAGGCACCCCTGAGAGACTCGAGGTCTCCGAAGATGGGTCCGTTGGACTGTCAGCATCGTTGTCCTTTTCCGTCAGATCTGTCCGCATCCGACGGAGAAGGCTCCCTGTTAAAAGAATCAGCTCTTTACGCACGCCGTCCAGGGTGTCAAGGCGACCGTAGGAATCTTCAATGCTGATCTGCGTGGGCAAGTCTCCAGTTTGGATGACCTCGGCATTGTCTACGCCACTGAGGAGTCCCCATACCCGCGCACCGATATCCCGGGGAGCCCCTGAGCCCCCTAAGATCCGATCGAGGAGGGACGGGCCCATGCCAGGCAACAACCGCACGTCCCTAACGGTAACCCTGTCGGGGTTCGTGGCCACGTCTGAGGCCAAGGCTGAGCCGGATTGAGCGCCTCCATCAGTCAGACAGTTCGTGAGTTTCCGGGTCAGCTTGGAGCCGATTCCAGGGATCTTCCTGATCTCGTGCGCGTCGACAAAATCAGCCACATTACCGGGCGCAGCCGGCTCCGTGGTTACATACGGGGGAAGCAGCGTGGTCTGGTTGTTGGGTTTATGAGTGCTGCCTACCAGCTTGGCAAGAAGCTTGGACGTCGAAATCCCCACCGTGGCAGTGTAACCTTTGTGATGCTCCAGTTGACCGCGAAGATAGCCTGCCAAATGCGAGGCCACCAGCAATCGGGTGCGAAGGCCGGATGCGTCTTCGTCAGCTGTCGCCGAGGGCGCAGTCGTATTCGGACCAGCAGGGTAGGTGGAGCCGCACACTCGGGTGGCATCATATGTGAAACCCACAGTGGGTTCCAGGCGGTCAAGGTGAAAGAATGAACGTTCCAGATCATGGCGGTTCAGCAGATCAACGTTGTAGGCGATCATCTCGGTGACATCCAGGAACAACTGTAGGTGTGTATCACTATCAGGAGGGGGAGTCAGATGAAACCGAGTCTGTGTCGCAACGTACCTCGTCAAAGCCCAACCGTTCGACCCTCTCCCCCCAAACGAATGATTTGATGTAGAGAAAAATTTCTTTCGAGGCATCGCGAAACTTGGACAGGTCTTCCCCCAAGACGATGACGACGTCCGGACAGATCTGCTTGGCCTCTCTGATCAACTGGAGTTTGCGCAGCCCCCTCCGGCGGGCTTCATAATTACAGGTCACTACGATCTGTTTCTGTTGAACCGCCAACGGCAGCGTTTTCAGCACGGGCTGTTCCACCTCGAAGACAGAGGCGTAGAAACAGTCATAATCCTGTGGGGAGCAAGGACGAAGTTAGCAGGCTGTTGGGCCAGGGCTGAGTCAAGGTCGCAGGATTTGGGTTCCGATTGCGTGAGGGACTGACCAAGTGGAGGATGGTTCGGCGGTCATCTCTGGATGGAGCCGCCGCCATGAACTACCTACTCACTTAAGCAGTGGATGATTATGTACCCCGTGCAGAAAATTCGGATGGTCTATGGTAGACTGGCAGAAGGCTGGCGATGAATCTGAGACAAAAGGCTCAGCAAGCAACGGAGCCCATCCGCCAAGCATTTGCTGCAGGGTGCAGAGACTCAGAGATGGAGACACCTAGAATATAGATACTAGATAGTAGATAGTGCCATGCAGCAATCATCATTCATCACGACTAGTGTAGAGTGGTAGTGGAGGCAGCAGATGCAGCAGATGGCGACGATTGGATGGTGGTGGATGCTGCAGTGGGACAATTCAGCCGGTGAAGCCCATTGTTGGACGCAGGCAGGTGACCGGCCTCTGATTGGCGTAGAAACCCGCGGGCTGGGAAGTGGCTGGCAACGCCGGTCACGCTGGGCGGCTGGGGTGAAACGCGGTTGGACAGACCCTGGCTGACTCACCCTGCCCGAGACTGGCCGGCTAACCGCATCTGTCATTTCCCCACAGAGCTCGTGCAGGGACTATGCCATATATAGAACACCGCGTCATCTGCAGCGCTGATTGGCCCAGACAGGCCCAAAAGGATGGCAGCTGGCTTAGCTAATCAAGGCGACGGTGCCAAAGCTACTATAAATATCGAGCGCGTGCCCCAGTGCCACTCCAACAATCAACAACGTGGAGGTCAGAGGATTCAGAGGACTCAGAGAACTCAAAAGGCCGTTAGGAATGTTCTCAGACGGAGCGGGGATCGGGCTGGTCGAGCGATGGATCTGCCGCGTGTCTCGGCCGGTCGTTGAAGGGCAGATGGAATGGAGCCGTTCAGGATGGGCCATTCGGCCATTCTCGATCACCAGAAAACTGGGGCCTGTCGGAGGCGGCGTCAATAGTTGAGATATAATTAGCAGGGCGGCGGTCGAGAGGGACAAGATGGAGATGCGCAGTTGATAGGATGATAGGATGGAGAAGGCTCATAATTTTAGCACTTTGATTAAGATTAATTTCCACTGCAGGAATTTTCTTTGCCATCAGTTCAGGTTGCATCTAAGAAGTTGGTTGATCCATCCATCTTCCACCACATGGACCACTGCATACTCAACCATCTTTAAAAACATACTTTGTTCTTCTCCAGCAGCCAGCATAACCAGCATGAGTTACTGCTGATCGTTCTAAATTGGGAAGCCCTCGTACAGGTGCCCACGTCGACTTGTCTCTGGGATTAAATTAATATTATTGCCATCCCACCTGGTCTTATTTCAGAACCTTATCGACCCTGTCTGCACCCCGAATCACACTCTCACACTCCTCGGCGGCGCTTAGTTGCTCGTCTTCTGCCTCTACCTCGTCTTCTTTCTTATTCTTCTGCCTCCTTCTTCCCCTCCTTCCTCGGCTCACCTCGTGTGTTTGGGGGCCTTCGCCATGCTCGCCACCCCGATGACCCCGCAATCCTCCCACCCGACTTCTTCTTCTTCCTCTTCCAACATGGCCTGCAGTGCCAATTCTCGCACTCTCTCCTCCAGGCCCAAGCTCACCCTCCAAACCACCTCCCTCCCCCGAACCTTTGGCACATCCTCGACGGGCTTGTCCCTCACCCTGACCACTGGGCCCACGGCATCTCCTACCGTCCGCAACACCTTCAAGAATGCCTACGAAGTCGCTAGCCCTCCATCCGCCACCGCGTCCCCCTCGTCCAAATACGCCAACAACCGCCTCAGCAAGCCTTCGTCGCCATACACCACACATAACCCCTACCAACTGCCGCTGGGGGTCAAGAGTATCCTACGCAACTCGCCGCTAGAGCCGAGCTGCCGCCGCCGGGCTGGTTCGGTGGCCACCACCGGGCCGAATGGTGGACCGAGCGCCCGGCGCGTCTTCTTTCCGGCCAAGAAGCAAGTCAGTTATCGCTGGCCGCTGGAGGAGGAAATCAAGACCGTGCACTTCACCGCTCGCCACTCTGATCTTCACCATGACCCTCTCCCCGCTCCTCAGCTGCCTGAGCCTGCCCCCTCAGATGAGGATTCCGACTCCAATGCGAGTGTGGGACCTTCGGATACCAGCACCTCTGAGGATGAGCCCGAGACCGGTACAGGAAAGACGCCCTTGTCTCCCGTCAAGCGAAAGAAGCGGAAACTTCCGAATGCCGACAGGCAGATTCGGGCCGTGGCCCTGATGGATGGAATCGCAGCCAGCCACAACCAAGACACCATGACGCCGCAGACGCCGTGCAGGAAACGGGCCAAGCGTCGCTGCGAATGGCGATGGACCCTGGGGCCGTTAGAGAATCGTGAAACCCAGCTCCATCCCGTCCCAGATGAGACTGTTGCTACCTCATCCGCGTCCCAGCCTGAAACGATACCGCTGGAGTCGGAAACCGAGACCCCCTCGTCTGCCCCGTCCTTGTCCAGTGCCAGTACTACCCTCTACCACTCCAGTCCCAGTTCATCTGTCGCTTCGGATCTGGAGCACATGACTCACGACCTTGGATGCACGCATGCCGATCAATGACTATAACCCATGCCTTGGGATGACCCCCTTGCATTGATGATCACGACTTATGCATATAGACGGCAGATGAACCCCACATTCAGCATTACCCTGTCCTATACATAGCTATCTACTCTCGACTTCATTCCTTTCTTGGTTCGGTCGTGCCTTGAATGTCCGGGACATTCAGGTGCTACAATGATGTCATCTACGTATACCTACCGACCAAGTTTTTCTTCCCTTCTTTATACATATACATTTATTTACTTCCAATAATACATACGTGCATGCATAGAGAATGCGTTTGACGCCAGATTACATGGCACCCATCTATCTATCTTGGACTATTCCCCACGCAGCGACGTCGATCCCAGATGCGTCCTCCTGACAGCGCTTAATATAGCAAGCTGTGGAGACCCTGGTACGGTTGACTTTGGTCGATCACTTGTAGCGTCATCACTAGTGATAGATGCGCAGATGTGCACAAATGGTGTCAGCCAGCCCTTGCTGCTGTACATTGTCATACGGTAGCTGTTCAGGGCTTCCTGTTTCCCTGCCTCTCTCACTTTATTACCTTCTTATCACTACCCCAAATTGACAGTCTTAACAGTGCCTCGGACCACCTGATTGGCCGCAAATGCAGCTCCACTCAGCCTGCAGGAAAGGCGACGACGCTGCTCAACGATGTGAACGACGCAGTCTCTCCATCGAAGAGAATACTATTAACTGCTTTCCATTTCTCTTGATAACGGTGGTCTACCGATACATCACCTTTGATGAGGCCCGGGTTACGTATTTCCTCTCACGAGGCTCTCGACATCTCTCAGAACTCTCAACTGTGTAAGCGATGCAAAGTCCTTGAGTTCGACAACCGAGAGCTGGGCGGCTCCATCAAGACGGGAACAGCACGTTACATTTACAAGCAATCTGGTGTATTCGTCCATTGGTTATGGTTCTCATCTCCCACAAGATAACGGGGGTTGGGAGTCAACGGCCAGGAACGAACCCCGCTCTCGAGGGGGCTTCTTGTACATACATCCTACTGAAATGTCGCCTGAGTATACTCGACTCGGGGTTTTCGATTACAGACCGAGGGGCCGAGGTGGGACTACTACCTTTTGGGACCATGCTGAGAGGTTTCATATCAGGCTTGTTTGAGCTTGTGTTCTCTGGTTGGAGTTATCGTACATAGTATCATTTCTAGAGTATCGTTATACAGGAAGTGAAATCGACATTATAACCCCCGTGAGTGATAAAGATAACAATGTGTAAAGTTACCACGTATCATTCATATCCATTCGTAAATGCATGCATACATACTAACCCTAATCCTAATCCTACATCTTCCATACCCCCACATATTACATACAAACCCCAAGAAAAGAAAAGCGATATAGAAAAAAAGAAGAGGGGCCATCATGTCCCCGTCTCGGTCTCAATATCCGGTTCCCGACCCGACAAATCCCCCGTAAACTTCCTCTTCACTCTCCGTAACGCATACTTAGTCTCATCTCGCGCAAACACCGCATTCCTCACAGGTCGCCACTGCATCATCCCCCGTTGTTGGCGCTTCTCGCTACGTTTATTCGCTTTCTTGATGGCCGAGTCGTCGGTGCTACTGCGACTCGGACCAGCACCTGCACTACTGCTCCCGCCACCGTTGGTGGACATGGTGCTTTGCGAGACGCGCTGTTGGTGCGGGTAGAATTCGTCTTCGTTGTCGTCTTCTGTTTCGCTTGAAGAGGAGGATGAGGAGGGTTCCTCTTCGGCTTGGTGTTCGAGGTGTTCTTGTTGCGGGGTGGATTGGTGTTGCGCTTCTTCGGCGTGCATGGTGCCGTAGGATTGAGCGACGGTGGGAGGAGGGTTGACGGGGTCGTGGGGAGGTTGTTCGCGGCCTGGTTCGGCGACTTGGTGGCCGTGTTGGTTGAGGTAGGCGCCTGGGTCGTGGCCGAAAGCGCCGCTCCAGTCTTGGCCTTGCTTGTCGATCCAGCGTTTGCGTTCGCGGGGTTCGGCGTGCTTGAGGATGTCGCGGCCGTCGACGAGGGATTTCTCGTGCAGCTCTTCGAGGTCCTCGGGGATTTCCGAGGAGATGCGGCGCGAGCGGACGCCTTCGGCGATTAGGGCTTCCCAGGATTCGAAGGTCTCGCGGGATTCGTTGTCGATGACGAAGCGTTCGTGGGACTCGTCGATTCCCGGGCTGAAGTAGGCGCGGAATTGGAGGCGGCCGACCTCGTGGAGGTCTTCGAGACCGGGGTTGCGTTTGATGTGGCAGTTGGTTTCGGTGATGTAGTTCTGGGTGAGACGTTTGCCGTTCTTGGTGGACCAGATGGGGATGTCGATGGGGGTTTCTTCGTTGTCGGCCATGTGTTGGAGCCAGTAGACGGCGTAGGCGCTGGGGTGGTGGTGGCCTTGCTGGTGGAATTCGAAGACGACGGGGGATCGGTAGCGATGCTTGACGGGGAGGCGGAGGCTGCGGCGGTAGGCCTCGTCGGAGAGGTCGAAGGTCATGTTGGGTCCGTGGATGGAGCAGACATGGCGGGTGATCTTGCCGCTGCTGCCGCCAGTGCGGAGACGGATCTTGGAGCGTTCGTGGTAGTTCTGGACGGTGATCTGCTCCGAGGTGAATTCGAAGGTGCCCACGTCCCAGCCGAGCATGTTGGGAGGCAGTCGAGTCTCGACGTGCCGGAAGAGGAGTGAGATGCGGATACGGCCGAATCCAATGCCGCCGTCCAGAGGATACCATCGGGTGACTTGCGAACTGGTCTGGAGGATGTCGGAGAGCTTCAGGGGGATGACGCCGAGGATGGGGTCGTGTTGGCGATACCGTTGGTCTCGGACGCTGATGGTGACAAAGGCCGATCGCCAATCTCGGACGAATCGCTCAGTGCCGGCGTTGAAGATGGGCTTGGAACTTAGGGCTTTGGCACGAGTGCGGTAGATCTGAGGAAGGTCAGGGATGGGGATGGGAATCTGTGGGAAAGAACGGGGGTGTGGACTGACCAGCTCGTCGTTGAGGATGATCTTGCAGTAGCTCGTGGGCAGCTTCTCGCCTTGTTCCTCCTTCTGTTCACCATACGGTTTGGCCGGCTCGTAATCCCTCCCTTTGCGGTTGCCGTGGCTGCCCTTGACGTTCTCAACCTCCAGGTTGACAATCTGATGGACCACGATGCTCAAGATACCGCTGGGCCATAGAGGATCGGGGGGTGTCTTGGTGATGGCCTCCTCTTGTTCATTGCTGATGACACCCTTTTCGTCCTGGAACTCGGGGGTGTCTTTGAAGTTATCCGGCAGATCCTTCTTCTTGCCGTCGGTTCTCAACTCGGCCCTAAGTTTGGGTTTGCCGAAGAACCCAACTTCCCAGTGCAGTTCTCCCGGCATCTCGCTGCCCTCGTTGAGACCCTGGAGCTTCGAAACCTGGGCATACATCTTGCCAGGATGCTGGATCATCTTCCGAATGGGCAGTTCCACTTTCCCAACAATGTCGTCCGCGGTAGTTCGATCCGAGTCCCAGAGCTCGACGCTCAGAGCTTCGTCCGCCTTGATCAGTTCTGGCGTCACAAGCAACGCTGCGGTTTCCTCCCAGACTGGATTCAAGTCGTCCTCGATCACGCGCGTGCAGTACATGGGTTTGCCGTACTTGGAGAACGAGAGGTTGATGTAGGGGTCGCTGCCACCGCCGTAGCTGCCACGTCGGTCCTGTTTGCTCAGTCCTATCGCACGGTGGATACGAATCCACATGATACCCAATGCCTGGGTCTCCTTGACGATATCGTCTCCCTTGAGCAACATGCTAAGATCCATTGTCATGGACTTGGGGGCCGCAAACAGACCGCTGGCGGTGGCAATCGCATAGTTGACGAAGTTGGAGATCAACGGGAGGTTCAAGATGTTCACGCCTCCTTTAACCATGGGCATGCATCCAGCTTTGATGTGGGGAAGTCCAACCAGACTGAAAGTGACGTCTTTCATGAATGGGGCCTCTGGCATCATCTGGAATCGCGCACGCACGGTGCCTACCATCTCGATCAGCTCCACGAAGACCGGAAAGGGCACGCCAAAGAGGCCTTTGATTCCCAGGTAGAATACTATTTGCATGTGCATGTTGCGCGCCTTGGACGAGGTGGTTTGACCGCTAGGTTTCGCATGGTAGGCAAAGGAGGCCTCGATATTGTAGTAACTACCGCCCTCCTCGGCGGCTGCAGCCTCCTGGGGATCCTTGTTCTTAACATTTTCCTCATGGATGTGATCTTTGAGTTGCTGAACGTGTGAGTCTGGCAGTGATCGCAGGCTCAGAATCCGTATCGGGTTATTGCCCTGGTCAATCTCTGCAATCCGAACGTTCTCCACTACCCCAGGCGCTGAAGCCTGCATGATATCTTCGATGGTATCCGCAACAGGCGACAGCATTTCGGGGTTGATGAGTCCCCAGAAGACCCCAAGGAAGGAATTCATCCATTCAACTGACTCGGGTAGCAGGTTCGCAGTAGCCTAAGATATAGCCTGTCAGCCTCCTCTACTCATCCAGAAGAGCAACACGTACCATCTGCCCTCTAATCTGCTCACTACTCCATTCCATCTCCCGACCACTTCGAATAAGCTCTTGTATCCACAACCACACAGCACTTGCAACACCAAATGCCAAAGGCAGCAGACCCCATAATGAGCCACCGAATATCCTGCCTGTGAAGACAATAGCAGCAACAATGCCCAGACACAGACCCATCCCCCGACTCTCCAACTTATCAAACATCGGCTTATACGTCACCGTCGGCGTAGGATGAAAGAGAATATTAGTCTTCTCTCCATGAATCGGCACATCTGACGTCGTCCCCTCCGCAATGGGATCCGGCGGCGCCGTAATATCCTGATTCTCTTTATACTGCGAAAGACTCTGAGTCGCTTCGGTCTTGACATCCTACCACACCACACCAACCTAATCAGCATCATCCCATGATCATCTCATCTCACACCCCCCACAGAAGAGTATCTACTCACCGTCGGCTTCCCAACATTCGCATTCGGAACCACAAGCTACATACCACCACCCCAGTCAATCAGCAACCCACAACACCAACACCAAACCAAGATAAAATATCAAACATACCTTCGGATCCTTAACCGCATCCATCGCCTCCTCATCCAAATCCTCCACCTCAATTTCCTTCCCCGTCGTCGGATCCGTCACCATCCGCGTCTTCCCCGACGTCCTCCTCGGCTTATGAGGTATCTCCTCCCCTCTCTCCTCCTGCTCCTTTCGTTTCGCAATGAGCGCCTCCTCATGAGCCTTCCTCTCCTGCTTATCAACTTCCAATCTCTCCAGAAACCGCCCGATAGTCGGCACCGGGTTCGCGCCGCTCCAATGCTCCCCTACCCGGTGGGTTTTGGGCGATTCTCGACCATTGTGTGGTTGGGCCATTGTGATGAACTTTTTTGATTAGGGATGAGGATGGGGGTGTGGTTGGGTCCCTAGCTTCGTGAAGCCGGGTGAGAGGTTGGAGGTAAGAGAATTGAGTTCGTGGAACAGACAGACAAGTAAACGCCAGTCAGGTGAAAATGAGGGTGAAGTCAGGGTCGGCCCTACGCAAATGCACTACGTCATTGTGGAGAGGGGGGAGGGTTGCCAATGGGATGATAGCCCGGGGGGAGGAAGCTTGCAAGGGAGGTGTAGGTTGTGATGATCCAGACCGGATGGGTTTTGTTGATCGTGGAGAATATTCCTATGCATGTATCTAGTAGGTGTTCCATGTTGGGTTCTTGGATTCCGTCATTGCGGCGGAAAGTCGGGGCTTGGCGCGCGGAGGGAAGGAAGGAAGCTGGGCTGGGTTGGGCTGGGCGATTTAGAGGTTGTATGTGTAGAAGCTATGAGTAGTGAGGGTTGATGAGGGTATTTACTACATAGTTAATAATGGTCATTAATGTGGTGATGGGATGAGATGGGATGAGATGTTCTTCTGTGGCATGAAGCATAAGGGTGGATGGACAGCGGGCGGAAGTTGTTGTTGATGATGATGACGTCATTGTTGTACTCTTGTTTGTAAGGCAGCATGATGCTGACTGACATGGCATTTAGATCATGCCATATTCTATTATGCACTGGGCACATAGTAGTATATCGTTTATGCTGATATCTTGATGGCAGGCCTTTCTCCACCTTGGTTATTTATAGACTGGGACAAGATTGTCTATCATCGTGCCCGGATATACTGCTGTATAGTATGGGTGGCAGTAGCTACTAGACAGGGAGGTAGAGAATCGAGGCTAGGTATATTACATAAAAAGCGGGAATATAAACATGAAATAGTTGAAATGAATGACTCATTGAACCATTGCAAGAGAAATGATGGCATAGTACTACTGTATATATTGTCCCATTCCAGTATACACCAATTAGTATATATCTTGATTGCAGTGCTCATAGATCTAGAATCTTAACAAGAATTGACACAACCATAGGAATACACCTAATGAGACTACCATTCCATAACCAGCTACTTACTTCATCACCAGGACACATAAATTGAAATCCAGCAGCTGTAGCAGAACATCTCCAATCGCATAGATAATATACCTCGATCGCAGGTCACGTGACCCTAGTCTGGAGATGGCCGTCACGGCCACTCACACCGCCGCAGCACCGCAACATGTGGCTTTGCCTACCACCTCACCACTCACCACTCACCAAACATTCACCTTCTCGAGCAACCTTCCACCGGATGCTTTACCAAACCCCATAATCCTTTGGAGATTTCATAATCCCTCTAATCAAAAACAACACAGTCCAACACCATCAAGCAAAAACAACAGCACAGACAAACCAACGCCGAAGACCCAAACCGAGCCTCAGCTGCTTTTCAAGATCACACAACCACCACCAAAAACAACCAACCTACAATGTCATCTCCAGCCGAGGAATCTCCGGCCCAGAGAGCCGCCCGACTCCGTCGCGAACGCCGCGAAGCTAAAATCAAAGGCGATGGCGCTGCCCGTCTCGACAAGATCACCAGTTTGAGCGGCCGGACGCCGGCGAGTCGTACGTTATCCAGCATATTCCCTTGTACAAGACAAGACAAGATAGGGTTCAGCTAACAACTCCGTGCTTACTACCAATATAGTCCGTGAAGAAACCTCTCCATCCCCCTCCCCCACCCCACAACCACCGGTCACTGCATCCCCGGCGCCCGAACCCCGGGCCACGACTGCACCGGCACCCCAGCCAGTTTTCCCAGACCAGCAGCAAAGCCCCGAATCCCTCCAAGCGCAACAAGAGCTCTTCCGGGCTCTACTCCGCCAATCCGCCCCGCCCCAAGGTACCACGGAGGGGCAGGAGGTTGCGGGGGAAGAAGACCCGACCATGAAGCTACTGTCCAGCCTTATGAACGGCGAGACCAATCTTAATGAGAATGCTCTACCCGGTGGCCAGTCTCCCGCGGACTTGTTGACTGGTCTGGGAGTTCCGCCGTTTGTGGCGAGCATGTTGGGAGAGGCTACGCGACAGAAGACGGACGCAGAGAAGCGAGAGATTTTCGTGTGGAAGGTGCTTCATGTGGTGTTTTCGGTGCTTATTGGGATTTATTTGTTGGTGTTGATCGGGTCGTCGGTCGCGACGTATGGCAGTCAACCCCCGCCGCCGGCGACGGCGCGGAATCCGTTTGTATTCTTCACCACGGGGGAGGTGGTTCTTAGCGTAGCGAGGATTATGATGAGGGGTGGGAAGGGTGGGTTGGGGATGTGGTTGCAGTTGGCGAAGGATATCTCAAGGGATGGCAGTCTGGTGCTATTCCTGTTTGGAATGGCAAACTGGTGGCATCGGGAGTGGATGGCTAATTAGGGTGCTGATAGGCAATTTTCATTTTCTGCCAGGGCTGTTTCATTGTTATGACATGGTGTGCCGGCTTTCTGCATTTACGAATCCATTTCGCATTCTTAAACGCTCGGCCGTTGGTATTCTGATGCCCGTTGCATGCAGGGGCTTGTTACTTACTATTTGCTTAACAAGTGCAAGTAGCACAGCTCCCACGTGCGTAATCGTGTGATTGTGATGCATGGACCGGTTAGCTCAGCCCTTTCCAAGACAATTTCAATCCTGACCCGGGGTCTCCCACCTTCGACTGTCACTGGCCAGTGCGCCCTATTCCTCGGAACTGGAAGAGGTTGATATTAGCTGTAAAAGCGTTGCTAGTAATCACTAGCAACGTCCGTCCAAAAATATTAAAATAAGACACCAGACAACGCGTACTGATCCATCGGGTGAACTAGGGAAAGTAATAACGGCTAGATAGGGGCAAGGAGGGTCGTTGGGACGGGCTTTCCTAGTTCCTAACTTCCTACCGTCGTGTTTTGGATGCAGACGGTCTAGAGATTCGCCGTTTTCCACCCCCGAGCCCACCCTGGTTGGCTCATCCAAATGGCCACTAAAAACTAGCGGCGGGCTCAGATGTCGAACTCGAAATGGCAAAAGCGGACCGAGAAGCTTAGTGGCCGGGCCAGGCTGTCCCAGTGTCAGTACCCAAGCAGTAAGTACTGCCTAGCCTAGGTATAGATAGGCACCAGCTGAAAAAGGTAGGTCCAGTCAGAACGGGAAGATTTCGTGATGAGTGCCGAGAATGCGCATTCTTTCACCGGCTGGGATCATGGACCAGTCTATCACTCAATGCAATATCCAGGCAATTATCAGGTCTGCTATGTGCATGACCGGGACTCCGTATATGCATAGCCATCTGCGTTAGTATGTCGAGTCGGGTGGCTAAGTACCAAGATAACTGATATTAACAGTGATAAGCGGAAAGGGGGGCAAGGTGGGCTTGACGTTGTATCGGGAGGCTCCCTAGAGACTGCGGTGGGTGAAGTGGTCGAACATCTACCGACAATGGAAGACGTTGATTTGCTAACCTTGAGAGGGTCTGGAAGATTAGCATGAAGGCTCTGTACTCGGCAGTGGGTATCCAAGGGCTAAACGGGACACCCGGGACCGGAACGCACTCACCTTATTATTACGAACGGGTGCGAAGGGGTTGGAGCTGAAGAAAGAAGACATGTCGGTTGAGAGAAGCAACAAGGCTCATCTTAAGTGGCACCGAGCGACGAATAATACGATTCCCTCGCCCGCGAATGGAAAGATGGAGGAGCACGCCGAGCGTCGATCGGAAAGCGGCTGATTTGGCGGCATTGAAGTCGAATGGGGTTATGCCGGCCGGCCTCCACAATCCCCTGCTGGTGGTGAAAAGCTGTTCCGTAGTCCGTAATCGCATTAGCATCGTTATTCCAGCATTGATGGCATAATCCAGGCTGCCAGCCTGTGACACCCATAAACCTCCCCACATGAAGGGGAACCGTGGTGGTAGTAGTATGGTGGGGATGTTCACTGTCTCGGGGCTAGCAGTGACTTGCACACATCTGGATTCTGGCCTCATTCCATGTACAATAGAAGATTGAGCTATTTCATGGCAATCGGTTCCAAATCCCAAAAATGAATATTCGGCTGTCTGAAGGAACAGGATGCAGTCCTTCCAGTTCTCCGTGCAGGGCGTTGGAGAGCAAAGCCTAGGTCCGAGAGATGTCCGCGGCCACGGGGAGAAGGAGCGAGACATAGCCGAACCCCAGCAGAACCACGGCGGTCCCGACTGCCCCTCGACCCGTTCCAGCACGACCCGGATAGAGATGATCGACTGTCTAACTGTAGCCAAGGCATATGTAAATCATCGGCATTAGCGAAATATGGGAGTAGGGACGGAGTACTGTGGAAGTCACTGCAACTTGGAATTATCTATTCGGGTGAGGTGTTCATCATGATAGGCCACTCACTTGCAATTTCCCTCGTTAGCTAAAGTACTGCCGTATCAATACCCTTCGGTATGGTAGATAGGTTGGATGGACGTATCTAATCTATGGACGATCATAGCCATCCCTCGCTTGGTTCCACGTCCAGTGACACCTGGTAGCATCTGGGATATACCCGCCCACTTTTGGATCTCGACATAGGGAGTTCTTAGTGTGGTAATCATAGTGGTATGTAGATAAGCCGGCTTTGTACTTATTGTAGTAGGTGAACAATGCGACAAGATAGATACCACTAGTACCAGGAGGTACTATCTCCGTCTTGTCCCCGGATTGTGTACTTATGGACCAAGTAGATAGCAGGTAGGTATGGAGAGCATCAGCTGAGATGACCTTCGGTCCTACCAGGCCTTCTACCATGGCCTGCTCACCGAGATGCTCACCGGACGCTAACTAGGAAGTACTAGCAGGTCAGCCTACTGCAACTCCCTGGTTAGTAAGTCAGGCACTGCCTGCGGGCGATACAGGGGCACCCTAATCCGGCTTCAGTGAAACTTCCGCGAACAGAACCGCAACCACTGGTTGGATGTTTCATTGGACCATGCAACCCAGCTATTGCCATTCATTAAACAATCCAGGGACAGCCACAGCGATCTATCCCTGCCGTGCATGTGGATAGATTCCTAGATAATAGGCATCTAGACGGTCGACTATCTAGCTACCCACCTCGATTGCTTTATAAATTCCTCTCATCCACGGTCATGCCAAATCTTACTAGGAGCAGTTCCCGCGAAAAAGTAGCAGTAAGGTTTTGGCTCCCCCGCGCGGCACAAGCCTCGCGAGGATGGACACGTTCCAGTTGCGAAATCCCCCTCGGATCGGGTGCTTGGCGAGTGTTCGTGTGATCCCCTGCCGCGCCCCAAAGATTTCAATACCGTCCGCATTGGGCAAATCTGGGGTAGGCCTGATGATGATGGTGATGGCGGTTGTCTGGGCGCACAGACAGATCGTAATGCTCTGGGGCCGAGATGTCCTCGTTGGACTGTGCCCTGCGTACTCTAGATGTATCTAGAACAAGCACAGTACTTTCTGAGGCCCCTCGGCCCCGTGTTTAGGGAATAGTATGCCAAACATTAGACGGACGCAAGCATCCTTCTATACCGGAGTAGGCTAACGTCACAGCCAGCGAATTTGGAAGAGAGCACAGTAGTATCTAATGAAATGTAATAACCCCAAGGATTGTTCACTGGAGGGCAAGTGGTGAATTGTCGCTGGTGGTAGATCGTCGACAGCCTTCCCCGGAGCAACGGAAACGAGAGCCTGTCAAGCCCCGCATGGCCGAGCCCAACCTTTGGGTGGCGCGTTTGGACTAGTGCGCGTGAATGCGACAGGGATATCAAACGCCATGCAGAAGACGCCAGTCTAGTGGCATGAAAGGTCTGCCGGGAAAAGACTGTCCCTACTCGCTCCTTATCATGACCCGCAGCCACTACACTTAGTCCCAGGCCCATTCATTATAGTAGGCGTAGTCTCCCGAAGGTGGAGGAGGGGGGAGGGGGGGGGGAGGGCCGCTTAGTATCAATCCCACTTCGGGAGGTAATTTAGATTTCATTCGTATGTACCGTTCGTGTCTGAAAGTAAACCCAATAAACCAAACCAACACATCTGACGCATCATGATCTCAAGAGAGGGGCAATAGATGGAAGGAAACCCCCCGGGAATCGCGCCCCGCGAGAATTAGGTTACCTGCGTAGCCGATCGAGAGAGGAGTGAACCCTGGGCCGACGAGGTTAATCAACACGGTCGCGCGGAAGGGAAAGGACGAGCGAGCCAGCCAGTCAGTGGACGGAGGGATTTGGTTGGATCAAAACGAGGTACCTACAGAGTACCTACAACTTTCCTCCCCAGCAGCTAACCTACGACCGTAGTGACCGTACCAACCAAGTCAACCAAGTGCCTCCACCGGACACCGGGGGAGCGGGACCTCAACAATAATTAAAATCATAGTAATAACTTTCTACTCTGTCTGAGGTATCCATCCATCCCTCCCTCTCTTACTTACTAGTCGGCCCTTTGGGTTCAATAATAAATAACTGTCTCTCTTCCCCATCCTGGGCAACAGCTGCTTTTGCTTTTCTCTCTTCCCTCTCAGTCTCCTCCCTCTCTTTCTCTCTATTACTACTCTTAGATCCTCCCCCCTCCTCCCCCCTCTCTCATCCTTTGGCTGTGGCTTCTCGAGTCTAGTCCCATCACTACCGAGGAAACCCGCTTCTGCGCGAAACTCTGCCTCAACCCCCACCAACCAGCGCTGCTGCAATTCTTCGACAAGGTGAGCTTAATCTCCCCACCCGCAAACTCACGTGCGCTGCTGTACCGGAACTGACCTTCGGTGTTCCCAACAGAAGAATTGCCATTGGAATCTCACCTTCTATCACTTTTGACCTCGCATAGCTCAAGCACACCGTTTCGTTGGGCCCCGCAAACATGGCCGACGGCAGCGTTATGCCTCCCAAGCCCTCCGTGGTAAGAAATCACGCCGCCTTTAGCCGAGTAATCGCCGATTCCCGTGCTAATTCCGTCTGTTTCAGGTGCTCGAGGCCCACGAAGTCGACACTTTCCACGTCCCCGAAGCATTCCACCAGAAGCACCCGACAGGTACCCACCTGAAAGACCTCGATGAGTACAAGAAGTTGTACGAGGAGTCCATCCGCAGCCCAGACACTTTCTGGGCTCGCATGGCCCGCGAACTCCTCTCATTCGACCAAGACTTCCAGACCACCCACAGTGGGTCATTGGAGAATGGCGACAATGCCTGGTTTGTTGAAGGCCGGTTGAACGCCTCCTACAACTGCGTGGACCGCCACGCTTTCAAGAACCCCGACAAGGTTGCCATCATCTACGAGGCCGACGAGCCCAGCGAGGGCCGGTCTATCACCTATGGTGAGCTGCTTCGCGAGGTCTCTCGTGTTGCTTGGGTCCTCAGGCAGCAGGGTGTCAAGAAGGGTGACACCGTGGCTATCTACCTCCCCATGATCCCCGAGGCCGTCGTTGCATTCCTGGCTTGCGCTCGTATTGGCGCCGTTCACTCCGTTGTTTTCGCCGGTTTCTCGTCGGATTCCCTCCGTGACCGTGTCCTGGATGCTGGCTCTAAGGTCGTCATCACCACTGATGAGGGCAAGCGTGGTGGCAAAGTTATTGGCACCAAGCGCATCGTCGATGAGGCTCTGAAGCAGTGCCCCGATGTCACTAGTGTCCTTGTCTACAAGCGTACTGGTGCGGAGGTCCCCTGGACCAAGGGCCGTGACGTCTGGTGGCACGAGGAGGTGGAGAAGTACCCCAACTACCTTGCTCCTGAGTCGGTGAGCTCGGAGGATCCTCTTTTCTTGCTCTACACATCTGGTTCCACCGGAAAGCCCAAGGGTGTCATGCATTCTACTGCTGGCTACCTTTTGGGTGCCGCCATGACGGGCAAGTATGTCTTTGACATTCATGATGATGACCGCTACTTCTGCGGTGGTGACGTTGGTTGGATCACCGGTCACACCTACGTGGTGTATGCGCCCTTGCTCCTCGGATGCTCTACAGTTGTCTTCGAGAGTACCCCGGCCTATCCTAACTTCTCTCGCTACTGGGATGTGATTGAGAAGCACAAGGTGACCCAATTCTATGTGGCGCCTACTGCTCTGCGACTTCTGAAGCGGGCTGGAGATGAGCACATCCAGCACAAGATGGCACACCTGCGTATCCTGGGCTCTGTCGGTGAGCCTATCGCTGCTGAGGTCTGGAAATGGTACTTCGAGGTGGTCGGAAAGGAGGAAGCCCACATTTGCGATGTAAGTGTCTTGTTGGAATCTTCATCTCTTGCAGGTTGCTAATACTCCCCGACAGACCTACTGGCAGACCGAAACGGGTTCCAATGTCATCACTCCTTTGGGTGGTATCACCCCGACAAAACCGGGTAGCGCCTCGCTGCCATTCTTTGGAATTGAGCCTGCCATCATTGACCCTGTTTCTGGTGAGGAGATCACCGGCAACGATGTGGAGGGAGTGCTTGCCTTCAAGCAAGCCTGGCCAAGCATGGCCCGTACTGTGTGGGGCGCCCACAAGCGTTACATGGACACCTACCTGAATGTCTACAAGGGCTACTACGTAAGCGACCTCCGTATCTCAAGGGGACGCATAGAGAACTGTTGAGGAACTGTGGCTGACTGAATTGTGCTTATAGTTCACTGGGGACGGCGCGGGCCGTGATCACGATGGATATTACTGGATCCGTGGTCGTGTTGACGATGTGGTCAATGTTTCTGGACACCGTTTGTCCACGGCTGAGATTGAAGCTGCTCTCATCGAGCACCGTAAGTCACTCGAGTGAACCCGTTTATGCATCAAGACTGGTGACTAATCTATCTCGATAGACATGGTTGCTGAAGCTGCCGTGGTTGGTATCGCCGACGAGCTTACTGGCCAGGCCGTCAACGCCTTTGTGGCTCTGAAAGAGGGCAACGAGACCAACGATCAAGTCCTCAAGGATTTAATCATGCAGGTCCGCCGGTCCATTGGACCTTTCGCCGCCCCCAAGGCTGTCTTTATTGTCGAGGACCTTCCCAAGACCCGTAGCGGCAAGATCATGCGCCGTATTCTCCGGAAGATCCTGAGCGGCGAGGAGGACAGCCTGGGTGACACTTCGACGGTAAGCCTATCCAGCCTCTCCCATTCCTCCTTGTGCTTCCCTGGATGGAGACTAACGATGATGACAGCTGTCGGACCCCTCGGTTGTTGACAAGATCATTGCCACGGTGCACGCTGCCCGAGGCAAAAAGGCCTGAATGAAGAGGAAAAAAAACAAAGCAATGAAATGAAAGTAATTAATAAGGATATTATGACGAGCTGACTAGCATTATTGGATGGACATGATTGTCCGGAGGCGCAATTATTCCTATAAACCCCGTTTAGTGATTCCCAACCTGTTGAGAGATGAACATTGTGGTTGATTGCTGATCACCCTCAAATATACATAACCACCATTCTTCACCTTACCACTCACTCATTGTAATTGGCGATCCGGCATGTAGGATGTTTTGGTTCCCTTCCGAGCTATTGTTTGTGCGAGCGTTGAAGTTGTTTTATGGTCCTGGAGTCATCATTGGCTGAGGCTGTCGGCCTTCATAGGTTTAATTCATGCGAGTTTGTCTAATCAACTCTAGCTTGGCTAATTGACCATGGTGCGTTCTTACATAAGTGAGATCTCGTAAGGACTGCCGTCGAATGCTCTGCACGAGCCTATCATGGCTGCCACACCGAGACGCGAGACAGCGAAGATATGATAATGGCCTGGAGCCATTCCCGCCTGAGGCATCAATTGGCATCCTCCCAGGCTGTTATGGAGAGTGCGGTGCCCGTCTTCACCGTTCAGGCAGCTGAGGCACGTGACCATACCGTACGGCTTCGGTAAGATTACCCGGCGCCCCCCACCTAGCGAGAAGACTATTGTGTCACACCGTTACCATACCTTACCTTACTGGGTACTGTCACCCAACCATGAAGCCGCTGGTCCGTAAGCGACCGGTCAGAGCCAGTCAAGTCAGGCTGGCAGTCAGTCGTTTCTCTCTCTCTCTCTCTCTCTCTCGCCTGCTCTGCCTTTTGCAGCTTCTTCCCTTCAACCACCGTCGCGCGTCCTCCTCTCCTCCCCCCCTTCACCTGTCACCTTTCCGACTGCCACCAAGTCCCTCATCTCGGACTTGTTCGCATCCTAGCTCCGACGGTACTTTCCCGTCTGTAGCTAGTGTGGCCTTTTTTTCCTTTTTGCCTTTTTTTCCGTTGCTCAAAACAAACACCGTACTTTCTTGCGCGTCGAGATCTCTTTCGACTAACACAATTTTGTCGCTTTGTACTTGAGCTAGCGCGCTGCGGTCATTTTCTTCGCGAAATATTTAATCAATCACGGCTCTAATAATTGTCGTTCTCACGAGCTTGCTGAGACTCGGGCCTTTGATCGCGGACGTTCCCGAACCGAATGACTTCCTAATCTAAAGCAATATCGTTCAGCAAAATGTTCGGAGGTTTCGGACAGAATAACCAGCAAAGCTCCGGCTTTGGAGCAGGCTCTGGCTTCGGTGGCACGAGTTCTGGTGGAGGTAGGTGTCTTCGTCGGGTTGCGACCCTGTCCTCGTTATTCCGGGTTATTCCTTGTTCCCTTGAGACTCCGGTATAAAATGATCGGTACTTGCTGGTGCTCTTGACGTCGAGCCGCGACCGTCCCCCTCGATTCTGGACTACCGACAACCTGCGGAGGGCTTCGACGCTGGGCAAAACAGCAGCACTGCAAGAGAAGGGATCGCAGCTTCAATACAGTCTCTGACAGCATCTCCTCCGTCATCTAGGCTTTGGATCGACATCGTCCCCCTTTGGTGGCGGTAATACATCCGGTGGTGGCTTGTTTGGAAACACCTCCAGTAGCTTTGGTTCCGGTGGAGGTACGTGCCTGATGGCTATCTCAGTGGGCTTGGCGATCCTTTCTCTTCCACCTGTGCCTGGGGGTGGATTTCTCGACTCTCCCGTGTCCAATTATCGACCCGTGACCAGAACGGCGCTTTCAAGGACCCTCACGACTCGTTCTTAAGGCACACCTCTCTGGATCCGGAGATCTGTGCTCCTAAAAAGTCGACCGCTGACCGCCGGGAACTCATGGCCCAAGGATGGACTTTCTTTATATTTACCAGGATTTGCGCATTTTTGTAATGTGGCAGTGAAGCTGACTTGAGATTCTTCATTTAGGATTTGGAGCGGGCACACAGAACCAGTCGAATTCCATGTTTGGAGGACAAAATCGCACCAGCGGATTTGGAGCTGGAACCTCGACTGGAGGAAGCCTTTTCGGAAGCGGAGCCGGAACTGCCACCGCTGGTGGTAGCGGCTTTGGCGGATTCGGATCGACCTCGAACACCGGAGGGTTCGGCAACACTAGCACTGGCACTAGCACTGGGGGTGGGCTATTTGGCGGCAACAAATCCGGAGGCTTCGGCGGCTCAACGGGTACCGGGGGTGGATTTGGTGCAAGTGGCGGCACCACCGGCGCCTTTGGAGGCAACACCACCTCGGGCTTCGGTTCTGGGACAGGTACGGCCTTCCAGCAGGCCATTCCTCCCTCCGATGGCACCGGCAGCACCCCGTTTAGTGCCTTCACGGAGAAGGAAGGCGGCAGCAGTACGGCTACCAACCACTATCAAAGTATTACCTTCATGCAGCCGTACAGCAAGTATTCCTTTGAAGAGCTGCGCTTAGGTGATTACAACCAAGGCCGCAGATTTGGAAATGGCAGTGGACAAGCCGGCGCCTTTGGTACATCGGCTTTCGGGGGATCTGGGTTCGGGCAACAACAGTCGACTGGCTTTGGAAGCACCTCCTCGCCGTTTGGGGGAGGCACCAGTGCTGCTCCCTCCGGCTTTGGCCAGACCCAGACTGCGGGAGGCTTTGGAGCCAATGCCAACACCAACTCTAATCCCTTGTTCGGTGCGGCCAAGCCAGCAACCGGCGGCTTGTTTGGCAGTGGCACAGGAACCTCCGGCGCGTCCCAGCCGGGCCTGTTTGGCGGAACCACATCAACTACGGGGGGATTTGGAAGCGGCACCGGCACCGGCACCGGCGGCTTTGGAACGGGTGGCTCCCTGTTTGGCAACAACACTAACACCGCCAACACCGCCCAACAACAGCAGAAGCCTTTGTTTGGAGGCAGTGGTACCACCGGCACCGGCTTTGGCGGCGGCTTTGGTACGCAGAACACGAGTACTGCCTCTCCCTTCAGTGGTAGTGCTCCGACTTCATCTCCCTTCGGCGGTCAACAGCAGACCCAGACTGGTACCGGCCTGTTCGGTGGAGGACTTGGCCAACAAAATCAAGCCCAGAACCAGCAGCAGACCCAAAACAAGGGGTTGTTTGGTGGCTTTGGCACAAACACGCAGCAGCCGCAAACTGGGACCACGAGTCTCTTTGGGAATACCGGTGCTGCTACTGGCACCGGCGCCGCCGGCTCTTCCCTCTTTGGCCAGAACAATCAACAGCCCCAGCAGCAGGCGACTGGTGGATCGTTGTTTGGAAACAACCAGCAGACCGGCACAAGCTCCCTTTTCGGTGGGGCCCAGCAACAGGGCCAGAAGAGCCTGTTTGGCGGCAGCACAACCGGCACTGGCACCGGCACTGGTACTGGTACCGGCGCATTCGGTGGCTTTGGCAATACCCAGAATGCGCAGACGGGCGCCGGGGGCCTTTTTGGTGGTGCTCAGAACCAGCAGCAGCAGAAGCCAAGTCTTTTTGGCAGCACTGCCGGAGCTGGTGGCTCTCTTTTCGGAGGACAAAGTACCACCCCCCAGAACGCTGGCAGCTCCCTGTTCGGCAGCACAAACCAGCCACAGCAGACTGGAGGCCTTGGTACTTCTAGCCTCTTTGGCAACACCCAGCAAGCACAGCCCCAGCAGGCGCAGCAACCCCAGCAGCCGGCCCCTGGTAGCTTGCAGGCCTCCCTTCTGGACGGAAACCCCTATGGAAACCAGTCTATCTTCTCTGGTCTGCCGGCCCCGACTGCCTCGAGTCCTGGTCCATTGGCGACGCCGCTCTCGTCTTCCACCAAGCAGAAACAGCGCACTCCGCTACCTGTTTATAAGATTACCCCCAATGCGGCCAACCGCCTTCTTACCCCGCCCAAACGTCAAGGATACGGATTCTCTTACTCGACCTATGGGTCGCCTTCTAGCTCTACTAGTACTCCTGGCGGATTGGGCGGCAGCGTGTTGGGTGGAAGTTTGCGTGGCAGTGTTAACGGAAACCTTGGGCGTAGTAGCTTCAGCAAAAGCTTCTCCACCAGCAACCTGCGCAAGAGCTTCGATCCTGAATCCGATAGTGTCTTGTCGCCTGGTGCACTTTCCTCTGGCACCTCCCGTCTTTCGAGCGGCAGCTTGAAGCGGTTAACCATCGATCGCAGCTTGAGGAATGACCTATTTGCTCGCCCAGCTAGTACCCCTGCTGCCCCTATCACCAATGGCGAAGAGGTTGTGCAACCCGTCGATAAGATGAAGAAGAAGGTCAGCTTTGATTCGTCATCGGAGCCTCCGGCCACTGGTGGAGAAATTGTTCCGGTGCAGTCCCAGAGCTCTGAACCTACTTCGGAGGAATTGGGTTTCCTGCGCTCCATCCGCAAGAGCGGCACGATCAATGGCATCAGTAGCGTCAAGACGACCGAGAGCCCTGCTCGCCCTGAGATAGAGTCTGTGCGTGGCAACGAACTCGCCGCGGTTCCTGAGAATGCGGAGCCGAGCGCAACCGCCGGTAGCCCCTCGCGTCTTCCTTTCGTTCCTGGCGGAGACCCGCAGCCAGGCGACTACTGGATGAAGCCCACCCGCGCCGAGATTAACAAGCTGCCCCGAGAGCAGCAGAAGAAGTATGTTGGTTTTACCGTGGGTCGCCAGAGGTGTGGTAAGGTCACATTCGATGAGCCCGTGGATCTGACCACTGTCGACCTGGACCGGATTTTTGGCCACCTGGTAGACATTGGCGTGCGCAAAATCACCGTGTACCCGGATGAAACCATCAAGCCCCCGATGGGCAAAGGCCTGAACGTTCCCTCTACCCTTAGCATCGAGAACTCCTGGCCTCGGGGTCGGGACAAGAAATCCCCCTCGCCACTCACGAGCGGCCCTCTGTTCGACAAGCACGTCGATCGGTTGGTGAAGGTGCACAACACCGAGTTTGTCGCTTACGAAAAGGAGACGGGCACATGGGTGTTCCGAGTACCCCATTATACCACCTATGGTCTTGATTATGATAGCGACGAAGATGAAGAAGGTGAGAGCCTCAACCAAAGCACTTTGAGTGCTGCTCCTGACACCCCGACTCCGAAGGCTCAAACCCCTGCCAACGCCGACACGACCATGGGCTCGGAGATGATGTCTGCCTTCTCCACTGACGACTCCTTCGTGGGTTCCATGGCTGGCGTCGACGACGATACCTTCGATTTCAAAAAGCGTAAGATTGTTCCGGGAGCATTTGGCAACCAAATCATGGAGACGGTTGAAGACCAGCACTCGGTTTCTGGAGACGACGACGAGGAGTCTTTTTTAGGGGAAAGCTCCACGGGTTCGACTATTGAACAAGACGGCGACGATATCACCGAAAGCCAGCACTCTGGCGAGTCAGTAGTTGGATTGGATGAGGGCGAGGAAATGGACATGGCGGGTACCTTTCCAGACCTTCACCAGACCGTGGAGCGCGATGACACCCAAAGCACCGACACCTATATGGAGCTTACCCAGCCTTCCTTGAGGCCTTGGAACACGCCTTCCAAGCCTCGCCTTGATCTGAGTGGGGACTGGGCCGAGCATTTGCAACGCACCATCAGTCCCCGGAAGCAAGACCGCGATGCACTTCGCGAGATCCAGGCCATTGCCTTTACCGACCGGCCTCTTCATGAGGACACCCCCAAGCAAACAGCCGCCGATTCCCGGCAAAAGGGCTTTGCCACCAGCATCGACCTGATGAACTCTTTGTTCCAGCAACCGCGCAAACAACAGGCCCCATCCCCGTTGAAGACACAAAGCGTGCGGCCTAAAGGTCTTGAGGTTTGACTCCTTCCCCCCCCTCCCATTGTTTGCTAGCCTTCTATTTTCCTTATTAGGAGCTGTATTGTAGGAATTGTTGCGATGCAGCGTGTCTAAGCGAGATCAATCAACTTCAATAGCAACCTAAACTAATACCTTCTGTTCCTACAGTGGCCTTACAACAAGCAGCCCAAGACTTTTGCTGGCGAGTCCAACGAGCTAAGCGCAGACGACCTTGCTTTCCATCACTCGTTCAAACCCCGCTGGGGCCCAGTGAACTCTCTTCTCTGCATGAAGAATGACGTGGCAGACATATACTCGGGAGATAGCCGTTGGCAGCATAAGCTCTCGGTGACCGGCGAAGGAAGGGACATCTCTCTGCTGGAGTTCAGCAAAACCGTAGAACCGAGTAACATGCTGGACGCCCAAAGGATGCAGTCAATCGTTTCACGTGTCGACGGGGTGCCCTTTGCTCGTCTGGCCAAAGCCGATTTCCGACAATTTGCGCAGGCTTCGAGTCTGGTACAGTCCGACCACGAGCGCCTGCTTTGGCAGTTGGCCAACATCCTGTTCAATGACGAGATCGAGGACGATATCTCTGCCGGGGTGCCACACCAGCTCCGCTCCAAATATCTCCATCGGATCAAGAAAGACCGTCTGAGCCGTCTTTGGGAGGGGATTGTTCGTGAGAAGCATGCGCAGGCTGTGGGAAAAATCGGCTCGGCCGAGGAACGTGCCTTCTATCTGTTGTGCTCGCATCGGGTCGAGGAAGCTTGCAAGCTCCTTGTTGCCAGCCAGAATTTCCACCTCGCCACCTTGGTCGCTCAGATCGGGCGCGATCCCACGACGCGCGCCGACATGGCCCAGCAGATCGAAATGTGGCGGCAGAATAACGTGTACTCGGAAATGAGCGAGCCCGTCCGCGCGCTGTACGAACTGCTTGCCGGCAACGCCCTCCGCAGCGAAGGCAAATCCACTGGTGCGCTCGAAGATCGCGTGTCCACCTTCACTTTCTCTGAGCGATTCGAGTTGGATTGGTTCCAGGCTTTCGGCCTGCGTCTCTGGTATAGCATCACCGACGATGAGCCGATCGAAGCCGCTGTCTGCCAGTTTGTGGATGACCTTTATGAAGGGAACGAGCCGGCATTCCCAAGCCCTCTCGACCAGGACAGCACTTTGGACCGTGAATCCCCTCTATGGGTCCTGCTGAAAGTATACTCGACGACTAGAGGAGCTGTCCGGAGTGTCCATCTCCATGCGCAGGAGTTTCCGGCTGCTTTGCTGCCTGAGTCTGTTAGCGGGGATAAGCTAACCAATCGTCTATCCTTCCAGTTGTGCCAACTTCTTGCCACGTCCATTGGACGACATGATAGCTTCCAGCTCAACACTACGCAGCTGGATCAGCTGGTGTGGGATTATGCTTGGGAGCTCAGCTGCGGTGGTAAATTGGGCCGGACTCTCTTTGTCCTTCTCCACCTTTCACGCGCATCCGATCGCGAGCGTGCTATAAAGGAGACTCTCGCTCGGTTTGCACCCCAGCTTCCGGAGTCGGTCACGTTGGAGGGGCAGACCAATGTCATGTGGAATTATCTCACTCAGGATCTCCAGCTGCCGGAGAGCTGGGTCTGGGTGTCCAAGGCTCTTTATGCTCGCGACACGGGTGATACGGCGCGTGAAGTTGATTACCTTGTCCGCGGCAAAAACTGGAACGATGCACACGCCACGTTCTGTCGCATCGTGGGGCCGACTGCCGTGATCGAGGGTGACTATGCCACGCTGGAGATGCTGGTGTCGGGCTTTGGCGAGGAACCGGAGCGCAAAGTGCGAGGCTGGGCCACTGGCGGTGGCATCTACGAAGACTTCCTGCGCCTAGCCACTGCCAAGGGCGGCAAGCGCGACGCGACTCGCCTTGCGCGGTTGGTGAGTGCGCTGGTGAAGATGGCCGACAAGGTCAGTCAGGGATCGGGCGTCGAAGGGCTTGAGGAGCGAGTGGCTTTCCGGGAGATGAGTCGGGCGGTTGCCAGCTGGACTGGGCGGGAGGATACCAAGGCAATCGAACTATCCAGCGTACTCAGCCTGCCTCTGACGGGCGATGCACGCCTTGCGCAGACGGCGGAAATGAGTCGGCGCTACTACAGTCTGGTTATGGCCGGGGGCTACTGAGGTGGGTTGGTCGGTGGGAGACTCGGTGGGGAGCAAGCAGCATGTGCTGATTGCTGAATATTCTTTGACATCTCGCTTTTTTTTGTGTCTATGGGTTGACGGAACGACATGCAGCCATTATGTAACTTAGATCCTGTTCTCACTCCTCTGTTTTTTTTGTTTGTGCTGCTCATTTCGATTCTTGGATGCATCCTTCCTCAGGCTTGCGGGGGACGCGGAAGTCCGCGCGGAGTGTGTGTACTGTATACGTTAGGTTTTTTCATCGTGAACGGAAAGTAATTGAGCATATCTCCTGCAGTTATCTTATCTACCTAGTTTATCATACGTGTCTATTCATTTATCATGACTTCCCCTCCCAGCCTAATCCAACCACAAACCCATTCAACCCTATACACCCATCTCTTCCCTCCCACCTTCCCCCGCGGCCACTCTTCCTTCCTCTAAGAAAGAACCAAGCGAACTTTGTAACAGAATAAACCACTTGAGCATTACCTACTCATCCCCCATGAAACAAAGCACAAAATACTTCACTATTACGTATTGATCAATCAATTGCTACCCAGACTTTGTACCTTATGTACGTACTACCCCCAATATAGTACAGTTATAGTAGAGCGAGCTAGATAGACATGAAGTAAATAGACTAGGGGAGAGAAATGGGAGGACTTGCTTTATTGTTGTTTCGTCTTGCCTATTAGAGAGGTTCTGTTCCATTGATATAACTACTATTACTTGTTTGTTTTGTTTGTCTGGTATGGAGGTATTGGTATTATTATTGGTATTGATTGTGAGTTGTTGGGTTTGTTCATATGTAGTAAGAAGAAGATAGGGGATAGATAGATAGATAATAGATACTATATAGAGGAGCGTGCGTGTGTATGCATGTCTTATGAGTTTATGCATGTCCGAGGAATCTCGATGATGATATGACTAAACATCTGCATGCCTACTACTGGATGATAATTATCTCGACCAAACAAAGAAAAAGTGAATTGCTACCAGGACTGTACATGATCGAACCTAACACGACACGTAAGATATAAAGAAATATGGGGTAAAGAAAAACCACTCCCTCTAGGCATCAATGAAAAAAAAAAGAAAAATTGGCAGATGATTCTTTTTTTAACCTTCCCCTCATCTCGCGCCACGCCGTTGCTATATGGGGGTTTCATCTAAGCGGGAAGGCAGGCGAGATCGATCCCCGAGTGGAAGTCGACATATAAAGTAGGTAAATTACATGCCAGGAGAGATCAGCTTGCCCTCAGCCCGGGCCTCCGGGTTCCAACCACCAGCGTAGGGTCCGTTACCACCAACCTCCTTCGAGTACTCCCGGATACGGGCCTCCAGTTCGGGACGGAAGTGACGGATCAGACCCTGAATGGGCCAGGCGAAGGCCTCACCCAGAGCGCAAATCGTGTGACCCTCGACCTGCTTGGTCAGCTCCTGGAGCATGTCGATCTCACGCTCGCGGGCCTGACCCTTCTCCATGCGCTGCATCATCTGCATGGTCCACTTGCTGCCCTCACGGCAGGGAGTGCACTGACCGCAACTCTCGTGCTTGTAGAAAGTCGAGAGACGGGAGATGGCGCGGACAATGTCGGTCGACTTGTCCATGACAATGACGGCGGCGGTACCGAGACCACTCTGGGAGTCCTTCAGGGCGTCGAAGTCCATGAGCTGGTCGTCACAGATGTTCTTGGGGAGGACGGGGGTCGAGGATCCACCGGGGATGACGGCGAGGAGGTTGTCCCAGCCACCACGGACACCACCACAGTGACGGTCAATCAGCTCGCGCAGGGAGATGGACATCTCCTCCTCGACAGTGCAGGGGTTGTTGACGTGACCGGAGATACAGAAGAGCTTGGTACCAGCGTTGCGCTCACGACCGAAGGAGGAGAACCAGCTGGCGCCACGACGCATGATGGTGGGGGTGACAGCGACGGTCTCGACGTTGGTGACGGTACTAGGGCAGCCGAAAAGACCGACGGCAGCGGGGAACGGGGGCTTAAGACGGGGCTTGCCAGCCTTGCCTTCGATGGACTCGATGAGGGAGGTCTCCTCACCGCAGACGTAGGCGCCCATACCGCGGTGGATGTAGACGTCGAAGTCGTAGCCGGTACCGCAGGCGTTCTTGCCGATCAGACCGGCCTCGTAGGCCTCGTTGATAGCACGCTGGAGGACGGTGGCTTCGTGGTAGAATTCACCACGGATATAAATGTAGGCGGCGTTGGCGTTCATGGCACGACCGACGACGAGACAACCTTCGATGAGCTTCTGGGGGTCTTTGCGCATGATCTCACGGTCCTTGCAGGTTCCGGGCTCACCCTCATCGGCGTTGACGACCAGGTAACGGGGTCTGGGGTCCTTGTCCCAGTCCTTGAAGTTCATGAAGGACTGCACGGCGCCAATTGAAGGTTAGACTGGGGGGCCAAGGACTGGCTGGCTATGTCATCAACAGCCTCCGTGGGGATCACTTACGTATTTCAATCCGGAGGGGAAACCGGCACCACCACGACCACGAAGACCAGAGGCCTTGAGCTCGGAGATGAGCTGGAGAGATAGAGAAAGCATCGAGTCAGCACGTAATCCTTTCCGCGTCTTCCAGCAGGTCCAATGGACCGGAGAAGGGGCGGCCTACCCAGTCATGGCCCTTGAGGACGATATCCTTAGTCTTGTACCAGTCTCCATACTTCATGGCCGACTTGAGGTCGGCGCCATGGTGTCCGTAAAGGTTGGTGAAGATGCGATCCTGGTCCTTCAGACCGCCATGATGCCGGACGGGGGGGGCGTTGTCCTGGACCGTCGCGAAGGTACGGGCAGCCGGAGCCTGGGCACGGAGAGAGCGGGAGGAGAGGGTGGCGAGGGGGGACGACGAGGGAGCCGCCGCTCGGGATATCATGTTGAACACTGGCCCAATGGCTTGGGGAGAGAGGGGAGGGGGGGCGAGAGGAAGGGTTGGAGATCGGTGATGGACAACAAGCCGTGGAGTTGGTGGTTTGAGCTGCTCCGGCCGGCAATTCCTGCGCTTGCTGAATATCCGCCTTTGGCCACTCCCTGATTGGCTGCGTGGCGGTCACCTGATATTACAGGCTGACTAACCCGCCTCTCACCAAACATCACCAACATCACCAACATACTGCTTCTTCATGAGCTTCATTATTCGGCCTCTACCTATCTAGGCTCTATCGCTAGCTAGTACTCCTCCCCCGGAACATACAGATAAGTCCCCGTCGACAACCTCACCTGCCCCCCTCGTCCCGCCGCCAACAACCGCAGCGGTTCCTCGGGAATCTGCACGCATTCCTGTTCCCCAATCATCCATCCCCATCGCAACCAATTGGGCGACAGCCACCAGTCGTCTTTCTGCCAGTCTCCCGTAAACCGGGCCAGGTTGGCGAACACGCCTGCATTTTGGGTGCGCATCTTCTCCAGGACCTCGTCAAACAAGCTCAGCATGTGCTCGTCATCCTCGTCCTCAACTGCCCAGGCCACGTCGTTCGGCGGCGGTGGGTAGTTTTCGAGAAGGAAGCTTGCCCATCTCGAAACCCTGGAGGGTAGTTGCACTCCTTCTGCGGCAGATTGGTTGGCCATGTGGACTGCCACTACCAGACAAAAGAACATCGGGAAAGCAAAGGGCGACGACTGAGCGCTTCCAGCCAGCATGGGAATGTCATTCTCAGACACCGACAGGACATCCTGGAAACAAGCCTTGCAAGGCTGCTGCATCTCAGCGGGGAGAAGGGCCGGTAGTTCTCCCAAAGTGAACAATTCCCCATTGGTCTTAAGTAGCGACTGTCGCTCCAAGACCCGCACTTGTAGCCGAGAAAACACCTCGTCCGGGAACTTGCCCGCAGGAATTTGGCCCATATGCGCCCCAAGGAGCCTCTTGGTTTCCTCCCAGCTTCCAGTGAAGTTGTGTTGGCGCGCACGGTTCAGGGTCCACGCTGCAACAACTAGGGCGGTCTCGGACATCATGATCTGACTATCCCGGTAGAGTTTCGCGTGGATCTGCTTGAGGTTGGCCGGTGTCCGAAGGTCTTCTCCCGAAGCTCTCAGCTTCGCGGCATGCGTGATGAGCTCAATGATAATCTGGCTCAAGGCAGCAAGGAGGGCTCGAGAGTTTCCGTAAGCGTTGGGGATCTTGATTCCTTGGTTCGTGATCTCCAGTGTCTCAAGTTCTCGGTTGTTTGCGCCCAGGACAGACACAGCGGCGAGCAAGGCAGGCGAAAAGATGGAATGTTCCATTGACATATCAGGAGCCAGCAGAGGATAGAAGACGTTGAACACGTAGTAGTGATCCTCCGTTTCACCGGCCAGCTCAGGGTACATCTGCACCTGATGGGACTTTGCGACCTGAAGTGGACTTCCAGGCGGCGCCCGTAGACTGACAATGCGATGGTCGCAAGGGTTTCCGGACATGCAGAAACCGTAGTTCATCATCACTAATCTTCGTCAGTTACTAGTTGGGAAACGGTGTCTTCGATAGACACCTACGTTGCTCGTTGTTCCGGGGCCCGTAGTTATTGCTGATCTCCTGGCCCGCCGTCACATCCTCCAGGACGACAAAGGCAACATCTTCCTTGCCAGCCCGCCACTCCACCTTGGCCAACGGACGATGGTTTCCCATATCGACGAGGGGAAGAAGAACAGCGAAATGTTCCTCCGACAGCTCCCTTTCAGGAAAGACCCCAGAAAACACCTTCGCCGAGAAGGCACGCGAAATGAACAATGACGCTGCCCAGAGGTAGAGGTCCCTATAACAACATTGCTAGTGTCAATGCCGCTCATCGATAGAACATCAAGACCGTAGTCAGCACTTTCTTGACTTACCATGTATATTCCTCGGCGCCCTCGAATCCAGCCTGGCGTAACGCGCCTGAACCCTTTTCGTAATTCTCCTTCAGGAGACTCAACCTTTGCTCCCTGGCCGACAACAAGCTAGTACCATCCAACCATTGCAGATCATCTCCCTCATAATACGGAGGAGTCGTCAAAGAACCAGGCTGAGGCAACGTCCGGATGTACGGGTACCAGAAGCCCTCTGTTCCGCGTAAATACTGACCAATGAGGAAGAATATCGTCGATTCCTTTTGTCCGACAGCACCGATAAACGCCTGTGGGAAATGAAGACCATGGGCTGAGAAGGCGACTGACGCGCCGCTGTGGTCTGCAATGTGCGAGTGATCAATGACATTAAAGAAGGACATTGTAGTAGTCAATGGGGTCATTATGATGCGCGTGTCATTGGGGACTCCGTCCTTCCAGTCCTTTTTAACTTGGAGATGCACGCCGCGACTTTCATCTTTGGCTATCTGAACGCTTTCGTGGAGGTGCCCGCCATTGCTGACCATCCAGTCGAGCAGCTCAAAGTAAATTTGTAGGCTGTCATCATCACCGGGCCTGAGATGGTCAGATATGGAGCTGGAATGAAAAAAGGGCCTCACAACGATATCATGGCTGCAGGAATACGAGTATCCCATTTACTGTATTGAAGGAAGAGCGAAGATGCAAGGGAAATAAAACGAAGATGCAGAGAACGAACAGTGTTGACTGGGACGACACCCGGCCATGCTGAAGCATGAAAGCATATGCATCGAAGCAACAAATTCGCGACCCGAAAACGTCATCGCGGAGATAGGGAAAGAAAGCTTACATCGAGACCGGCGTCGCGCTAGCCATGGTTGAGGAAAAGGATGTTCGGGAGACGACTAGGCACTGAATTACTCTGATTGGAATTCTCCGCGACTGCGACTTTCTCTGGGGCTGGCAGGGCGATGAAACGAAGTTGCAGAAGCGAAAAGTGGGTTTGGCAGCAACGGCGGACTCGATAGTCGATGCGGCGTCCCACTTTGCCGGCCGCCCTCAACTCCTTCTTCCTTCTTCCTTCCATACGATCGATCCGAGCAGTCTGCATGGTTCCGACTCTCTTCTTCATCACGGAACACAGCATATACAAAAATCTCATGCAGTCAAATAGTGTACATCATGGGAATTGAACTAATCCAAAACAAAGAAAAAGAAAAGGCCGAGACACAATCAAACCACCGCCAAAGGAAAAGCGTTGCATACATAACGGAAAGGGACATCAAGCATCATGCAAACTAGTGGGAAGACGTGGATGACGTGGAAGCCTTACGCCCCGGCACGAGGATCTCAACTAGCCCGTCATCCTCCCCATCACTACTGTCGTCTTCATCCTCGCCGAAAGGGGACATGCCAATCCGGGACCGGCGGAAGCTTCGGTAACGCCCCGACCCAATATCCGGATATCCCAAGGACTCGTTCATGATCGCCTCGTCTTCTTCATCCGAGTCCATCATGCCCGAGTCGAGCGAAGGTCCGACCATCTCCCCCATGTCGTCGTCCTCCTCATCAACCTCCAGGGGAACCCGATCCTTGCGTCTCGCGCCCTCCGGTCTACCTTCTCCGTCCTCGTCGGAGGAATTCGTAGAGAAGGAGTCAGGGGGGCTGAAGCCAGAGTCGGGGAATGTAGGGGATGAGAAAGGTTCATCCTTGTTGGTATGGGGGAAATCACTCGATGGGAAAGCAGCGCTAGCAGGCGAGTTGGTGCCATCGGCATCCTCGTCCAAGCCGGCGATCACAAACGGATTGGTGGGCCATTGCAAGTCGTGGTCGTTGGACTGGGTATGGCTCGAATCCTCACCCTCGTCGGGGTTTTCGGCGGCCTGCTGTTTGTGGGCCGCAAGTCGGGCTGCAAGCTGGCGCCGTGCTCGAGAGGGACCGTGACTCATTGGAGCAGGGGGCGGGGGAAGGATCGGGATTGGCTGGCTGGTAGAGTTGGTCGAGGCCTATCACCATCGGGTCAGTACGTGACTGTGGTCCATCGGAATATCAAATCAAAGGCACATGCGCAAGCCAAAGGACTGGGCCGGAGATACAGCACCTAGGCAGCAAGCCAGAGGACTACTGGTGTGACTAGCAAGCACATGCTTAGTTCCAGGGGTTGCCACATGATAGCGGGGAGTTGGAGTTCTTTGAATGACTTCATACGTATTGTAAAGCGCTGCCAGTCACACGCTCTATGTGCAAGGCCCTTCACGACCTCCGTCACTCCCCTCGTCCATCATGCGTTATCCCAGCCGTAGCATGCGATGTATACCAGCCCAAGGCCCGAATCAAGAAGATAATCCAACACAGGGTGTCCCAGATGATGAAAAGATAGTCGTAAAAGAAGGGAAAGGGTCAAGGAAGAGGGGAATAGCAGGGCTCGGGTCAAGCATCACGCATATCGACATCAGTGAAAAGGTGATCACCCACATTGTCAGAGCCGCCTTCAGCCGAATGCTCGGCCAAATTCCTATCATCTTGGTCTTCCATATCTTCATCCTCATCGTCGTCGCTTGAGCTTGCGAAGCCGCTCAGCAGAGAATTGCCGCCGCTAAGGCCGAATGCCCCGCCAGAAACACTTCCTTGGTTCATCATGTCGAAGCCCTGAAAGCCAGAGCCCCCCACCGAGCCGTTTAACCCGGCATCAGCGAGTGCCGACGACGTATTGACGCTTTGGCCGGGGTTGAGCATGCCCTGACGATGTCCGATCGACATGTCGGGGCGCACCCCGCCAAGGATGGCGTTATCACGCTCCCTGGTTTCAGAAAGCGTTTGCTCGACATAGTCGATCCACTCCGGGTTCAGCACATTCTCCATGACCGTAGGAGAGAGTAGCTCGGGCGGATGCCGTTCGCTGAACTTGACAACCTCTTCAGCGATCAGGGTCAAGTGACCCATGTACCCCAGTCGGATCTGTTTCGTCCGCTGCGTTTCGTCGCTTCGCTTTTGGCCTTCAACAATGCTCTGCGTTATGCGGCCGGTCTCAAACACATTTATAGCCAGCAGGCGATTATAACCGCGTTCCATGGGACCGTTGAACACTTGTTGGACAACATCATAAACGACATTGTGCAGGAAGTTGTTCCAGGGGAAACGGAAGAAGAAATCCTGGAAGAAAAAACCAATTAGGAAGTTTCGGTGGAAATAAATTTCATAGGGGACCTACAAGGATGGTCGGTACCACCCGATTCTCGACAAACATGATCTTGAGATAGTCGCCAACGACGGGTTTACCATTCGAATCAATCTGAACGTCTGGATGCAGCTGGCGCTGCTCGTCGCCCTCGTTTGGCTGGGCCGACTCAGGGGCAGCTTGGGCTGCGCTTGAAGCATCGCCGACCTGGCCAGCAGTATCAGGCGTCGAAGAGCTCAGTTGTTGAGCTTGTTGCTCTACGGGAGCCGGCACCATTTCGGAGTGGGAAGGTGTTGTGATGTCGTCAGAAGCCGCCTCTTCAGATGACTTGCTTTCCTCAGTCGCCTTGCTGCCATCCAGGTTCACTTCCGCCAGTCCCGACGCAGTAGCTGACACGGAATCAGAAGAAGTATGTGTTTGATCCTCGCCGGAAGCATCTGTGGAGTCGGTGTTTTGGTCGTTAGGGCTATCTTCTAACGTATCGTTTGAAGCCTGTGCCGGCGGTTGTTGTGAGGAAGGTGCAGACTCAGACTTTGACTCGGGACTGTTGGTGTCTTTGACTTCTGCATCCTTTTCCTTATCCACAAGGACTCCCGATGCGGTGACGTCCTCAAAGCTTTCTTCGCCTGTGTTTGCGACCTCAAGCACCCTAGAGCCTTCTGGGGAGCCATAGCCGATGACAGATCCATTTACGAAGTCCACTGTAGAGTCATTGCCATCGAACGCCGATGTCTCTTCTCGGTGCGGGTTGAAGACGCCCTCCTTCATGAGCCGTTCACGCTCAGCATCACGCTGCCGTACATACTCATCACTCCCGGGCTCATTCAATAGGCCCATATTACTGCAATGTAGCAGTTCAGCCATCAACTCGCAGGTCTTGAATCGGTCGAAACCCAGGGGCTCGATCTTCGCACCCCACGCCGAATTGAGCTTGCCCCTCTCCACACTCCTAACCTTGCCCCGTCGTTCACAGTGTGCTTGGAGCTTTGAATCAGCGCCATAAAGTCCGGTATGTGCTTGGCAAAAAGACGAAGCAGGTTACCGAGGTAAATTGGGTCATAGGTTGTGGGTAGGGAATCCGGGCCATTGATGTTATCGGGATCGTAGTCCGAGTTGTTCTTGCGAATTACTTCAATCACGATACCAACACCAACCGTCAAGGGGTTCCCGCCTTGCAGCATGGCCTTGATAAGGCTTTCCACGCACGGCGTGGAAACCAACTGGCGAGTAAGGCTATTGGGACCAATGCAGGATTGGTCGTTCTGTGTTGCATTCGCAGATATGGTAATGATGGCTTTGAGAAAGTCTCCGGCCGATGTCTGTACAGAAGCGGGGTGATCTGGAGATAAGAATGAAAGAAGAGTAGGTATGAGGTCTTGTGTTTTCAACCACTAGGGGCAGCCATTAGCATATATCGCATAGCACACAAACTCTCTCTCTCAACTTACATCGACAATGCCATGACCACCTTCCACTTTCTCCAAACTTATGATTTTGAGTAGGAGGTCCATGACCATGGGATTGTCAACGTGCTGCAGAATTGCGGGGACAATTCCGTCCATTGACTTGAAAAGCTCCAGCATGTCGCTGGTTTTCTTGTCGAATAGCGTCTCATTCACTTTCGTGAAATAACTCGCTTGGGCGGAGTCCAATGGTGACGGGCGCCTTAGGAATCCCCAGAAATCTCGTAAATGCCCGGGGTTGAGCAGAATAGATTCCAGTATCGACCATATCTCCGACGACAGGACCTCGCACGCAACGTAGGCCCGCTTCATGCGAAACTTCTCCGCCCGTTCCAAGTCTTCGGGATCCAAGATATCATTGAGGGGGTCTCCCCCTCTGACCTCTTCCGAATCATCTTTGCCTGTCTGCGCGGCATTGCTTTCGTGGTCGTCATCTTCGTCATCTTCATTCACCAGACTAGGTGCGGTAACGTAATCCATGAGCCGTTTCAAGACATTATCTTCTCGTAAGAATTCTATGAGCTTCGTATTATTTTGTTTGAGCTCTTGGATGAGCTCAGACTCATCCAACAGCTCTTCAAGGGTGACATCGGGCTTGTCTAGCAGGGTATCGATGGTGGAGATACTTGCATATCCTCCGAAACGCCAAAACATGATGGATTATATAACTGGGCGAAAAGAGTCATGGAAAAGAATCAGTAGCACGAGCACTTTTGATCGCAGATCGTCGCCGGAACGTCGTTTCGGTGAGCAGCGTATGATACAAAAGCGTAGCAAGCGAAGCGAGGAGTCTAGCAGGTGATTCTCATGCGAAATTCCAGTATGCAATGGTCAGCCGGTAAGAAGTCGTATATCGAAACTGATTCCGGGAAGCCTGAGTCGTTATAATCAAATCGTCTTAGGACAAGAGGCGTGAGAGGAGAATGATAGGCAAGATAAATCGGGTCAGAGCGGCCAAGCGCTGTATGCGCGAAATGAACAAGTTAGTAAGATTGCATGCGCCTCAAGCGTCATAGAGATAGGACGTTGAAGATGGCTAAGGATCATCAGGGGTGGGCTCCCCGGGATGTCGGAGACTGTCAGGTAGAGCCTAGGCCGGCGGCAAACGATGGGCTTAGGGGATGACAGGAGCTGCTGCAGCAGTGTGCATTGCCAAAATCCCGGGAAGGGCAAGGGAAGAGGAGGTTCCGACCACGTACCTTTCACGACCTGAGGGAGTGACAACGAAAGCGAAACAAGAGCACAGTCCTTGTTGGGGGCTGAAGCGACCCACGAGCAGGGTAATCACTTTGTCAGCCCGGCGCAGCGCAGGCGAAACCAGTCCGTCGGATGAAGGAGGAAGAATAATTGACAATCGAGCAGATGCCCAAGAGTCGGAATCACAGGCTGACCGTCGCAGAATCACGTTGACTATGGTGCGTTGGCGGCTGTGTCTGGATCGGCCGGCAAGTCTGATCCCTGGAAGGTGGTGATGAACGAGCAGGGCGGAAATACCCAACAAGCCCGAGGAGCGACGGCGGGGAACTTCAACCAGATACGCGAGGGAGAGGGGGCAATGATGGTTTCAGGCTCTTCTGGGACCAGCAAGTGGATTAGTTCAGGTGCTTAATAATCCGGGGCAAAGATGGTTATACATGTCCGGACCGGATGCCCTCGTCCAAGAAGTCAATGGAGACCGGTAGGGGAGGCAGTGGTGGTGGTGGTGGTGCTGGTGGTGGTGATGATGATGAGGCTTCCCTCCAGACGTTCGCGTAACACTCGGAGCCTTCAGGACACACGAGTGGTTATTACCTGCTCCTTGCAGGTCTGGTGCAAAGCCTGGCAAGTATCAGGTACCGCACTGACCATACCCGCTAGTGCACAGATACAAGTACTGGGTACTTGGTATGTTTTGTCTGACTGAAGTTTGGGCCACTTCCTCTGTGGTATTGTTCTGGTATGTAAGGCTGTACTGTGTCACTGCTTCCCTACAACTTCGTGAATAAGAATGAGGAACTTCATGAGAATTGCGACCAGACCTACCAGGCACAAATCATTCATCTGTCAATTTATGTGAAGGGAACCATCAGACTCGTGGTAGCTTAGCCTCGATCCAGTAAGCAGATCACCATTGCAGTCATTTACCCCGTACTCCGTCACACCGGCTCTTCTGCCTCGGATCAGGTGAGGGGAGAGCCGGCCAAGTCTGGATTGGATCATCAGGACAATCGAGTCACAGCCGGAATCAGACCGGGAAATCCCCTTATCATATCCATCAGCTTACTTTACAGCTCTGCGCCAACTAGAGACTAGATACTCCGTACTAAAGATGACTAGTACGGGGCATAGCGGTATCGTCGGCATTACCACGCTTTACCGCCTTGGGCTCTATCTAACCGGAGCTGTATTGTTACCTGTCACGTGGGGCCAACTCTAGGTAGCAGCCTGAGCTTCTGGCGCAAACCAACAGTGCTCATCATTCCAGTTCTATAGATCTAGATAGGTAGGTAGACTACAGCCCAATGCTTCTTACTGAATCATACTCTTAACCCATCAGGCACCCCTTTTGCGCGCGACCTCACAGCCTCCCCAAGATATCTACATACCCCAACCGGTATCTCAAGGCGGCGAGACCGCGGCCGCTAAGACCATACTACAACTTCCCCCCAGTTGGGTGTCCATTTGAACTCGAGCTTCCCACAAGCGCCTATTCCCCTCGATTTCTACCGCAAGCCAAAATGAACCGGTTATTTGGGACCAAGAATACGGCTCCCAAGCCGACGCTGGATGGGGCCATTTCCAATGTGAGTTCATCGTCATCTTGTTGCCCAACCCTCCGAATCGATATCGTCCCTATCCGCCTGACCCCGCATGATTAACGTCCCGGTCTTTTACGACAGGTGGAAACTCGCATCTCCAGCATTGACGTCAAGTTGGCGTCTCTCAACTCGGAACTGTCGACCTATCAAACCAAAATCTCCAAGATGCGCGACGGACCGGGAAAAAATGCATTACGGCAGAAGGCTCTCAAGGTGCTCCAGCGACGGAAACAGTACGAGGCTCAGAGGGATCAGCTGTCCCAGCAATCTTGGAATATGGAGCAAGCGGGGATGATGCAGGATAACTTGAAGAACGTGATGACTACGGTTGATGCCATGAAGACGACCACCAAGACTCTCAAGAAGCAGTATGGCCAGATCGATATTGACAAGATTGAGCGTCTGCAGGATGAAATGGCCGACTTGATGGATGTGGGGAACGAGATTCAGGAAAGTATATCGCGGGCGTATGACGTTCCTGAGGACGTGGACGAGGCGGAACTCGATGCGGAATTGGAGGCGCTAAGCGAGGAGACGATGATGGAAAGTTCCATGGGCGATAGTGTGCCTAGCTTCCTGCAAGATGAGGTGGCACCGCCTCAGTTCATCGACGAACCGCCAGAGCAAACCAAGGTCAAGGAGCCTGCAGGTGGCCTGGGCTAGTCATCCCTACGAGACTATGGTTTAGGAGTTCTGATCATGGTGGCATCGGAGTTGGTTTTTTCTTGCTATTTCCTCTTAACTAGTCGATTAAGTCGTGTTCAGTCTACATACTTTTCTTGCCTTGTTTTGCCAGCTCTTTACCCCTTCGTTTCTTTGTCCCTGCGCATTTCTTTGTACCTGCGTCTCTAGACTGTACTGTTTCGTCGTCCACACCGAGAAATCAAGGAGATTGCACATTCCAGCAGTTTCGGGATGATGTCTCTTTATCCACGTGTTCAGGCCTTGCCTAGTCCAACAAGGACAAGCAAAGCAACGTTCATGACGGCAATGATCACCCACACAACGATAGCGATACCAGTAACAAACCAGTTGTTTCGCATCTTGACCTCTTCTGGCGAGGAGTCCTCACCACTGAAGTTCCTATCGGTCGGGACGGTCATGTAACGGTTGCGACAGGTAAAGTAGACCAGAGGGGCGGAGACAAATGGCAGGATAACACTCAACACCACTTGGCTGGCATTTAGAGTCTTGTCCAAACCCTCCTTACCGACAGCTCCTGCAATGATGATGCTAGGGATGATGCTGATTGATCGCGTAATGAGTCGGCGCAGCCAGGGTCTCATGCTCCAGTTCAGCATTCCTTCGCTCACCATTTGGCCTGCCATAGTACAGACGATGCCCGCAGAGATACCCGAAAGGAGAAGGGCCAGTGCGAAGATAAGACCTGCAGCAGGAGCGATAGAGCTACAAAGAAGATTGTAGATTCCCCAGAGATCTGCACTATCAGCCCCCGACGTTCCGTACAAGGAGGCACCAGCGACAATGAGAATGGCGCTGTTGACGAAGAGGGCGAATGTGAAGAGGGACAAAGTAAGCTCGATGATAGAATACTTTAGACATCCCCGGATTGCATGGATGGAAGGCCTGTATTCAACCTCTCCACCAGTGCTCCCAAGACAGACAGACGGATCCACGTAGCCTTGAGTAACGTCAAATTCCTTCAGGCGTGATTGAACTACCCCGCTCCCGAGGAACATGGAGTGAGGCATCACGGTGGCACCGAGGATTCCACAGCTTTGGTACAAACTAGTAGACAGCATATTTGTAAGCCCAACAATTTCGACAACATACACTGTGAGTCCACTCACCCTTGGGATTGAACTATGGCGGACGAAGGCAGGTAGCCCCGGAAAACAGCCCCAACCGACTGTTCTTTGATAAGAGCGAGCTGAATGCAGAAACAGACCACAACTCCCAGGACTAGAAGCATGACGAAGAATTCAAATAAGCGCAGTCCCCACATGGAGCCATTTGGCCTATAGAATATCAGAATGAAAAGAACATCGGCCAACGTGATCGCGCATCCGGCCACGAGGGGGATTTTCAGGAGGAGGTTGAGCGAGATCGCAGACCCGATAACCTGCGAAGACATCTTAATGGTTGCATCCAAATGGAGATGGGAGATAGTAAGTGTTTACCTCCGCAATGTCGGTTGCCACGATAGCAGCCTCCGCAAAGGCATACAGGATGAGGGTCAGCCATCTGGGCAGATGTTCCCTGCAGTTCTCCGCCAGATTAAGCCCCGTCACTGTGCCGAGTTTGATACACAGTGACTGGAGGAAGATGGCAAAAAGGTTCGAGATTAGCACGATGAAGAGTAAAGCATAGCGAAATTCCGCGCCTGCGGAGACATCGGTGGAGTAGTTTCCCGGGTCAATGTAAGCTACCGCGATCAGGAATCCGGGGCCCACGAAGCGACCAAACTTCTTGATAGTTTGAGCAAGGCGGAGAAAGAAAGACAGATTTAGTGTATTGAAAGGACGGCGAGGTGAGCCGCTGCTCCTCCCGGGCGATTCATCGCGGGGAGTGGCAGCGACCACTTCGCCCGGGGTTTTCTTTTCCATCTCGGGCTCGTTGCCATCTAGACTATTGGGTCGATGATTCATGGCCATGATTCCTTCACCTGGCGCTCCTCCCACTCCTGACGCATGCCTCCGATGCACCTTCGAATTGGCAATGCCGTTGAAATCGTTTCGAGTAGTGATGTCGCCGCTCAGCGCGGACGGATTCTGGTTCCAGCCCGGGTGCTCGAGTGTGTCATCGGTACGCGAGGGGCAATTCATGGCGGGGTGAGTAGCTCTTCAGTGAGACGATCGAGATATAGATATGGTTCTTTTGCACGATCGGAATATTTAGGCAACGCCACCTCGGAATTCCAGTCCAGGACTCAAGGACCCTGCGGGGAAGACTGCCCGAAACTGCCCGATTGCGGTAGTCGCTGGAGACACGTCCGCTGTGAAACCGGGAAGGGGACGGGAGAGATTGATAGATCAACTGCTATGTGTACGAGCAAGGCGTCAGGATGAGGGATAGACCTCGAAGATGATACCAGCGGTAGTCACTCACGTCGCGAGCATGAGGGGGAGGGGAAAGAACAGAATTTGGTAGGTAGGCATGACGGCATGCGGACCTGAGGCTGTTCACGGTGAAGTGTGGCCAACTGGGCCGCCGAGACATGCTAAAGGCAGTTTTCTAGGCACCATCATCATGTTCGCGGCAAGTCCGTGACACAGCAATTCGGTGCCGGAATCCATCGCTGCATGGGTACCCCATGGAAACAGGGGAGTGAGAAGGAACAATAATGGCCGCTGGAGATGAACCCCTGAGAAACTAGAAAGATGGTTGAAGCGGTTACCAGCAGACAAAGCTGATTCCTGGGGTCCCGTGATGCGCCCTCGTCCTCCCTTGCGCCGTCAGACGATCGGCTGCGTAGCTGCGCCTGCCTCCGATTCGATCACCTCGCGGGAGTTTATGCGCCAAGCTGGGCGGTTTCGTCAAGCCTCTCTAGCGGCAATTTACAGATCTATTTGAGCGGACCTAGATAGGTAGTAGATACATACTAGGTATCTATCTAGATGATGATGGAAGGTCGAAGTAGGAAGGATATCATTTTGGTTTAGTTCTTCCCGCCTGTGTACTACTCTGCTCGGTGCTAGATATAGATTGATTCAACTTCTCATTCATCCTCAGTTGAAACTCTTCGATTCTCGGAATTCTGTTTAAAATCATCCTTCTGGGTTCAACCCTTTAGAGCTGGGAATACTGGAAATTGACCCTCTTTGTAATCATCCCGGAAGGGCAAGATCGCGTAATATCTATCCGGTGGGATGCAAGGTAGTAGTCGAAGTGGTCATGAGGCATACGCGGCTCTCTAATCGTAACATCGACCGTATTGTGCTGTCATTTCCCTTTCACTATTTACCACGGAAACGACTGTGGATGACGATATTAGTAGTGAAGTTGGGGAACAATTTAATCTACTACTGAGACACACTGAAAGAATACTCCGGAGTATATCCCAAGGCACTATTCCCCATTCAGCAAGTGACTGACTTACTTCATCACTACTGTCATTTCCTCTGTCAATAATAGAGTTCACTATAAGAATGAAGGGTCGACAGGTGTCTAGACAACACAATGATGACAGCACACAAGAGACTCCTCTCCCGTGGTAGCATCTATTCCGCCCATGTGGCTGGCTATCCACCATGAGTTTACCATGAAAAGATATGACCTCTCACCACCTGAATCTGAGCGGGTCGTGATGGTCCGGCAAAGAACCGGATCCATGGCATCCGCTCCTCCACTATGACATCGACCTCAATTTCCATCACAACGGGTTCCAGCGCATCATGACGGGTGATCGGATGTTTTCTGGACGGGCTGGACACGGAGGAGAAAGGAAGTGCATTGATTGATCAAGGGATTGATTGATAGATAGACGATCATGACGGGGGGATGCGCCGCCCGGCGCGACCGGCGGCGTGGTTGCCCCCAGCAACCTCCCTACCCGCACCGTGTTTACACCCTCCGCTTCACTGCTGTGCTCCCATCTCCAGCCGTTTGGCAACGGCGTTGGCGGACTAGGCTATGCAGTGGGGGAATGCTTACGGCTCCTGTCCGTCTTCGACCTTTGGAAGGCTTCAAATTCCCGGTCTACCCACCTGAGGTTGACGCTGGTGTCTGCTGTTGCTGCTGTGTTTCTGTTCCTTCGCATTGGTGTCTTCTCTTCTCTTGTTACATTTTTGGCCTCGCTTCTTCTCTTGATTGTCTTTCATCAATGTTGTCTGTATCCGCTTATTGCAAGTCCCTGTTGTCCTGCCTGGCATAGAATTCTCGGGCTTTCGTATTCTTCGCTGGAGTTCGAGCTTCTCTTTGCGCTGGAGCACTTTCACCGTGAGTCGCCTGCGCCTACCCGTTCCATTATTACTCCATGGCTCTCCTCAGATGCTAATACGGCCTGTGGCTTCCTAATCAGTTTCGGGCTAAAGGCGATAAGACATGGCTCCCAGCATGCAACCCCCGAACATCTTCGACGACTCCACCCGTACTCCTACTAAGCCGTCCGTCCTGCGAGCGATTTGGTCCTCCAAGGCTCACAAACGGACTTCATCTGCGGATGATGTCCTGGCTCCCCGGGCCGTCGATAAAAGTCAGCCCCGTGGCAACCCGTTCGCGCCTCCAGTCGATGGACCATACACCACTGCGGATCAACAGCCACTGGCAGAAATAGCCCCCAACCGGGATGCAGCAGACGTTAGTTCAACCCAGAGATCACCTGGAAAGCAAGGGAAACACACTCTCCACAAAAAGACAAAGAGCGCTGTCTCACTGAAATCTTTGAAGAGCTATATGGAACGCAAGGACAAGTCGGATGAGACGCCGGATGACGAAGCGGCGAACTTTAAGCCGAAGAAAGCGAAGTCCGCCAACAGTCTCTCAGCCATCTTGAAGCGATCCCAACGCGGAAGAAAAGCGGAAAATTCGAAAGGTTCCAGGGACAAAGAGAACCGCAGCCCATCGGATCCTGTCGACAGCATGCCCTCTACCGCATGGAGTCAATACCCGACACCGTCGTACCACGATCAACCTGAAATTACCGGTTCCCCGCACAAACCTCGGACTTTACAGGAGGAAGTTTCCCTCTACACACCGAGGGAGTATGGTCCAGCGCTCCAGCGCAATTTCTACGACTACGATCGACCGTCCCTCAGAACACGCGGAGACCCAAAACCTCGTCCGAAATCAGACTACCTGGCGGGAAATCGCAAGGCACAGGAGCTCATGGATCCCATTGAGAGTATGTCGTCGAATAAGCTGGCTCCGGTCAACCCGCCAGAGTCTGCATCGAAGAAGAAGGGAAGACCCCGGGCATTGTCCAGGCCGGAATATCATCCTCAGGTGGAGGCCAGGCCAGAACAAAGCCCGAAAAGAGTCTCTCGCGTTCAAGCAGCAATCTCGGCATTCAATGCGAAAGAGCAGCAAGTCGAGCTGCAGAAACGCCTGAATGCCAAGGATCTGGAAAGCGAGTTTGAAAAACTCCTGGTTAGTATATCTTGAACTCGCACCAACAGTCTAAAACTGATCAGGCAACAGGATGCACGAAACATCCCGCACAATATGAGAGATAAGATGAGGTCGTTGGATACCAACATCAAAGCAGACTTTATCCGCAAGGATCGAGCGGAGAACACGACGCCGCACAGTGCTGGTGCTAGTGCAACCGATAGCACTGGCCGTCGGGGACGAAAGAAGGAGGCAAAAGAGGACCGACAAGGTCAAGACAGCAAAGGATCGCGCTCACGATCCCGCAGTCGAGGCTTTACGTTCTCCAAAGGCAGCTCGTCGCCCAAAAAACAACGTCCCGACAGCGGGAGCTTTTACAGACGTCCCAAATCCGCTGACTATTCGCAGCCCACAGGATTCTCCAGGACCGGAACGCCATCCGCTTCCACCACCTCCCTTGCTGCGACAGCTTGCGATACCGCCGCCGATCCGTCGGACTTTGTTCACTATCTGAGGGAGATCCAGAAACCAGAAATGGTCGAGATTGGGAAAATGCACAAACTTCGGCTCCTCCTCCGGAATGAAACAGTCAGCTGGGTTGATACATTCATTGCAGACGGTGGTATGGATGAGGTTGTGCAGCTACTCTACAGGATCATGAAGGTCGAATGGAGGTAAGTCAATCGGATACCGCACAGTCAAGGCTCTGGCTTATAAACCACAGGGAAGAGCATGAAGACAACTTACTTCACGAGACTCTGTTGTGTTTGAAAGCTCTCTGCACAACGTCCATCGCGCTTCAACACCTCACCAACATCGAAGAGCAGCTGTTTCCTGCACTGCTGAAAATGCTATTCGATGAAGAGAAGAAAGGCCCCAGCGAGTATACCACCCGCGGGATCATCATGAATCTCTTGTTCACGCAGCTCTCCATGGTATCATCCGATGAGATGGCAGCCAGGCGTGCTTCCCGGATTTTGTCCTACCTGCGCGACCCTGTGCCCCCGGAAGAGAGCCAACCGCTGAGTTTTATCGCCAACATATACCAATCACGGCCTTACCGCATCTGGTGTAAGGAAATTACCAATGTCACCAAAGAAGTGTTCTGGATCTTCCTGCACCATTTGAATGTGGTCCCAATCTTGAAAGATGATAAGCCTGGTACGACTTTCCGGGAGCGTCATTTTCCCGCCCCCCGGCCCCCAGTGCCCGCTGCTCCATATGTCGGTGGAGTTGAATGGGATGCCACCAACTATTTGGCAGCGCATCTCGACCTTCTAAACGGGCTGGTGGCGTCCTTGCCAACGATCGAAGAGCGCAACCAGCTCCGAGCTGAGTTCCGCGCCTCGGGATTTGAGAAGGTCATGGGCGGTACTATGAGAACGTGCAAGGAGAAGTTCTACTCGTCGGTGCACGATTGCCTGAAGACATGGGTTGCTGCAGCTGTGGATGATGGGTGGCCATACATATCGGTCCGCGAAGGACCTCCCCGGCCTGAGCCTGGATCGCCGACAAAGTCTCCGATCAAGACACCGGGAAGCCCCAGGAAGGGGGTGTTGGACGAGCAGCCTCCCAAGCTGGAACTTGCGCTGGATGTCCCTGCTGGTAGTGGGGTGTCTCAAGGTAATGGCCTTGGAAATTGGCTGTAGATATGTGCGCGTGCCTGAGAGAACGTTTTCACCAGGACACCGCTGGATTCACCCGGACTGGTGATCGCGTGGCATGCGATGTTGACACGGCGTTATGAAATTTATTGGTTTGTGTTGTTGTTTTCTTGTCTATTCGTTACTCATTACTATGATTTGGATTCGGGATGGACGGCGTTGGCATTTCCGAGGTGTTTTGGGTGCATCTATCCGTCAGTTGACGGCGACGGCGAAACGAATCACGACGGCACAGGCCCGACCTGACGATATTGACGTTCTTTGATTGCATGTCAGGCCGATCATTCTTTTTGGACAGATGCGTTATAGCAGGCCGGCGATGTGGCCGTGGATATGCTTAGTTACAGGAGCGGTTTTCGCTGTCATTATATTCAATCATATGGTGTTGTACAGGTACTGTGTGCGCGAACTATGTAGCTGAAGCGGTCTATGGGTATCGCAGCCATTGGACTATTCCACTGCCTTGTTGTAAGATGCAGCCTGAAGATTGGCTCGTTTATTCCCGAGTCGATTCCTCTGCCACTCTCCTGACCGGACCAGGCGGCGGTGGCGTCGAGAAAGCTCCCTTGACACCGGCAAAGAAAGTCCGCCGAATCTAACCAGTCAGCAATTCCTTTTCTTGTATAGAACAGCCCTAAAAAGACAAAGACAAAACTCACCTCATCAAACGGACTTCCCCGCTCATCCCACTCCATAAACAGCATCGCATACACCAGAACGACTAAGCAGCACACACACAACATATTAGCCTCATTCTCACCCATCCACATCCACTCCATATCATACTATCCATCACACCGCACAAAAACAAGGGAATTAAGAACGATCTACAACATACAGCCAATACACCCCCACTGCACCAACTTGGTCGCCTTGGTCCATTTCGGACGAGCGTATTTCAGCGCCGCCCGACGACGGTACTTGCGTTCAAGTCGGAATTGATGTTTCGGGGAGAGTTTCGACATGTCGGGGGGCCATTGCCGTTTGGGTTTGTAGGGACTGTAGTATTCGTTTGGATTGGTGTATTCGGTTTCGTTGGGGGAGGGGTCGGAGGGGGTGGAGGTTAGGCGGAAGGGGGAGGAGTGAAGAGGGGGGGTGGTGGTTAGGGGCGGGTCTGGAGGTTTTGGTTAGTTGGTTAGTTGATTGGGTGGGTGGGTGTTTTGGGTAGGGGTTTAGGGATGTAGGTAGGTAGGGAGATAGAGGGGAGTGGGTGCGTACTTGTTGTGTTGATGGACGGGGTGGGTTATATTGGAGGTTGAGGTTCAGCCATGATGGGCGGGCTGGTGAAGGGGTGGATTTGAGGAGGGAGGGAAGGCGGCGGGGAAGGAGTGTTGTGGTCATTGGGTTGGGTTGTTTGTTTGACTGGTTGGTATGGTGGTGGTTGTGTTGGTGGTGATGGTGTTGTCGAGATGCGGAGAAAAAGTTGACGGACTCGGGTGGAATTCCGCCCGCGGAGAGACTAGACTAGCCCGATTGCGGATTCCGCTGGTGGATACGGATACGGATAGGTACCGATTGTACGGGTATGGCATGGGGGATTGTTTTTGGGCTACGGTTGATTGGGTATGATGTGTTGTGATAATGTTTTGTGATTCTTTTTATGTTGACAATAATGTACTATGGAACTTATGAGAAATAGAGTTATTTGTTGGGTTTTGAGTGGTGTGGATAGCCCAGGGATACTAGATAGGCAAGATATATACTGGGTACAGCTGCGGAACCCACTGCGGTCAATGCCATTGATTTCAAGGCAGATCTACTCCGTAATATGTAATCTATGTAAAATCTAGGTATGTAGCACTGCAGCATGTGATAAAGTCACTGCAGGATCACTAATCAGCTGCAGCATTGCTGGTCCAACCACCCCCCCCCCCCCCGGCTGATCCCATGACGTACCTCCACATTCACAAAAACAAGCACATGCGACGGCCATCCACAAAACCATGAATTTTCACATGAAATGCTTTCTTCTGGCGCCGATCTCGTGACCCGCCCGGCGGAACAATGATGATGCGGCGAGCCTCGGTACATGGGGACCAGCCAGCCCGCATCGACTGGCTCGCCTTCTCCACGTCGCCCCGGATTCTTATAAGAAAGGAGCTGCTCTGCTTTTCATCGCTCGTCAGCTTCTTATCCTACCGGAGATACACCTTGTTCCTCTCCTTTTGCCCTTTCTGAAATCGAGTTCGTTGACGTCATCATGTCTTCTGGTAAGCTTACCCTATCTCAGAACCAGCGACTCGTGCTCACGGCGATGCCATCTAGCCCAGCAGCGTCTTTCCCAGGTGGCCTCCCACTTCGGCCCTGGCGGCAAGAAGGGGGCCGCCGCTCTCACCGAAAAGCATCCCGATGATATTGTCGTGACCTGCGCTCTGCGCACAGCCCTCACTAAGGGCGGACGGGGTGGCTTCAAGGACACGGCTGCCGCGGACTTGCTGGCTGGTGTTTTCAAGGCTGTCATCGACCGCAGCGGTATCGACCCCAGCCTGGTGAATGACATTTCGGTCGGCTCGGTTCTTCCCCCCGGTGGTGGTGCGACAGAGTTCCGGGCTGCCGCCCTGGTGGCGGGTTTCCCCGAGTCCACAGCCGTCAAGAGTCTGAACCGTCAGTGCTCCAGCGGTCTCCAGGCGATTGCAGATATTGCCAATGCCGTGAACTCTGGTATGATCGATATTGGTATTGGTGCGGGTGTCGAGAGCATGTCGTCTCAATATGGGTAAGCTTTCCTCCCTCCCCCCTTCTCTAAGACGTACCTCTAACGAGTATAGCCCCGGTGCCGTGACCGAGTTCTCCGAGCTTCTTGAGAGCCACCCCGAGTCCGCCAACTGCAAGGTCCCCATGGGTGTTTTGTCCGAGCAGATGGCCAAGGACCGCAAGATCACTCGTGCAGCTCAGGACTCCTTCGCTGCCTCTTCGTACCAGAAGGCCGTCAAGGCCCAGCAGGCCGGCCTCTTCAACGAGGAGATCGTCCCTCTGCAGGTCAAATGGACCGACCCCAAGACTGGTGAAGAGAAGACCATCACCGTCAAGGCAGACGACGGTATCCGTGACGGCCAGACCGCCGAGTCCCTGGGCAAGATCCGACCTGCCTTTGCCAAGGACGGGTCCATCCACGCCGGCAATGCCTCTCAGATCTCCGACGGTGCGGCCGCCGTCCTGCTGATGAAGCGCTCCACGGCTGAGCGTCTGGGCCAGAAGATCATCGGCAAGTACGTGGCTGCCAGCGTGGTCGGCGTCAAGCCATTGCTCATGGGCGTCGGGCCGTGGAAGGCGATCCCCGTGGCACTGGAGAAGGCAGGCATCACCAAGGACGACGTGGACATCTACGAGATCAACGAGGCATTCGCGTCGCAATGCGTGTGGTGCATCAACGAGCTGGGACTGCCACAGGAGAAGATCAACCCCAAGGGCGGTGCGATCGCATTCGGTCACCCGCTCGGCTGCACAGGAGCCCGACAAGTCAGCACGCTACTGATGGAGCTGAAGCGGACGAACAAGAAAATTGGCGTGAGCAGTATGTGCGTGGGCACGGGGATGGGCATGGCAGCTGTCTGGGTGGCTGAGTAAAACAATGCGCTGTGTCTGTCTAGATTCTTCTTTTCTTGCTAGCGATGTATTTATCACGTTTCACAACTACACAGTAGTATATACCACACCACCAAGATTGATTCCTACCCTCAAATCTTCGTCCTAAATTCCCTAAACGCCTCAAACACACTCACCCCCCCCGCCACCGCCCCCTTCACCCTCTCATCCATAGCCACCAACTTCGGCATAACCTCCAACACCCGATCCAACAACTCACTAGGAATCGCCACGACACCTTCTTCAGGATCACAGAAGATGATATCGCCCTGCATACACCAATCACATTAGCCCGTATCCCCCTACCTATGAAGCCAAAACAGAGCCAGGGGGATGTTTTTTGGGGGGGGGGGGCGGCGGATATGCCTTGGGCTCAAGTAAAGAAAGAAAAAAAAGATATACCGGCTTCACAACCACACCCCAACATCAACCACACCCCCAAAACCCCCCGGAACCGTCTCCGCCGCACTCCCCACCGTCGACACTCCCCTGGCCCAAATACTCAACCCGGAGGCCCGTAACTCAGCCATATCGCGGACTCGACCTGAGACAACCACCCCGGATACCCCGCGGTACTTCATTCTTTGGGCCATGATGCCGCCGACTACGGCGCAGTGTTGGTCATTTGGTTGGGTGATTATGAGGATTGTGTTGGGGGTGGTGAGGTCGGACCAGTGGGTTTGAGGGGGGATGGGGGATGGAGTTGGAGTTGGGGAAGAGGGGGCGTTGGGGGCGGTGGTAGGGGATGGGTATTTGGGGTGGAAGGTGAGGGTTGTGGCTGGGGCGATTGTTTTGGTTTTCTGGGTTGCGGGGAGGTTTGGGGGGTGGAGAGCTGGGTGTCAGGTTGTTAGTTTGTGTGTATGTAGTGTGTGGTGTGTAGTTTGGTGGTGGTGATTGGGGGAAGAGGGAATTGGGATGGTATGAGGGGTGGGATATACTCAGGTCTGCGAGATAGCCGGCTCGAGGGGCGGTGTTTGGAGCCACCGGTTGGAGTTTGAGGAGGGCGTCGGAGACCTGAATTCTAAAGATTAGCATTTTGGGATTAATTCGTTGGAGATATGGTTGGTGTTGAGGGGTGAGATGGGGGATGTAGAAGGGGGATGGATATACATCGCAAGCAGAGTAATTGTGCAAAAGGGCAATCTTTTCTTCGAGGGTGGTCATTGTGGCGATGACAGTTGCGTCGTAAATAGTAGTAATCCAATGTATGTAAGAATGCGGGAGGTGGTATAGATATGAGGATGAGGAGAAGATGAATGGAATAAGATCAGATAAGCCGCTGCAATTCTGCTTGATGTTACCGAGGATCAACACGGCGGTTAGTTACATCATGTGTCGGACATGCATCCTCCGTACTGTAGGCACAGGAAGATCATCACGATCCATTCGACCGACCAGTACTGACTGCCATCAACCCAATGATAGTCCGTTCGCGGTGCCTGACGGACATGGTTATCGGGGATATCGGGGACGCCCCACGAGGCCATCCGTTTAGTCCATTCCTGGAAGCCATCTGGCCACGTCCCCGACTTGTTCTAAGACACCATTGATCTCCGACAGCCTATATTTGCACACGATATACTATCCAAATGGCCAGCTACACTCCCCAACAACTTGAACTCTACCTCGAGCGGATCCGCTACCCCGGGTCCGCCACCACCTCCCGGCTGCAATGTCTCCAGCAGGCCGTGACAGACAATCCCCTGGCCGCTCTGGCTGAACTGCAACGACGACAGCTATCGTCCATCCCGTGGGGCAACTCTGCCCTGCATTATTCCACTCACCGGACCATCTCTATCCGTCCGGCGTGCGTCTTTGAGAAACTAGTCGCGCGAGCCCTGGATGGCTACTGTATGGAGAACAATACCCTGTTATATGCAGTCTTGCGCTCTCTGGGGTATCAGGTCTATCCCACGGGGGGCCGCGTGTGTCTGGCAGCGTCGGGGCAAACGTATGAGGGGGTGGAGAAGTTGTGGACGGGGCTGTAAGTGGGGGGGAATGGTTTCGGGACGTTAAGGTTGAGTCGGAGCGGTGGCTGATTACGCGCTCCATGCTACAGGTCACATATGGTGCTGATTGTGGTGATCGAGGGCCAGAAATACATGGTACGCTGCCCCTCTCTGGTCCGGGACTACAACTAATGCAATGCAGGTCGACGTCGGGTTCGGGAACAATGGCCCTACCAGTCCCTTGCTGCTGAAACCGGATTTCGTTTCGGTCTGCATGGCCCCGACAGAGACGCGCCTGGTTTATGACGCCCTCCCCGAGTTCGTGGATCAGACTCAAAGGGTTTGGATCTATCAGATCAGATATACGCCCGACAGCCAGTGGATCCCCATGTACTCATTCCTAGGCACCGAGTTCCTCCCCCAGGATTTCGAGGTCATGAATTTCGCGACCAGCCAGCGGCAGACGAGCTGGTTTACGCAGACCTTGGTCTGCAGCCGAATGTTCCTGGATGAGAAGGAGACGGCCGTGCAGGGGCTGTATGTCCTGACCGGGAAGGAGGTGAAGAAGAGGCAGTTCGGCCAGTCGGACGTCGTAGAGACGCTGCACTGCGAGGCAGACCGGGTCACTGCCCTCGCCAAGTGGTTTGATATGAATCTCCGCGACCACGAAGTCGAGGGCATTCGCGGTTTAGTCTCGGAGATCAAATAGATTGGGAAGCTAGAGTCTACCTGGCAGCGCCCAGCAGGCCAGATATTATGATACAAACAATCTTTTCATTGCGTGGATATTTCTCTCGAAAGTAATGCTGTTGAATAAAAAGGAATAGGCGGAAATAAAGATATGACGCAAGACCCGGGAGCGGTCTAGAAAATCCGTTTCTCGAGCTGTGACGGTTAGGGTCTGGCGGATTAGGGCCAGGGGGGCTGGACCGTACCTTCCAGGGGTTGCTGAGCTCGAATCCCTTGGGAGCCTCGGGGTTGCTCGATTGACCTCGTTTTGTGCCGGTGATTCTGTAATCTCTCTCCATCACTGGGTGCGGGGTCAATTGTTAGCTCGCAGTTGGGGTAAAGTTGGGGGGTTTTCGACACGTCCAATCGGGCGTCGTCACGAGTCGACTGGAGGTTAATTACATACTTTGCTGTGAAAGAGTTAGTCCAGCTGGCCCGGTCGCATCCTCTCGGGGTAAGGATCACTTACTCTGTCCCACAGATCTCTGTTCCACCGCGCCTTCTTGCCCTCGTTGGCATATCTCTTGACCGCCCACAGACCGGCACTGCCGACAGAGAACGACTGTCACGGCCGGAGTCAGTCAATCGAGTGGGAAAGACATTGGGGAGAGGGCTTGACGTACTGCGATGATGATTCCGAAGGGAAGCAGGGCCTCGAAGGGAACACCCATGATGGCTGGTAGAAGTTGAGCGGGACGGTAAGGGTGGTGACAGGGCTCAAGGAGCAAAGACAATGACAGGCGGGCAACCGGAGGAGGGGAAGGAGGAGGAGGAGACGTGAAGCTGGTGTGGCCGCGGGAATCCGCCGTTCGTCGACGAGGTCTGGAGGTTGGCCCAAAGCGGTTTAGGCGGGGCCGCGGGCTGAGTCAGCAGCGGCCGGCCATCCAACCTCATGGGCTGGAGAAGGGGCACGACGCCGCCGTCGATTGCGTCGATTGCGCCAGTGCTCTTCTGACGGTCTGCCCTCCGCTGTCACACGCGTCGACTCCTGCTCGTTCCGCCCTGTCCGTCCTGCTTGTTGCCAAGGTATGTCGTCCGCCCGTTCCCTACACGTGCCGTCTGCCATTGTCCGCTTCCGCTGCTCCTACTCCTCCACTGACCCGTGCTGTGCTATGCGCTTGTGTTAGGATTCGGCCTTCTTTTCCCTGCGGATTCCTTTCTTCTCCTGCGTGAGCCCCAGATCGGCGGCGCCCCAGGCAATTTGTTCTATGCTTCCCGATGCCCGTTTCATACGGTGCCAGATGATTGTCTACTCTCGCGGGGAGCTTGAATAGCCTCGACTGCCGGGCTGCCTAGTACTACGAATATTCCCCCCCCCCCTATTTCCTCCGAGGCGACCATTCGCCCACCGCCCAGGTGACTGCCGTGACAGACACCATGCCACCTAACGTACCCACTGCCAACGAAGACCCCGAGCCGAAAACCCCGGCGGACATGGTGGATAGTGACCAGGACGCAGAAGGCGAAGAGGAGACCGACTTGTACCAAATGGACCAACAGCTCCAGGACGCCGTACACCGCGCCTTCACGGGAGAGGCCGCGGAAGATGCTGCGACTGGTGACCCCGGAGACGACCAGGACGCGGAAGGGGAGCCAGATACCGACATGATTCTGGACGGCGATCAGAATGATGCTGAGCCGGTGGGCGCGGTCAAACTTCCTCAAAACGGTTCGGCTGTCGACGATGAGGAAGCGGCTTCCGGAACCGCTGACGCGGATGCAGATCCGGCCTTCGACAATCAGAGTGACAGCGACCAGGAGGCCTCCCGTTCTTCGTCAAGCAGCCAGGAATCGGATGACGAGGAATGGGAGGGTGAAAGCAATGACCACGAGGATGCGGAGGCGGAGATCCTAATCCGCGGCAACTGCATGTGAGTAGGAAATTTTGCCTTGGGCCCTTGGATAAATATTCTCCCACGGAAGGTCTACTGACGGGTCGGTGCAGCTTCTGTGACCAAGACGAAGACAATGACCCAAGTGAAGAGTATGAGGAATATTTGGCTTGCGCCGTCTGTGGCGATCATTGTACGTTGATTTGCGGCCCCATCCAAACTATAATTTCCCTGGATATTGGGCGATCCCGACTGACTCGGCAACCCACCAGCTCATCGGCAGTGTGCCCGCGAGCAAAACGCCCTCGATGATGTAGAAGGTACGTGGCTTTTCATGTCTCCTGGCAGTCATTGTCCTGACCTGGCTAGATGGCAATCCTTGGAGATGTCCCACCTGCGTCCGTGAGAAGCTGAAGCCCAGCTCGGAAGAGGACGCCCCGACGCAACGCAAGAACCGAGAGAAGAACATGCGCAAGGAGCTTCTACCGGCCCACACTGGAGAGGACGGCTCAGACTTCCATTCGATCTTCAACACGGTCACCGTCAATGAAGAACTCTTGAATAGCTCGCGGTCGCTTCGTAAAAGAAAGACCATGTCTCTCTCCGCCGAGTTCGAGGAACATACCCCCGCCCTGCGCAAGCGACAGCGCCAGTCCCCGCTGCGCTTCGACCGCGGAGTCTCGCGCGAGCAATTGGCTGAAACCCACGATGTTTTGTCGCCGGTGCGGACTCGTTCGCGACGCACGCGCCGGACCGAGCAAGAACACTGCCGCGTGGTGTTGAAACAGTTCGAGCGGCTCGTGCTGGCTTTCCGTCTCAACGAGTCCAAGTTGTCGAAGATATTCAATGCGCATACCAGGTCCCAGAACAGAAGCCGGAGGACCCCCAAGCCTGCCCCAGTCGTCCACGAGTCCCAGGCTCATTTTGCGCCGATCACACCCGCTTCTTACTACACCCCATTTCTATCTTTTAGTGACCGTGAAACGGACGAGTTGAAGGGTAAACCGTACGGGGGTATCTTGTCCGAAGCCGATGCAGATACCTCTAAAACACTGCCGACACATCTCGACCGCGAAAGGTTCGAGAAAGCTCGTCAAAAAGCGGAAGAAGAATGGCAAAAACGAGCCCTGGCCGCCGAGAATACCGGAGAAACCGTACAGCATGCATCGCAGAAGGTGTCTGGCCCCCCTTCTAGAATCAAATACATCAACTTTGGCGGTTACGAGATTGAGACCTGGTACGCCGCCCCATACCCTGAGGAATACAGCCGCAATCGGATCCTCTATATCTGCGAATTCTGCTTGAAATATATGAATTCGGACTACGTCGCATGGCGTCACAAGCTTAAATGCCCGGCAAAGCACCCTCCGGGCGACGAGATTTACCGTGAAGGCTCCATTTCGATCTTCGAAGTGGACGGCCGGAAGAATCCGGTCTATTGTCAGAATCTCTGCTTACTCGCCAAATTGTTCCTGGGGTCCAAAACGCTCTACTACGATGTCGAGCCGTTTCTGTTCTACGTGATGACGGAGTTTGATGATTTGGGATGCCACTTTGTGGGTTATTTTAGCAAAGAAAAGCGCCCGAGTTCAGCCAACAACGTTTCTTGCATCCTCACACTGCCCATCCATCAACGCAAGGGCTACGGGAATCTTCTCATTGATTTTTCGTACCTACTTACGCGCATAGAAGGCAAGACGGGTTCCCCCGAGAAACCTCTATCCGACATGGGCCTGGTTTCGTATCGAAACTACTGGCGGCTCATTTTATCGTACCAGCTACGTGATCAGAAGGCGCCGCTGAGTATCACCGATCTTTCAGAGCGGACGGGAATGACCGCCGACGACATCGTATCCGGCTTGGAAGCATTGCGTGCGCTGGTCCGAGATCCGGTGACCAAGGCCTACGCATTGCGCCTGGACTACCAATACTTTGAAGAGTGCATCGCCAATTGGGAAACCAAAGGCTATGTGCAGCTCAACCCTGACGCACTGGTTTGGACACCCTATATCATGGGTCGGAGCAACCAGTCCCAGTTCGATCGGGCCCCGTTACACGCCGTGGCACCTCGAGAGGGACTGGAAGAGGAAGAAAGCGAGGATGTAAAGGAGTCGGGCAACGAGGAAGAACGGCAATCACCCGCGGATGTTGACGGGTCCAAGGACGATGGCCCTGGTCCGATGGCGAATGGGACCAAGGAGGTGCAGCTTCCGACAGAGCCTGCTGGTCCCCCTTCCACCGATCGCCTCGGTCATGTCAATGGCTTCCGTCACCCAACCACGACGTCCGCGGGCTCGAGTACGCCCGCTGAGTCGAACCCTGCTGGGGATGTACCCGCCTGGCGATTCGAGATATATCCTCCTGTGCAAGCGCCGGCCAGCAAACGGCGTCCCGGCCGACCGTTTGGTAGCAAGACCGCCAAGATCCCTGGCACACCGATTCCTGTGCGCACTAGTGGTCGCAATACTCCCAGGCGAACGTCCGTGTTGGCGTCGGTGACCCCCTCGGCCAATCCACAGAGTGTTCGACGCGGTCGTAGCGCGAAGCTGATCGACTCGCCTGCGGTGGAATCGACCAGCGTGGAGCCCGATGGCATCGGCAACGAGCCATATGATGACATGGAGAATATACCCGCCGACAGCCAAGCGATCTCGTCTCAGGTCCATGTATCGACCGAGACCGCACTGACCAACCACGCTGTCGGTGAGGATGAACTGCCCACGTCGAACGACTCTTCGGACCCCGGAAATGACCAGGAGAATGACCCCACCGAGCATCCTGCGGTCGAGCCCGTCACCCCTTCCAAAGGCAAGGCAGTCGAGGGAAAGGCAAAGCTCTCCAAGTCAGTTAGCCGCAAGTCCTACGTGGAGAAGCTGGAGCTCGTGGTGGCAGCCGAGGACACCGCTCTCTCGACGCACGAGAACGGCGTTGTCGACAAGGCCCCGGTCAACGGCATGGATGCAGACGGTGACACGGTGATGGAGACCTAAAAGTCAGACATACCGGAGGTCCATTCTCAAAAAATTTCACGAGGCACTTCCCGGGGGCGTTCTTGCTTGTTACTATTGTTGGGAGTGGGGTGTTTTATTTTCTGGCTTTGACATATGGGATACACAACCTTCATCATGACTCGACCGATTTGGCTTATTTCCTCTTTTTTTGTTTTGCACCATTGTATCAAGCAAGGAGTGAGGCGGGTCACCAGGAGTTTTGGTTCCTCTTCCTTCGATGCACACTTTGTCTTCATTCCCCCCCTTTTTTCTACCTTCGAGTGTCTGTTTGCCTGTTCTCCCGTCTCAGCTATGGGACTGGTTCTTCTCGCTTGGTCGGGAGAACCAGGTTCGACTAGAACTCGCGCGCCTGCCTGCCCGTGCTTTTCTCCCCCATATAAATCTGTAATGTAGCCGGCTCCCACGGGAACTATCGCATAATGTCCTTACTACGCTTTCAGGGCTATGTCCTACCTGAATGTTAGTCTAGCCCCATTCAAGACATGTTGATGTAGCACAACTTACACTTCCGATGTAAGGAATGCCAGATTCAGATCCTTCAGGAAGTCTATCTATCTACCTACATGCCTTGACGCCACCGAACCATCGATAGATGGGGCGCAAATATGTGGCTGAGACCGATTTTACTAATACTATCAACCGAGTACATGATTCTCATTTGGATATGTGTATAACATTCATTATATGTAATTCGTTCCATTCTTGGATATCAATATCACTATAGCATGCTTGGAGATCACTTACTATCTTCCTTCCTACTAACCTACCTATCCTGTTACTTCCCTCGACGATCGAGAGAGAGAGAGAGAGGGAGGGAGAGTCTTCCCAATACAACCCTAACCTACTCACAGGATAAATACTACGCCTATGAATACGAATATTTGGTAGGTACTGAATATTGAATACAGCCATACATACATACATACATCCATGCATGCATGCATGCATACAAAACAAAAGTCCGTCTTTCACATCCCGTCACATAAACACATCCCGATTAAGCAAGAGTATTTACTCCAATCAGCATCATTAGACAATTTAAACCGAGTAACATGGAAAAAGCAACAATGGGAGATAATTCTAATACTAATACTACTACCACTACTAGTAATAATAATCATGATCTCCGTCCTAGGTATTCTATACCTATCTAATAGTAGATAAACTTTCGGAGCCGAACCGGAGTCTCTGAAAACGGAACAATGCCTTTCTTTTCTTTTCTTTTCTTTTGGTCCTGTCTAGTCTAGAAAAAGAAATACCTAGCGATGATGGTCGTGATACTAGGAATGTAATTCCGGGGCAAGACAAAAGAAACAAGATGCAGGAATGTGTGTGTACAGTACGGTTAAGGCAACTTAGAGTTTTGGGGCCAGCGTGGTGGTGGGTTTTTAGGGTGCAGGATGGGGCGGGAGGGAAATCCTGGAAATCACTTTTCATCTTCATGCGTTGTTTTGTTATCTATCTATCGATGTATCATGTAGGTTTAGGTTTGGGGGAATTATTTTACTTTTTATGGGGTTTATGATTTTTGAGTTTTAGGCTTTGGGGGAGGGGGGTACCCTTGCCTAAGTAGTAAGTAGAGGGTTGGTTGGTGGTGGTGTGTATCTACCCGTACCCTTCCTTACCCGGTAGATGGTTATGGATACGAAGGAGAACTCGGCAGATGTGATGGATACATACGGCCTGCTTCACGGTGGGTAAGCAAGGTACGTAACTACTAGATAATCTAGACCGACTAGATCTGTGTCGTCGTCTGCTGCTGCTGCTGCTGCTGCCTGAGACGGTGGCGACATGGAGTGATGGAACACTGCACAGTAAGGTCCTTCTTCATTGGGGCATTTGGGGAATACTTTTCCGACGGCGTGTCCCGTTTGGGAGAACAGTCTTACCCACCTGAGCGTAAGCCCTCTGTAGTCTGGACAGTAATAGTTCTAGTAGCAGAGAATCCTAGTCAGGATTGAGAGCCGAGTCCGTCCGTTCATGCAAGTCTCCCTAGTTGGCCGGCGGTTAGACGGCGATAGACGGTTACAGGTCATCGCCGTGCTGAGTGGGACCACGAAACAGTTGATGGATACTATCGGACGATCTATATCGGTCCTGAGATGGGTGGGTGAGGTGTGGCTCATCTGCCGAGCAGGACCGTACTATACTAGTACTTTGGTTTTGCTGATGTGGCGATGCGGCTGATATGTACCGCTGCGCTGCATAGGCTGTCGCGAATCGCGATAGTGCCTGTTAGTCACAGCCCCGTGTGGTGCGGTAGAGGGGCTGTTTTGCATCCTGCGATCTCGACTGCATGGCCAATGGGGAATTTGGAATTGTGGCCGCCCCATGACAATGGCCATTGTGTGGAGTTTGTCTGCGGTGCGCGATGACTGGATGTGGCCGGGCTGGCGGTGAATGGCGACGCACTGCTTATCCCTGCCAGGAGCATGTCTCTGGGGACAAAGGGTACCTATCTAAGTGTAAAGGGCTGGGGAATCAGCCATCGACGGCTTCGGCCGGAGGAGAAGATGAAGTCTCCGTGTCCTGGAATGACGGAGCAACAAGAAGTCAATCGATAATGCCGTGCACCCGAGACCCGCGTCGCATCAATTAGCGGATGAGAGACGTCTTAGCCGGTCTGATCTCTCGGATTTCGTATATGATCTGTCAGGTAGTCAAAAAAAAATCCCCTTTAAGCCCTCCCCTCTTTTCCTTAGGTACTTCGTGCTATCGTCTAGCCTTTACAAATCACCCGGGCCATTGCCGAAGCTTTCTGATCGATTCGACAAAGCCTTTCCGGGCCTTTCGATAGGTCCAGATCCCTGTTCGGGCACTCCCCTAGTCGGAGCATCGAGGCGTCACCGTCGATAATTATTAGTCGCGATTAGCGAGAGGTTTAGAAATTGGGGTGATTCATGGACGACAAAGGGCTGAAACAGCGGGCGCCCCATCCTGACTTGGAAGGACTCCATGGATCGGATCTGGTGAACTTCGGGAACGGCCCCCAGGGCCAGAATAAGCATAACTGTAGCGTAGACTAAGCGCTGGTGAAAGTCTGGTTCAGACTGGGGATGCTCGGCGGACCGCTGTCATCAAGAACCAGGAATGGCTCTGGTGCCCGTGCTTGTTGGAACAAAAAGGCAACCGCCGAACACTTCATCGTGCATTGTTGTATTTGTGTCGGCCCCCCACCGAATATGTAAACGGTCCAAAGGGAGGGGTCGATTGTCGAGAGACAAGCAGAAGAGGGGTGGAGGGTGCAAAATTTAGTGCTGAGATTTTTCTGCTGCTCCTTTTTTTTCTCTTTTTTTCGATTCGTTTTCATCTTACCCACCAAGGTATTATTTGACTTTTTTAATTTTTTTTATTTTTAATTTTTTTTTTTTTTTTTTGATTTTCCCCTTCCCCCATTCTGAAGCCATTCCCATATTACCCTGATGGGAGCGGACTCAAGAGGGTCCTGGCGGTAGGGATTTATTCCTTCGCACCAAAACCCACCGTGCGGGCTTCCAATGTGTGCGTCCAATGTGTGTGGCCATTGCCGCTATGGTTCTGCCATTCAGAGCCCATTCACCAGAATTCATTCCCCCCCCCCCCCAATTGCATCGTTCCTTTTTTCTCTGGGTCGGTAGCCTTGTACACTCTCTCATCAAAACGTGGCATTATTATCGGTACTCTTGTGGTGTAGGAAATTTTCTTGACTAGAAGCCGCCATGGTAACATCGCAGCCGGAGACTTGCTGACAGGTCTCTCCCTATGGCGTCGATCAGGCCCAGTGTGTGTGTGTGAATCGACCGAAGCTTGTCATCCTTGATTCTCTCCCGTTCAGCTGCCCCGTTCATCTTGTTTTGTTTTCTTCCCTTTCCTTGTTTCGTGACTACCTTCCGCCTGTTGACAGGATGGTGGTTGAGTCACCCTGCGGGCAAAATAAACCGCGTCAATCGTCAGGAATCTTTCTTATCTCCATCCATCCTTTTTTGGTCCCCTTTCCCGCGGGGGATGGATTTTGTTCCTGACTTGCAGGTACCATGTCCGAAAGCTCCGCTATCCTGGACGTCTGCCCCATCCATGTCCTTACAAATCTAGGCATTGGTCTATGCCACCCTTGCATAGGGATTGCCAATCCTCGGGCGCATGCTTCCTGCTGATCCTTTCTACGCGATAATTCTTTAACGAGGTTCCGAATTTGTGACCGATGTTGCGTCAACCTCATAGCAAGATAACAGACATCATCGCTGTGCTGAACGCGAGGAATACAGTCTCCGCAGCCAAGGCCAATATGCCCGTTATGCTCAACGCTTTGCAGATTGCGAGAAACGCGATGGCGGGCTTCTGAGACCAGTAGCTTTGCAGTTAATGCGGCTAGATGCAGCTGCCACTACCACCTAATAAGATCCAGGATCCGTACGCATCCCGGGCTGCAGCGCATCTGGGGGATGGTGAAGGGTACCCGGGGGCTTTCAAAAGAATCCAAAAGGTAAAAGAGAAAAAAAAAGAGGAAAGAAGAAAGGGGGAAGGGCGCTGTATGGGGGAAAGAAAGAAGCGTAATTCTCAGCCGCGCTTTTACACCGCGTGAACCAAGGACCCTCAGATTATGCATGGAGAGGTTGCGTAGTCCAACCAAAAGGTCGACACTATTAAAGTAAGGTTAGCTCTTCATTGCTGAATCTCGCCTAGGCAAGTGAGAGGAAGAATCGTTCTCGGCGATCCCTCTTTCAGAGACGAATCAAGCATGCTTACCTTCACAACGCCGCAGCAGACCAGCGATCCGATCTCTGGCGGCCCGGCTCTGCTGAGTGCTGAGGCGTGAGCGTCCCGTTCCCCGAGATCGAATCAACCTTCCAGCACAACGGTATGGATGTCTGGGTGGGACGCGAGCCCTGCGACCTGCGTGTCAAATTCCAGGCAATGTGATGCATCCATCGGGCTAGCTCTCATAAATGCAGCAGCTAAAAGGTTGGCTCTGAAGCCCGACCTTTCCCCACGGCTGCACGTTGAAAAAGAGGCCCACTCCCACCTCTGGTTCTCCTTCCCGACAGCGATCGATTGCATATTCATTCTTGAGTCCGTCCTCTCACCCTTTGTTTTTTCTTGACCAGGGTGGCTGCTGTCCACGATCGTTCTTTTGTTCCTTTCGAGGGTCGTCGCCGAGGGTCAGCGGGAGTGAAGTACTTCTGCGGGACATCGCGGGGAACGAGAGATATCAAGATAATATCAAGATAAGGGGAGGTCAATCCCGTCGTCGTACAAGAGTCGGTACCGGGGGGGGGCTGCGGAAGGACGACGAAAAATCCCCGAAGGAAAGATTTGGAATTGGCTGCAGGCTTCTGTCGAGGGGAAGAGAAACAGACAGGGGATGGTCCCTTGTGACACAGACTGGGGTTGGCAGCAGCAGCAGCAGCACGTCGTCGCCGTTCTTCTCGACCAGAAGTCATCCTGAACCACCACCACCATCGCCCCTCTCCAACAACTCAGGGGTTTCGAACGAAAAGGCAAAGCTCCCAAGCAAGCCTGTGCAAGACCACGCGACTCAAGGAAAAAAGGTAGGCAAATTTGTTGCAAAAGTCGAAGCATTGAATTGCTTGATCAAAGTTAAATTAATTGATGGATCTCTCAAGTTCTAACAAAGGGCTCAAAGGATATTGAGTGGGCCTTGGGGGCCCTGGACCCCTCCTGCCGTCGCTTCGACCTTGGATCCTCCCTTTGTCAGGAAACACGGAACCAAAAGTGGATGACATAGGAGGTCAGTCAACGGTTCGTCGTGTCCTTGTGATGTTGTCGTTGTTGTTATTGTTGATGATGATGATGATGGTGTGTGGTGTGGTGTGGACGTGGAATGGTGTGGTGTGTGATGGTGGTGGTGGTGTTGCCTGCGGATGATGTTGCTGCTGCTCGTGATGCTGACTTGTCGGCCTAAACACAGTGAAAGAGCCTGTGATAGGCGGATAGTAGAAGCCAGCAGTGAAGGAGGAGACAACCGAAGGCCTATCTACGGATGAGCGTCACTCTTTCCGAATCAGCGCAAAGACGATCCGATTCTTAAAGTACAGTTCTGAGACAACGATACAGTACGGTCTAAGAGGTCTAAGACTTTGACTGGTATACAACTTCTTAGGCGCGCACCGACCAGCATAGAAGTCTTCACTGGCGCCAAATCAAGAGCTGGAGACCCTGCGTGGCGTCTAGATACGGGTCTGATCACTTGCATAGCCGGCTCCATCTCCACGCGCACGAGACCACGCCGTTGCCTGGGTGGGCTGGGGTTTGCTCGGGGAAGTGAGTAGTGGTTTGCCGCAAACGCGGTGGATGTCGTGCCTAGCTCGAATCAGTGGTTTTGATTGTCTGCCGTCAGTCGATCCATCTGGCCTAGACGAGGAGTAGACTTTGAGTCTTGCGCAGGTGGCCGGCGTGAATCTGACTTTGGTCGCTTCCCCCCCTCCCTCGATTCTCGGAACTTGCCAATGTGCGCATCATCTCCATGTCGCTGCGGTTCCTGTCGGATCGTCAAGGCTGATACACACCTTAGCCCGCGTACCCAACCGTGGTTGACCTGACTGGGAACGACACCATTCGACGGGCAAACAGTGGCCAGCGCTGCCCTCTTATTCTGGTACAGCTCCACTAGGCCATTTGTCTGGTACACCCTTCAGCTGGCTGTCCTCTGATCTCCAGTAAATTTTTACCCTAGACTTCCTAATTCTGACACACCAGCGGCACCACTCATTTATTTTCGTGGATTTTTTGTGCGTCACAGACCTGTCAGAGGCGACTTTTGGTGACCCATCGTTCAGCTACCGTCTGATCGCTGGGCGGTGTTCGATCCCGCCACACCTACCTAGTCCTCGCTCGCTTCAGAACTACGAACGCCGGCTTCTATTATTACTATTTTGACTTTGGCAAATTTTCGGAAGAGGGGGGCGTGAATTAATTGTCCTATCTGGGCTTGGTCGCGCATTTTCCCATATTTTTCTATTCCGGCCTCGCGACCTGTGACGTCTAGACCGGTGGTCGATTGAATGAACCAGACACCACGGTCGCAGAAGCCCGATCTGATTCCCGGAATTTTCTTCAGGTGAAGAAAAAAAAAAAAAAAGGAAGAGCAGTGACCGTTTCATCCTCGTGTGAAGAAGTTTCCTTTCCCCTTCCAGACCAGTTCGGAAGAAAATCAAAACAAAAAGATTTAAAGGAAAGGGAAAAAAAACCATAAACAGAAAAGAAGAAAAAAGCATCCGACGGGAACAAAAGAGGATTGGACAAGAGTTTAGAAAAATAAGAAAAACAAAAAAAAAGGGAAAAAGAAAACGACGAAGTACAGCCATCAGATTTGGAAGCAGCAACAACAACAATACGCAGGCAGCTGCTATAAGAGCCAAAAGCGCAGCGAAAGAGTGGACAGGAAAGCAGCGCACCTTAGCAATCCACTTGGGTCGATTTTGCTGGTTAAGGTTTGTCTGGAACCGTGCCCGGCTGGCTCTTGCCGCTTGCATTCTGACGACACCATCCATCTTTTTCCTCTTCCTCGGAAAGCCGTTTTCGTACCCGTTCGCCTCAGTCGAGCTCGAAAACTACTTGACGCTGCTACTGCAATTTACGGCCAAACCCTCGCAGCTGCCCGGACGCAAGTGGCAGCCCAGCGGTGATTTCCTCACGGCTTCTCCACTCCGGTAGTTGGGTCGAAGGTCCAGCTCCAGCTGCTACGGACTGACTAACTAGTCAATCATACCGTCGCGTCCATCTTTAACCAACCCCAACTCCCCTCTTCCACCCCACCGAGTATCCTTCTCTCTTCTAGTGCTTCGTCGAACCACAAGTCGTTCGGTGCCAGGTTCCAGAGACCCAACTGTTCTTCCCTGCTGTTAATCCGCCGGTTCGTTCTTTGTTTCTTCATCATATCTCACTTTTCCCCTGGCCACCTACTGCTGTTCAGACGTGGTTCGCAGCTGTCGTCCTCGCGGATATCCGACTCGGATCCTTTGGCTCCCATATTCTTAGTTCGTACCCTTGAGAGCTCGCCTTGATGAGTGCGTCGACGTTTCCGGACGCTTCCCTTGCCCGCGATTCTCAGAGGTTTGTCTCCCCCCCCAATTCCTTCTTCCTCGTCGTATAGCTTCAACTCTTACTCAGCTGCCCAGGGCTTCCAACTGACAATGATTACCTCCAGCTCTGACTTTGACCTGATCGTTCGCCAGCAGCCCAACCGGGCGCGCGTGGCTGGTGGGAAGGAGAAAGGTACGTGGAACCATCTGCTGTCCAGTCTTCGAAGCGTCCCACGGACGAGCAGGGGCTAACTTGGGGATCGTGTCCGCTCTACAGAACGCAAGCCAGTAGATCCACCCCCGATTGTGCAGATTCGAGTAAGAGAGGAGGGGACCTACCTCGCACAGTACGTGACCTGGCGTGAACTTGTGCGCGGCCGAATTTGCCCACTAACAGGCTCCGGTAGACACTACTTGCAAAGTCCCTACTATTTTATGTGCTGCAGCTTGTATGATGCTTCAGAGGATAATCCAGTCCAGGTGGCCCCGTCCACCGCTTTGACTGGTACCTTGGTTTCGTCCCTCCACAGGTTGAAAGACGTGGATAACAGTGGTAAGTTGGATTCCCTAGGGAACCGTTGAAATCCACTTTCTGACTGCATTGGCTCAGATGGAGGATTCTTCGTGTGGGGAGACTTGTCTGTGAAAATCGAGGGTGATTTCCGACTCAAGTTTACTCTTTTCGAAATGCGAAAGTAGGTTTCCCTCTGACTCTGGGATAGATTCCCAGTGAGCCGATTCACCGGTTGTAAAAACAAAGCAGGTGCTGATTAGCGGTGTCAAGGGACATTGTTACCCATTTGAAATCCACCATCACGGAAAGATTCACTGGTGCGTGCTTTTGTTTCCAAATCCCCCTCCAGAAAGTGCAATCTCTGACTTTTTTTGCAGTGTACCCGCCGAAGAGTTTTCCCGGCATGGCAGAGTCGACGTTCTTGTCCAGATCGTTCGCGGACCAGGGTGTGAAGTTGAGAATCCGCAAGGAGCCCCGAACATTAATGTGAGTGAAGAGAGCTGGTGGCTGGAAAGCCTGTGTTTGACGCGAGAAGTGGCATTGCATGATTGACGAATTTGACAGCAAACGACCTGTTCCCCGGCCGGAGGAATATCCACAGCCGATTCCACGCTCTCCCGACCGTTCTTCTATCCAAATGCCAAGCAATGCGTTTAGCGGCTATCCTCCAACGAGTAGAGACTACGCGTACTACGGGCAAGCGCATACGAGTAAGCGGCCGCGGATGTCTTCGATAGATCTTGGTACTCGAGGCATGTATGACACTGATGGGCGCATGCGTCAGATGGATGCATACCCCCAGACGGCCATTTACAATCAGGCAGGAGGCTACCCGACTCCTATCATGCAGGGGTATCCCACGGGGCACACGGCGGTTCCAGACTATGCGGTTCGTCCACCTCCATTCTCCCCAAACGCGGGCATTTTGGAGACGGCGACGTCTCCACAGATGTCATCTCCAGAGGCTGGGCGGAGTGCTCACACTTCAGTAGATGTCGTACGGAATCCCGTCGTCCACGCAGGTACCCCAGATGCAAGACCCTGGGGCACACGGTCGTTCCAGCCAACAAGCCTCGATGCAGTCCTTGGGAATGGTCAACGCAGCACCTGGTACTCCTGTATGGACTCCGCCTACCACCCGTCGTTGAGGACGAGAAGCTAAGAACCGTATATTTCTCTGGATAGACAGCGGACTCGACCGGAGCAATGATGCCACAAGGCTACGCTCGTTCGCAATACCAGACTGGGACGGGGTCCACAATCCTTCCTCCTTTGCAGCGGAATCGAAACTACACACAAGGAACCAACGGTGCGGGAACACGAGGCTATTTTGACCAAACCTCTCAAGCGGCCACTCCAGTTCTCCCATCGCAGCCCATTGCCACCAATGACGTGGATAGATATGGTTCTACTCCTGGTCAGGCGGCGTATGAGCATCCTGTTTCAGCGAATGGGACTCCTCGGTGAATGGATTTCGAGTGCCTAGCTGCTTTGTTTGGTGTTTGTGGTCTCGATCTACGGCTGAATTCGCGGGCTCTTCTTCTCTTTGCTTTTACCTCGTGGGATAGACAGTGGGACGGGTGTTTACTTTTATTGGGACAAGAATCGGGGTCTCTGGGGATAAATGGCGCCTGGGGGATCAAAATGGTATAACCATACTACAGGTGTTTGATTGCTATTTTTATTCTCCTTTGTTATTTTTATGGCTTTGGATTTGGGTTAGGTGACGACGGATGGTGGCTGGACGGTTGACTTCACTGTACATATTAACTTGAGACAGAATTTGATTTGAGATGGGTAGCATAATAGCTACGCTGCCCTGCTCTTTAACGAGTACGACTTTCACCAACTAGACAGAAAACGACAGCGGTCGGTACCGTGTGCGGCGGGTGGCTGCCCCAGGACGGGGTGTTTCCTTCCTCTCTGGTGGGAGACCCCAGCCCAGTCGTCGTCTTGGGCGCCTGGCCAGCTGCACTTCACTTCCCTCCCCTCCTTTCGGCTGGCATTCACTCTTTCACTCGGGCTTCCCCGTCTTTCATTCCAACACTTGCCCGGCCGACGTGTTCTTCTTGTTCTCTATCCCAATTCCGACGGATATTATTAGCAAACTACGGACCCAGAGATCCATCATGACCTCCCTCCAAGGTGACGACCGGCCTGATTCTTTTCCTCAGGCTCCTCAACTCTCCAACCTGGAGGTTCGAAGTACTTGGAGTGGTAACTTGGATGAGCCAGTGGACCTCAGAATCTCTTTGGTGGTAAGCTCTTATCACCCCATTCTGGAGTCTTCTGCTCATCGAGAACTCCTTGTTCTATCGATTCATTAGACCCATTGTGTCCCGAGCACGAAGCTACCACTTTTAAATGTCAAATCCGCGAGAATCGCCATTCTCAAAACACGGTTGATCCGGCTTCAGTCTGATGAATCGAGCCATGATAATCCGTCAAGCACGAGCTCCCCTCAAAGTCCTCTGTTTGGATTTTCTTCTGATCATGATGGTCACTATGAAGCACATGGCTTGGACATCAAGGGACCCAATGTTGCAGATACTGAGGCCTCCGCTGCAATATTTGACGAGGCGGGGCCCTCAACCCGCAGAAATACAGCGAGTATCCCCGGTAGTAATATTGGAACACCGTCGTTGGATGCTTCGGTGAATTTACCATCTGTAGCAGGCTTACGTTCTAACTTCGCTAAGTGTGAAGATTGGATGAAGTTGCAACTCTTGCGAAAACGAAGTGCAGCAGCAGCATGTTTGACGGACTCCGAGTCAGGTTCGGTCAAAGCTGAGGGTTTGGACAGGAAGGAAATGCAGAGCGACCTGGCTAGTAAGACCAGAACTGTCAAATCCAGCCAGAACGCAGCGGGCGACTCAATAAGACTCAACGGACATCCCATTGCCAGCACTTCAAAATCTGGAGGAAAACCTGATGATGCTCCCAGTTTAGTGAAGCCTATATCGCAGCCAGAACGTTCGGAAAAAGGAGTAGTTCCTGATTTGATGTCTGAGGACCATTGCACTACTGCCAGCAACATACATGTCGAAGAATTGGTTGACGCTTTTGAGGTTAAGGGAACCACTCTAGAAGTCGGCACTGAAGCTGGTCTCAGTGCCGTATCAGATGCTGATAAAGATATAATTCAACATTCTACGAGCTCGGTGGCTCCAGGATTTGGGTTTGATCAGTCTGGTATCGATTTATTATCAACCGCCGGTAGTATGCCATCTGCAGAGCATGAAACTGAAAGCACCCCAGGAGTGTCGAATGGCATGTGTGGGCAGCCACTTGGAGCAGCTCGAAAGCTGGGTTCTACACAATTCAGTTCGGCTATAAATCAAGAAACACTCCTCGATTCCAGCCTTGAAAGAACCGCCACATCGGGTGAAAGCAAACCAGGAATAAATCCAATGGCTTGTCTACTTCCAAAGCTTGCCATACCACAAACACCCCATCAGAAGATAGATGAAATAGATAGCTTGACACTCGATGGTGATCACCGTGTGCATTCACCAAGGGAATGTGAGCCGGAGTTCGACGTTAGCTGTGGCATCTTGTTCATGAAGAATCCTCGCAATCTTCAGCCGGCAACGTACAAGCTTGTTATTACCATATCCGTCTTCTTGCGAGAAGGAAAGCAGAGGGGATGGAATGAATTAGTGATACAAGGCCTCCCCAAGTTGAACAGTGGCGAGTGCGGGTTCCTGCTCTTCCGCATACCGGAAAAGCATGGCCTCGAATTCCGCACGACAAGTTTACAAAGGTACAAGATCGTGGAAAACTGTTTCATGGCTGAATTTAGTTACACAGGCGACCTTGTGATCCCACTTCGCAGGTGTAACCGGAAATTCTACGGTATTGTCAAGGATTTCACTGTTCACCAGGAAATCAGGGCTGAATATGTTGTCGCTTCTGACAAACGAGATTGTCAACCAGAAGTACAGGTGAACTACCACGCAATATGCTCTGTCAGGCTTCACAACCGTTGCTTCTGGGCCGAGAAATGCTGCCTTCGGCTTTCCATCGACGGTGGTCCGGAGAGGTCATTCCACAGCAAGCTTGAATCCCATAAGAATGGACTGGAGATGATCCACATCACCACCCAAGAGAGTACTCCTATTGGTATCTCGTGTTTGGAAATCATTTGCTCCCCTGGAGATCTAGAGTTGTTCTGTGTGGACTGGTCCGTTCGGCTTCCCCAGGTACGAGCAATCAGTTGGCTTCCGCGAATCTATCCCGCATCATCTATGTCTTGTGATCGTGTTAGGCATCAGCTTCGATATACGTTTGAGAATATGGAGGCTGTGTCACCCTCCCCCATTGAACGCTCTTGCGACTCCGAGAAAGAGTCCACAGACGAGAAGAGCAGTGTTGCTGGTATTGCAGACCTCGAAAATCTGGTTCAAGTGCCGCCGACGAAGACCGCACAGCAAATGGAGTCCCGGAAGGTCAAGGACTTTTTGGGAACAATGAACGTCATAAAAGTCATTCTCCTCGTTTGCCTATGCATGTCCTATGTGTTGTTCATCGCCTTTGCATTTCCATGGCTCACTAGGGTTGTTAAGGACGCCGTCACCGGGCCACATGAGGAAACTCCTGCTGTTACAGTCTCGGCGGATAATCTGAGCCACGCAGGGATGGTGCGCTTGGACATCAACGAGTGGGAGAGTAAAGTCGATGAATCGGTGCCCACGCAAGACGTAGAGCCAGCTGAAGAGGAATTGACTGTAATCAAGAATGAGGGGCTCGAGGGGCCAGCAACAGATCCAGCCATCGAGTCGCGTGCGGAACGTACCTTGACATTTCGTGACAAGATTGATTACTGGCTTGGTTGGCGAGGACCTGTTGATCATTCATAGTGAGACTGGCGCACAACTGCAAGCCGGCTAGAGGAACAGGAGGGAAATCAAGAAGAAGGATAGGTAGAGTCTAGGCTCTTTATCTAGTTAGATACTACTCACGAACGGTGTCCGTATTCTCATTGCTCCTCGGTTTCTTCGATATGCTTCAGTACCTCCTCGACAGCCCATTTCAAGATGTCCACGATGGATGCGGTTCCTTGCCCGGGGGCGACCGTAACGCCTGCGTCCGTCCTCAGATTGACGCCCTGTCCCACCAGATGCACCAGCTCTGGCGTATCAACAGTAGGTAATCTTTGCGATCCCTCCTCGGGCAACAACAACCACGCATGATCCTGTACATAGTTCGGCCATACAATATCATCCACATAGCCAGGCGGATCCGTCCAGAAATTCTGCGGTGGCCCATCATCCTCTTTCTCCAAATCCACCCCCTCTGCCTCCTCTTTCTCCTCCCCCTTCTGCTCCACCTCACCCCCATCCCCATCCCCATCCCCATCCCCATCCCCAGTATTAGACACCGTCGGCGCCGGCCCAATAGTCACATACCCACTCCTCCCCTCCCTCCTCTCCTTCACATTCTCATACCTAGCCGGCAAAAACAACCTCACATCCATAACATCATTCACATCTCTCAATCCATGTTCCGGCGCCTCTATCCTAGGAGGCGCAAACAACAAAAACCCCTCCAGAAACACAATCGTCCGGTTCCTTTTCCCATCCCCATCCCTATCATCTCCACCGGAACCCTCATCAACATAGTAATAAGAAGGCACCCTCCTCCTCACCACCCCCCTCAACTCCTCAATAACTGATTCCGATACGTCAGGAGGAACAACATCATTCAAATCTTCTTTTGAACGTAGTCGCGGAGGAAGTCGTCCGTGGGATTTTATATATTGTAATGAGGAGGTTAGAAAGGGGGTGTTTATTGCAGCGAGGGTGTCCCAGTTTTGGATGTTTTGGTGCGGGGCGCGGGGGTGGGGGGTTAGGGGGATTCTGCTTGTTATATTTTTTGGTTAGTTTGGTGGGAGTTGGGGTTGGGGAATGGGGAAGGGGAAGGGGAAGGACGTACTTGTCGTCGGAGTGGTAGAAGTCGTCTTCGTGGACGATGAATGTTTTTAGATTCGTGGTGGGATTGGGACTGGGGTTGGTGGTGGAGGTGGGGGTGAGTTTGGAAAAGATGCTTTGGAGAAGGCGGGCGAGGGTGGTTTTGCCGCTGCTGGAGGGGCCGGAGAGGCCGATTATGGTGGTTTTGGGTGTTGGGTCTGGTTCTGCACCTGCTGGTGGTGGTGGTGGTGGTGAGGGGGGTGGCATTGTTGCTTGGTGGTTTTGGAGAGGGGAGGAGGAGAGAGAGGATGAGATAAATCGGTGGGATGTGGTGAGGGACATACGATGATTATATTGTGTGGGGCGGTGGGGCAGCCTTATCTTATAGATAGTAGATAAATTGCTTATCGGCTAGTCTCGTCTGTGTCTACTTGGTGGTTGGTATAGGTATAGTTTCATGCAGAATTTGGATGATTGTATGTGCTATGTACGGTCGATATGATACATGTTTCTTCAGATACAAATGCAACCAATGTCAAACTACGGCCCGAAAATAGACACTCTCTTGCTCGGCTTACTCGCTGCTGCTGCTGCTCCGGCGTTGCCGCTCCCGTGAGCAGGCTCTAGCAACGGCGAGAGCACCCGAAACGGCGAGGTCCGAGGAGACCGGCTCCACGCTTACGGTGGCGTCATGAGGATCCCCTGCGGCGAGATAAAGCCCAGCCCAAGTGACGCGGACTTGAGGCGTTTTGATGTGACCAGGTCCGGCCCGTCGGTGTTCTCGGGTTCAAGAGGAATGGCCCGTTTGCGCTTCCGCGGGGTTGTATGTACTGGCACTTCTGGCTTTTTGTCTTCCTCTTCGTTATCGGCAATAGATAGCTTGTGGCGGTCGAACAGGCCCGACGGGTGTCTCAGGTATGCAATCCGGGCCGTGTCTTCGTTCTCGGGCATTGGAATGAACTGTTCATTCTGGATGATCGAGCTCATCGTACTGTCGTCGAGGAGGTCTCGTTCTGCGTGTTGGATCTCGCTGTCTGTCATGTCCTTTCGGCGCTGCAGCATCCTGTCTTCCAGGGTGTCTTTGAGAACGAGGGTCTCGACGGACACGGGCCGCGTCTGTCCGATTCGATGCGCTCGTTTGATGGCCTGGCTCTCGACGTTCGGTTGCCAGATCGGATTGACGATGAAGACACGGGATGCATTCGCAATGTGCAGGCCGTGAGATGCCTGGCGCAAGTCCATCAGGAGGACCCGGACCTCTTCAGACTCGCGGAAGAGAGTCAGGTATTCTACCCTCATAGCGGGTTTGAGAGTACTGGCGTAAATGCGGAAATCGACCCCGAGAAGTTCGAGTCCTTCGGCAATCCAGAAGGCGGTGTTATTGTTATCGTAGAAAATGATGATTTTCTCGGCAGTGTGCAGCTCCGACACTTGGTCTAGGAGGTATGTCAGCTTGGCTGAAGCGGTGGCGACCAGTTTGGTCTGCACCAGAGGGGACTCGGCCGGCAAGGTCTTGAAAAGCCCCTTGGAGTAGGTCTTTTTCGGGGAGCTGCTTTTGACGGGCTTGTCTGGTGTGGTCTTTTTGTGGCTGGCATTATCCCCCTCTCGCTCCGAGAGCTCTCGACGGGCCTTGATTCCCGCACCGGCAAGTCCTTCGGCTGGATCGTAGGTGTTCAAGTGCTTCGTGACAAACTTCTGTGCATGATGCGCCTGGGTAATACCCAACAGAAGCGGCTCATGGTGTGCCATTGAATGATCAATAGCCCACATAGTCCGAGCGTGAGCGGGAAAGTCCCGGACGAAAACTCCCAATTCATGCATCTGCTTGAAGGCGCACCAGCTTCCACATCGGAGCGCCATTCGTGCGATTCGAACGCCTTCGCGTAATGTAGCTGTATCATCTTCACTCATTGTCTTCGAGTGCTTTTCCAGATACTTGAGGGCATTGTCGATCGTTTGAGAAATGTCGTCTGAGCCAGCCCACCAGAACCCGGCCTGGCGGAGGTTGTTGATCACGACGCTAAGATGCTTGCGGTTGCGAGGATGAAACATATAATCGTGGTCTTTGCGCTCGGAAGTGATCGCATTAACAGCTAAGCCAAAGATGAACATATTCAGATTCAACTTGTCGTAAAAGGTTGGTTCAAGATGCACGACCTTGTTGTACAATCGAGGAAGAGGAATCTCATTGTGGATGACATCTAGACGGTGTCGCACAACAAGGCTCTGCAGAGTAGCTCGCAAAGACTGCGCTTTCCGCCGCCTGCCATCTTCGCCAAGGGGCTTGATATACTTGGTCCAGCTGGCAGGGTCGTTGGCTCGAGAGTTCGACCACGGCTTCAGGTCAAGAAACTCCATCACGATATACCGTAGCCTGTCCAGGTCCTTGAGCTCACTATTCAAGGCATTGCCGGTTTTCTTTCTATCCCGGAGTACGGCTGTTGTAGCTTCCGCCAAATCCGTGTCACTGGTTTGAGTCTCCTGCGAAGCCAGGCTGACTTCGACCCCATACAGCCCGTTGGATGGAGTCCCTGACACAATCCACCGACGCTCTATGCAAAGCTGCTTCATGAAGTGCACTATGTTGGTCCGATGACCGGTACCAGCCGCGTTGTGGCCTTCATCGACGATGATCCGGAGCCAGTGAAGTTTGGTCAGAGGGGACTCCTCGGGCGCTATTGAACTACGTTTGTTGTCGATCGCCTCGCCCGCCTCTTTCTCGAAGCGAACCTTGGAGAACAGAACGATGTCGTATTGCAACAGCTCATCTGGCGATGGGGTTTTGTGAGAACTGTTCCGGAGCACAAGAACCTTGAGACCATCGGTGTGAGCCACAATTTCGTTTTGCCAGTGGTTGACCAGATTAGGGGGTACGATGATCAGCGTTCCTGAACAAAGACGGAGTTGCTGAGGCGGCAGTCTAGTAGACGCCACGCTACTTCGACCATTATGCCTTGCCGGGGGTGGAGTTATAGTATAGGTGCCACGATTCATCTCGCATGCGCGGACACACCGGTCATAGAATGTACCGCAATGGCCCAGGGTGTCAAAGTGGGTTTTCCAGGGCAGGGAAAACCGGCCTGCTGTCGCCGCCGCCATCTCAACAAGGCTGCCTGTCACTTGCCGGACTGGGTTCTTTATCTCCTGGTATTCCAACGGGATTTCAGGGAAATGGCCGCGTGTTGCCAGAATCACAGCCAAGCAAATAAGCGTCTTGCCGCAGCCCATGGTTTCCGCAAGGATACCTATGTCCAATTAGAAAGACCATCCACATGCCGTTGCGCGACAGCTTACCTCCGCAAGCTTCCAAATACATTTTCTTCTCCCGGAATATGCTCCCTTCTTCCTTGTCGTAGTAATACTCCTGGCCCCTTGGGCTCTTGAGTGCCTGCAGCCGCGGATCCAACATCTGCGCAGGCTGCGCTTCCCGTTGGACCATAGTAGCAGCTGAGCGACGCTGGTAAGGGTATAGGGGCGTCTTAAGGCCAAGCACTCCGGAATAATACTGGCCTGACTCGTCCTCCCCATGCGCAGTCACTGCGAGTAGCTCTTGCATTGCCCTCCTTGCATACGGGTTCCTCATGCGTTCCATCTGGGGTTCCGGATCCCGTAGTGTGTTGAAGATATACCAAAGTGATTCATCCTCCGGACCACTCGCCAGATTACTGACGCCCTTCTGGTTCAAAAATTCTTTCCCATTCCACGCCTCAACCGAACTGTCAATCTTCGCCATGACAATCTTAAGGGCGCGCCTCAATTTCGTACTCGACCGCGGGATCAATTTGCGTCCGACATCATCGGGTAGTACATAAACACGAACGCCGCGGCATGATGGATTGTCGCCACAACCAAGCTCTTCGGTTTGGATCCAGTGGTGGCTTTCCAATATAGCGACTTCCTTAGCTGGATAGCTATTGGGTTCGGCTGGGGTAGCAGAATCGGTGACGTAACTTGGTTCAGGCTTCTTCAAAACACCGACCGCAATGCAGATGTCAATATTCTGCTGCTTCTCATTCTCCACCGCTTGAAAGCTGCCTACCCAGAGTTTGGGAATGGTAGGTTCCGACAGGGGCGTTGCAGGCGTGGGCGCAGAAGCCGGCGTCATCGGGGTGTCGGTGGAAGAATCGATACCTGTACAAGGCTCGATGAAGGCAGAGATGGGAGCATCGCCGTCCGTCTTAGTCGCGTCGTAGTTCATTTCTGAAGTCTGCATCCGCATGGGTAAGACAGAGATCGCAAGCAATGAGCTAACCAGTGCGCTTCCGCGCAACACCAATTCACATCTCATCAACACATAGAAACATTAAACGTACCTTTTCCGTTAAACTCTCATCATGTAATGACACAGGAGATAGATGCAATCCAATGTCATTGGAAGCCGACATATAAATCAGACAGAACTTGTCCTCGCGGCCCTTTGCCGTATCGAGTATTGCATAAAGAGCCGATGACCTTAGCAGGCAGCCATTTATTCCTCCTGGGTGGTGAACTCCATGAGATATAGAAGATAACAATTTTTCTTGAGTGCGCTAGTCTAGAGCAACACATAAACAGCCTGTCGCCCCCTGCGGGAGATGTATCAGGTGGGAGGATGCTGGCAGCTGCATTCATCGCGTCGCATCTCATAATGCCGGTCGACACCCCCATCGCTAGCGCGTGATTGGTCAGCATTGGCCACCGCCCTTCACTTTGCCTGTTTAGGCTATATTGGTCTGCGTAGATGCCCCAGGCCGTATCAGGCACTAACACAGTCCCAATAGTCCAAAACTATGCAAAAAAGCAGAGACTCATGGATTCCCAGGTAGAAATAAGGCTTTTTCCTTCTTCACTTTGTCCTCCATCCTCTGCAGCTCATGCAACCACCATCGCTGCATCCACTCACATCTCACTACATCCGCAATCGTAGCCCTCTGTGCTGGCTCAAGAACCAACATCGACTGGATCATATCACCAAATGCTCGCTCCTCATCTTGTTCCAAAAATCCAAAGTCCGTCTCCTCGGCCCTGCTCGCCCGCTGTCGTGTACCTCTTATGGATGCCAGAAATCGTTGATCCCAATTCCTAGCGCTGTTACTATAAAGCTGCCTTAGCTCTTCTTTGACGTTTTTGCTCCCATCTTCATCAAACCAGTTATCGCGGTTAGCCCACTTCCTCCACCACCGGTCGGGAAGTTTACCAAACGTCTCGACATGTTCCCTTGTGACACTATCAAGATCAGGTACAAACACTTCAAAAGGAGGAGCAGATCCCAAAACATCCCAGATACTACATGCAAGGGTCCATATATCCGCTGGAAAGGAAATATGGCTGTCCGTCTCAGGCCCTGCGAAAAAGGCCTCCGGAGGTGCAAGCAGGTGTGGTGTATGACAGCTGAAGGTCTTGGTGACAGAGGGATCAAATGCTTCTCCGAAATCGGTTATTAATATGGGAGAATCGATCAAAGTGATTTCATCGCTTCCAAGTCCGAGCCAAAGGGGGATAATGAGTTCTGAGGGAACCCCGTAGTCAAGAGGTGCACCATCACAGCGAGCCACAGGCGCCTTTGTAGGTTCACCGATCTTGTCATATAGATGCTTGGTGGTCATTCGCTGCAGGCTGGGCAAGAGGCGAAGGAGAACATTTCCAAGATGGAGATCTATGAATCCATTTCATGAGTTCCTGATATACCGCGACAGTAAAGCTCAAAGTCTTACCACCATGGACAATTCCCTGAGAATGAATGAAATGAACACCAAGTACAAGCTGTGCGATAATAGCTCTCGCAGCCGGAAGATGGATCAGTCGGTGGTATGCTGCCTCTTTAGCTTCATCGATATTGACCCTCGCAGCATCCATGACCAAACACTGATGACGGCCATTCGGGCCTGAGAAGGAGAAAGAATCGAACAAGGTCTGTACCATAGTATCCCCAGGCTGTGATTTGGCCTGTGCCAGCCGTGTCAAGACTTGCGACTCATGCACAGTGCGCTCTGCTGATTCCGCGGTGGAGATCTTGAGAGCGACGAGTCGACGACTGTCCTGCCTGTCTTCTGCCAGCCAGGTTGTGGCAGACCGGCCGAATCCGAGTTTATGGACAATCACATACCGTCTGTTGTGGAATTCGTCGCCGATTTGGACCGGGTGGTAGCCGCCGGGAACATAGCAGTTCAGGCACTCGACTTCGTCGGGGTCAATACATTCGTATCTGACTTTGCTGGGCTTCATTGGGTTTGCAATATTTCTTCTGGTGTCTGAAATCAGGCGCACTTGAAAAATATTAGATTGTCGCGACCTGACCAGGCATCTGAATGCGGACATTAGTGTGGTGTGGCCTTTATAGAAGGTTGATATGACGAAAGTGAAGAAAGCATGATCCCAGGGGTGTGCTCAGTTCTGCTCCGGAAGCAAAAGCGGCGAGCGGGCCAAGAAGTGACCGGCCTTATCCGCCATGTAGGTACGAGATTGTGTGACTTGATGTAGTCTAGAAATTCTTAACCAGTCCCACATGAATCTGTATGTGAAGGTGCATTACAGGATGCTGTGCTAGGTGAATTTGGAATTAGTAGCTAGTGCTTGTATGTGCGAGAACACAACATTAAGGCAACCGATCCCAGAAGTATATTATTGGAGTTTATAAATCTACAAGGAACGCTTTCCAGTTTGGCCACAACACCGAGCCACGCAAGTCTCCCAGCAGCATAGGCTATAGCCCAGCTGAAAACACAAACGGGAGAAATGAAGAACGAAGCAAAAGAGTAAGCCCCCCATATATGTCCTGCGAACAATGCCAAATTCAGACCGAGGTGAAAGATATGAGTGACAGACGAAATGTTTAAAAGCAATATACAGGCTCATTGAGTGAGGAAGTCCTCAATCTCAAAGCCAACTCTTTTGAGAGACTTCTCCTCTATTTCACTTGGAGACGACGTCACTCTTCGTACCACAATTGTCCGCGCGTCGTTCAGACGAACCTCCACGGGGTTCCCTCCTAAACGATCCAACTCTTCCTTCTCGCATTCTCGAATGTACACGGTGATGTCTGGCCCTACACACGCACGCCAGAGAGATGCCATCCACTGCCAGTGGTCAAGAGGTGCATATGAATCCCCGATTGGGACAGAACAAGCGAAAGCGTCCGCGGTCGTCAGTTGGTACCGAGGAACGAGCGCGACGGGCACAGCACTGAAGCTTAGCCCAGTTGAGACCGTGGAAACCGAGCTGTTATCGCTCGACTGTTCGGGCGAGTTGATTTGCAATTCGGCAGTCTTGGGGATAATGGTCCTCGGTGATGCTCCCGGGGTAGCTTCCTCGTCAACAGACTGAGGCTCCGACGACGCACGCGAAGGCTTGACGAAACCAACTATTTCGTCGGAAATGCGGTGCCATGAGGAGATAATATTGAGGTAGTCAACGGTAGCATCCCCCATCTGCTCAGAGTCGGCGTAGCTTTCACGCGACCGTATCTCTGGTCCCCCAAAAATACGGGTGTGATATCTGCCCTCCTTCTGTAAGATGTTGTTTAGGAAGTCGACCATCGTTTTCACAAGGGCAGGATCTTGTCCATCTACAGCAATCACGGCCCCACGTCGCGGCGAGGATCCATCATGGTATGTGGGAGACAAGGGGGGCGAGATTTTAGCAAGGACCTTGATCTTGTTGAGAAATGGGATCGTCATCACTGTGGCTTCGATACTGGATCCATCATGTGGGTATGGAGTCGTTGGTGTGAGAGTTCCTGCGGGAGCATGGGCAGCTGTTTGCAGTGGTGGAAGTTTCAGGCTGGGATCAGGCGAGGTGTAATCCTTGACATTCCGGGCCGGCCGCGAATGCTGTAATGGTTGGTACAGACCTCGGGAGTCTGCAACGGCTGAGCGTGGCGTGTAGGGAGACACAGGATACGAAGAATCCGGGCTCCTTTCGCGGATGTCGTAGGGGACGCCCAACCGCCGGCGTTTACTATCCGGGGATCGACTTCTGTTTTCGACGAACCGCTGGCGAGGCAGGCGTGGCTCTCCGTTTCCACCAGGAATGAGCTTGATGACGTTGTGGATGCGATCAATATCCTTGGCTCGACATTGAGCACTGCGTGCTGTGTAAACCTCGCCAGGTGCTGATTTTCCACCGAAAAAGGACACACGAGGAGTATACGGAGTGTCGGGGGATACCGGGGGGTTCATAACACGTCCGCCACACCGACTGCAGACCGTGGAGCCTGGAGGGTTATGGCTAATGCCAGAGGCCCCATTCCGGAGATTTCCATCCCGACCGTAGCGACGAGGTTGATACCGGTACTCCGGGTATTGTTGCTGATGTCGAGCTTTCTCCTCCTGCTGTGGGTTAGGTGATTGATCAAAGGTATAGACAGCATCCAGTCTACCTACCTCTGCAAGCGCCTTCCATTCATCCTTCGTTTCTTGTGGAAGCCCCCTCCATTGTTCCCCAATGATCTTGGAGATCTCGGGATTGGCAAGACCTGGGTTCTGCGCGACTACTGCGGCTTGGTAATGTTGGCGGTACAAGATGAAGGCTGTTTTCATTCTGGTCAGCTCACGAATCAATCAAGCAGGGTCCACGCCAACGTACCATTTCGCGGTCTAGGAATTTTAGGGTCTGGTTGACAGAGACAGAACTGAGTTGCCGATTCTCTTGGGGTAGGAGCATTCGACGTTTTAACTGGACTGGACGATGAAGAACGCTCTGACAAGGATGAACGCTCGCGAAGGGGGATAGACTTGGTGGTCAAGAGGCTTGTCGACTTGGGAGCTTCGATAGCAGAGGCTGCATTGGAGGCAATCTTATTCAGAGCCATCTTGGTCCGGTTCAGGGATGTGAGATGAACCGGGGGCAGTGTATCGGTGAACCGACGATGACCCCCAAAAGGCGCTGCGTCCAGATGGCGGTCCATCATGGACACTTTCGCGACGTCGTCATTCATTATTTTGTGCTCGAGGAGGCTACTAGTTGACCGGGGCAGGGCGCCGTGACGAGAGCTCTCATAGTGTAAAAGAGGAGGCTTGGGGAGAACTCGATCGTAAGACATTTATTTAACAGAGCCAGGGGCGGCTTGGGAGAGCGAGGATGGAATGAACCAGCAAAGCTGAAAGGAAAACTGGCCGGCAATGAATAATGAAAGCAAGCGAGGTGGTGGTGGTGGGTGAGAATTCGTGGTTATAGAGGCGTGGTCGTTGAATGGGAAGAGGCACAAGCGGATGAAAGAAAGAAAGCCCGATATAAGGTTATAGTAAACGAACGAATGGATCCCTCGTGCTGCGGCGGGTATTTGCGAAATGACCGTGTTGTTATTGCAATCACGGCGACTGCCTGTTGGCTGGCGGGCTTTTCCTTTCTCTGGGGTGAAATTTTAATATAATATCCAGGCAAATTATTAGTTGGCGGCGTCAGGGATTCCCTCTTTTCTGGTATTTTCTTTTTCTCTGGGCCTTCCTCGTTCTTTGACAATGAATGATATTTCCATTCAGACCGAGCCAACCAAGCCGAGGGGACGCCAGTGAGATAAAGCCAGGATTTGGCTTTTCAAGTGCTTTGTTATGGGGAGCTATCTTTGGAGCCATCGGTCTGGCGGCCCTCCCTTTCACACCTAATCCCGGGAACCAGTTTCTTTGTCCCTGTCAGGATGACCCCCATTTCCCTCCTCTGTTGGACCCAGTTGGAACCCCCACTGGAGTCGGCTCTCTTCGTCGACTATCGATGGAACCTCATCGAGAGGGCCACCCCCGGGTTGGGAAGGACGTACATCATGGTACCTTCATCTACGACGGGTGTCGGGGGGAGGTATCCTGCCTGGACTGTGCCTGGACGTCTCCATCCAAAGGTACCAAAGATTGGAGTGGACACGACCCCCAGAGCTTAGTTCCTATCGAGTTAGCGAGGCAACTAACTAAAACGAAGGTAGCAAAGTAGCAAAGTAGTAGCAAAGAATCCTTTGCGGGGTGAGTCAGCAGCCAGGCAAAAGATGGGCCCGTCCAGAGCTGGGCATTATGATTTATGTACATGACTTCCCAAGTTCCCGCTAAGTGCTAAGAGCCTAAGATACTACTAGTTTAGTTTCATTAGGTATTTCAAGAGCTATGACCTGGCCCTACTTAGGTACCCATCGTGACTGCCATACTAGTGGCGGCAACATAGGGATGGGGGAGATTGCTATACAGGTTATTGTTTCAATCCTGGAGTTCTTTTAGCTTTCCTTTGTCTGTTCGGCGTCTGCATGCGGTGGGCTGCAGTGGTTTGGGCCAATCCGCAGCCGGCACCCCCCAACCGACCCTGCCCATTGGCCCACCGCCAATGTGACACATGCGCAAATGGATTTGATTGTCTTCCCCATTCATTTCACAATCATCGTCGGGCTTGCTGCTTGCTACTTGTTGCTGGCTGCTTGCTACGTACCATTTGCTTGCTTCTGCTGTACCGATGGGTACGCATTTGCTTGATTGCTCCCATACCTGGGTCCAGTTCCTGGAAGTTTGATCCCTCCCCCCCCACACCAAACTTATCTGGGTACCAAAGTCCGTCCGACTGTGCCACTGCTCGGACCATGCGTTGAACAGCGTCATGGTCATTTGATGGGGATGGACACCCCCTCCCCCCTAGGCTACCATGTAATACATACATTCCAGGTGGCGGTATCAAACTCCCAGCACTGCCCGATTAAGTAAGGGTACTTTTACCTGGAAAACTCATGGCTAGTGACAGATCTTCCCGAGACTTCCATGACAGCAAGGTCACCCCCTTCGGAAACAAAGAAACATACCGAATGAAAGAACAGAAAGAGAAAAAAAGAAAAGAAAAGAAAACCCAGAACGGACACGCCGATTTGGCAGCTGCCACTGATCCGTACACAGTCGTGACTGCCACCACAACCACCACCACCCGCACCATCCGCACCATCCGCTACCCCTGCTCCTTCCCCCCCAACCATCCTCAAAGAACCTTTCCACAGGGTCCGGTCATGTTCCATTATCCCCAATCTCGATCCATAGTTCTCCCGATCCATCAGAGAGGTTCGCTAGGACCCATTGACACGTTGATGTTGCAGGCGTCCCCATTTCCAGGCTGAGGCCCGGTCGATCTACCCTGTGGCGATCGCATTCCGATCCCTGCTCCACCCCCACCGCCATCATGTTATGATGTTACAATCTTTCGCCCCGGATAAGGCAGACTGACTTCCGCGCTCATTCTCAATGAGACATACTACCTTGGCCAGTTCCCCGTTCGTTTCTTGTTTGGTAGCGACCTGACCCCTCTCGTGATTCGAAACAGCTGTGTTCCCTCCGGCGACAGCCATCTAATCTCATCCGACCATTCTCCGATCTGGGAGAGAGACATGGTCTCAGACCTATCAAGTGACTGTCCAGAAGCAAGACAAATGGCTGGTCTTCAGGCTCAATAGAGAAAAAGGTTAGCCGCCATTTGATGGTGCTTTTTCGTAAGAGTTTGATGGTCTCAGGAACCGGCCGTGGTTTAATCATCTACATACAGAACACCCCGTTTCGACCACGGCGAAATTACGATTAGCTGGCCAGGCGAGAACCCTATCGCTGCACTTTGAAAAATTTTTTTTGCTCTGTTATTTTGATCTTTCAAGAAAAGTTTCACCCGAGCCACATCTCTTCGATTCCATGGAACACTTCCGCGCCCAGGAGCCTATGCGCCGAGGGGCCAAGGTGCATATCGTTCCTGAAAATGATACGGTCAGCTCGCGATCAACTCAATGGCGCCAATCATAATGCCTTGTCCTTACCAGAACAGAAATTTCTCCGGACGGTCGCATTCTGACGTGTCTGACGTCATCACCCATTGCTGGCTGCTTTGGACGCATGCGTCTTCGACATTCTCCCATCCGGGATCCTCATTCTTGCCCAATCCACTTGTTTCCTCAATACCAGCAGCAAAGAGTTGCCAGTCACGGATCTGGTCGGCCAAGAAAGAATTGGTGTCGAACAAATAAATCGTCCCGTTTGCCCAGTCTTCGGCGTTATTGCGGAGCTCCCCATTCCAGTACTCCATGATCCTGATGGCGTCTTTGTGTTTGGTAATCTGCGGCTCCCCCTGAGCTCTATAGGCCGGAAGGAAGGTTACATCTGGGGCCAACGTCAGGATAATCTTGAGCTCATTACTGCCCCAGGTCTCGGCCAGCAAATTGAGCTGGTCCATGATGACTCCAACGTTGCGTTCAACCGCTTTGGATGCGTCTTCGTACGTCTTGCCGATTACATTCCACAGGTCCCATACACCAAAGGAGACGACCACAATAGTGCGATTTTGACGCATGCCAATCGCCTCGTCGTCCATCTCTTTTACGGCTTCCGTCTCAGCCGTGATCCAACTGGCGATCTGGGCTTTCAGATCTGCCAGTGGGGTCTTGTAGAGGTTGAGTAAGGAGCCCGAGAGTTCCGTGTTATCCACCACGGAGCCAATGTAGTTTCCACTCAGAGACTTGGCTGTCTCTGCTAGGTTCTCGTGGTGACATGAGAACTGGGCCGGGGAATTAGCTTGTCGCTTTCATCATGCCGAGTAGCTCTCTTAACACTTACCGACATACAAAGCCAATCCGTCCATACAGACCCCTGAATCTCCGCGGCATTGTTATCGCTCCACGAGTCACCGAAGACGACTAAGCGGCGGTCGAAAGATGCCGAGGCGCGAAATTCCGACGACGGCTGATTTGGTAAGACTACCCGGCGGTAGTAGTGCTGAGAGGCGAGAAAGGAGGCCGACAACAGGATGCTGCAGACGGCCAAGGCGCACACCGCGTGAAATTTGTTAAAGAGGCGCATTTGGGCTGGGCATAAAGGACAGATACAAAGGACGGAGGCGAGGCGGGCGGACTTCGCAGGCGAAGCCGATAGACGCTGGGCGATCGGCAGCCCTCTTTGTTGCGCGGTTTCACCCAACGATGCTGGCGAGAAGCGGTATGCGTCTGACCAGGGGGATAAGGAGAAAGCAGAAAACGAAAAAAGAGAAGTCAATCAGACAGGAATGTCGTGCGTAGTGATCTGCGTCGAATCAAGTAGGAACTTCTTCCCCTAACACAACGGGAAGATAGGATGATGACCTCCGACGGGTACCGTGCAGAGTCGGAGACTCGGAAGAGAGACTAGCGTGCGATGGAGATGGTTGGCGCCGGAGTGGGGACTGGACTGGACAGACTGGAGAACTCTGTCAGTTCACAGTTGGCTGGGTTAAGAAAAACGGGGGGGAGGGACGAAGCAGAAGAAAGGAGACGAACGAGAATAATTCTGAGAGATTGGGTAAGGGAGTAAAAAAGTGACTAACCGGTAGACTACAACTACGACGGCGCTCGTGCCCATCTTTTGCATTGGCCGTTAAGGCTGTTCTGTCCTGTGCTGGGCCTATCTGGCGTTGGCTGTGGCCGCGCGGCGACTTCGGAACGGTAACCAGTCGCGTGCTCTGGGTCTTTTGCGTCAGTCCCAAGACTCCATCCAGCTTGGAGGCGGCGTGGTGTTCTCCCCGTTGGTGGATCTCTCCCTCCTCGTGGATTATCCGCGTCTTCCTGTGCTGCCAGCGATCGAATCAGCGACGCACATCTGTCGGGTTTAGCGGTCCTGATTTCCTGATCCCGTTGCTTGTGTCATGATTGTGAACATCCCCCCCGTCGGCCTCTACGGACGGGGGGAATTGGTGGGTAGTAATCAATCAATAATCAATAGAATCGATAACAACGACACCTCAGGCAAGGCGGCCATTTTAGGCCCCGACTCTCGACCCGGATTGGTTCCCTCCTCTCGGGCTGGTAGATACGGACAATGCAATGTGCAACGAAATCCGAGTCAGCGAGACACCCTTATTATATCTCTTGTGTTTGGGGGCCAGCCTGCCGTACACTCTCGATTATCTATCCCAAATTCCGGTGCCCATCATAATCCCGACCAGCACCCACCGGGCGACTGATTGACCGACTAGATCTACCTAGTACCTATCCAGTATCCAAGTGCACTCAGGGGTTAAAACCATCGTCGGATCCAGCCAATTCATCATGAAATACTCCATATTGACATCAAGCTTATTACGATGAAGGGTCTCCTTATTACAAATCCTCCTGCATAACAATGAGCATGTGCGCTGCCTGTGATGCCTTGCTTCGGGGGCGCCCATCAGCAAACATGGATTGCAATTCAGGCTGCAGGATGGAGTCCGGAGTAGCAAGACTGGAAGCGCGCAACGGAGGGCAGGGCAGGTCAGGTCACCGGTCGCCTCGAGCGTCCTAGGAAGGCTGTCTGACGAGAGAGGATCGGGCGTTCCATGGCAAACACAGTTGGGTCACTGATTAGCTTGATGGAGCAAATGAAGGAGTTCATGTGGCGCTCGTTTGAGAAGGTCTACCTAATCGATGAGTAGGTATGTCCACGGGGCTGTGCAGTCTCTCAACTTTGAGGCCCACCCCGTCCTAATCCAAAGGAATGTACATACGGAGTATAATGAGCCTAATCCTCGAGCATAAGTGGCGCCCTGCGAGCCACGCCAGAAATAAAGTGTTGCGGTTCCCAAAAGGGCAAGCCACCAGTCAGGTGCCGGCGGTGCTGACATAAGAGCCCTACCGAGGACGCTAGACCGTGGAAGGTTAGTGTTCTTAGTCAGCCGCCCACAGAGGGAAATCTCGCTACACCACCAAAAAAATCCCACGAAGAACGAATCCCCGACGACCTGAACCTCCTCGACCGTCGACAAACCCGCGCCCTCCGTCTTGACCGCGCAGCTCCGTCAAGATGAAGCTCAACATCTCCTACCCGGCCAATGGGTCGCAGAAGATCATCGAGATCGACGATGAGCGCAAGCTCCGTCCCTTCATGGAGAAGCGCATGGGAACCGAAGTCAGCAACCCTTCCCCCTTTGATATCCGCATCCGAACCACCACCCTTGGAAGAGAAACGCAAAAAATGAAAGACAACACGAAAATATGGGGAAAACAGAAGACTGATTGGGGTTATATTTGAAATAGGTTTCCGGCGACTCCCTCGGTGACGAGTTCAAGGGCTACATCCTCAAGATCACCGGTGGTAACGACAAGCAAGGTACGACTGGATTGTTTTCCCCTTCGAATTTCGATGGACTGGGAGGACTCGGGGATTCGAAAGGAGGAGCTATGGGTGAATATGTGATGTGGATGCTAACTGGAATTTATAGGTTTCCCCATGAAGCAGGGTGGTATGTACCGACCGACGCCATGATAATCCCACGATCACAACAGCAGTAACTCATCGATTGTGTGCAGTTCTCCTCCCCACCCGTACCCGCCTCCTCCTCGCCGATGGCCACAGGTAAATGCGACCTGCCGAAATGGAGTTCACGAACTGGAGACTGATATGCGTTGCAGCTGCTACCGCCCCCGCCGCACTGGTGAGCGCAAGCGCAAGAGTGTCCGTGGTGGTAGGTTTCCAATCTCGTGTATTTGTGGCGGAAGTGGTGTATTGACATTCGTGTTACAGCCATTACCGGTCAGGACCTCGCTGTTCTTGCCCTGAGCATCGTCAAGCAGGGTGAGGGTGAGCTTCCCGGTCTCACCGACACCGTTGTCCCCAAGAGACTCGGCCCCAAGCGTGCCACCAAGATCCGCCGCTTCTTCGGTCTCGACAAGAAGGACGACGTCCGCAAGTTCGTCATCCGTCGTACCGTCACCCGTGAGGGCAAGCCCGACTACACCAAGGCCCCCAAGATCCAGCGTCTGGTTACTCCCCAGCGTCTCCAGCGCAAGCGCCAGCGCGTTGCCCTCAAGCGCCGCCGTGCTGAGGCCGCCCGTGAGGCTGCGTAAGTCCGCCCCGTGCTCGACTCGCCCATGCGTGCATGCACTAACCCAGGTCACAGTAACGACTACGCCAAGCTCCTTGCCAGCCGTGTCCACGAGGAGAAGGCCAAGCGTGACGAGCTCCGCAAGCGGAGAGCCTCTTCCATGCGGAAGTAGATGTGTCTGTCCGGGGGTTAATGGTCGGGTGACGTCTCTGTTCTGGCTAAGGGAAGAAGTAAAAAAATCTCAGCGATGGGAAGGGGGTTTTTTTCCTTTTTGAGTTCCAAAGCAGAGCGACCCAAGAACAAGGCTCTTTGGGGAAGGAGGGGAGAAGGCGTCTGCAGGGACCGCGACTTTGGCGTGCCGATATTGTCTTATCCACACAAAAAGGAAATTCATATCCACATTTTATGGAAATGAAAGGGAAAAAATGTGAAAGAGTTCTTCGTTTTTTTTTATCCCTTCCCTTCCCTGGCACGAATCTCCCAGGGCTCCGATTCCGCAGACGATCATCTCGGTACTTGCACTGCTTGTCAATGAATGAAACTTTGTATTCCAATTCCAGTCGGTGTTTTCGGTTTTTTATTATCTGAGGTGCCCACGGCCAGGAACAGTAGTAGTACTGTATAAGCTTGCACCTTGACAGTGGATGATGATGTGGACTGTACGCCGTCCCCACCTTCCTAACCAAGATCCAGCCCACTAGCGATCTAGTCCCGTGCGGACTGCGGAGTAACTTGCTATACTTTGACCTGGCTTCGTATACGACCCTGAACTCACCACATCCACATCCACATCCCCATATAGTTTGTTGAGTGAGGGTCTAGACAATTTTGTCTCACATTCATACAGTCCTTGTATTCCATGACTAAGTTTGTCTCAATAGAACTAGTAGGAAACTAATACACCAATCAGTACGGAGTAGATACTATTGTATCTACAGTAGCGGTACGTATGTATGTAGTAACTAGTAACTAATTATATACAACGGAAATCTTCTACCCCGCTATCCCTCCTCCATCCTCAGCTATACTTACATGCATAGTAGACATAATATGCATTTACATTAATCTATTCCGGGAAAGGAAACTTTATACTTTGGTATGTATGCACGTACACAATACTGCTTCATATTACAATTTACAACACATACATACATACCAAGACACACTAAGGAGGCATAGTATCACTACTAGTGATACTATTAGTACTTACTACACCCAGCCACAGCCACAAGCTAAGCCAAAACCTAGTTCGTTTATATAGATGACTATCTCTCTATTAACCATCCTTGAACTTAACTGACTGACCCAGACACCTGTAATCCGAACCTTGTATACGAAGAACCAATGTGAACCCACCCCCCGCATTCGATGAAAAAGGTACTTTGATGAACCCAAGACAACCTGAATCTACTACTATACTATCTAACAGGCAGAGTTTGCGTAAGTAACTTGACTTTTCCTAGATTCGTAGTAGGTGCCAATAGTACCTACCTACCTACCTTCCACACCTAATGTATCTAACACTAGCATTTATCTAATCTAGGTATAATACACATAAAACCCCTCATTATCGTAACCCATCAAACCCTCTTCCCCAGGCCTTCATTCAGCAGTATCAAAAAATAGCAAGTCAAATGACACAATACCCTTCCTCAATAAACCATCATCTAGGTATTTATCCATCATACACACGTCGTACACCCCAACCTAATCTCCACCCGGACGTGAAAAAAACAAACCATAGACACACCAAAAAGCATAATCTGCGCTACTTATAAAGGTACGAACTCAATGCTATCAATAACAGAAAAAGAAAACATAGTAGTAGTACTATTCAAAACGACATTTTATGAATTAGTAGATAAGTAGACACCGCGGGTGGGGAAGGGAGCATGATGCATGGGTGGAAACATATCTATTCAGTAACATTACAATTGACAGGTACTATTATGTACTATGCCGACAGGCAGGATCGACTTAGGGCTAGCTAGTAGCCCGGTCTTTCTGCATCGGAGGGGAACTAGTCGTTGGATCTCCGAGGTTAATTTGACGACGGAATTAGGATTTTTAATTGGTTATTACTGGGGGGTGGAATGGAGTACGGAGGGACGGAGTAATTAAGTGAACAAACAGCCTTGGAGAGTTTTTGAGTTCAGGTAATACGATACAGACTGTACTGGTCTGACTAGTTTATATATACGTATGGTGATTTTGAATGCAGATAGAACAGTCTATTGTATCAGTGAGCACATTTGATCGTGCTCGGGATAAAGAAATAGGAAACAGTTGTTATATGTACATGCTTGAATTCAGCTGGTGATATAAAGCAAAAGGCGCCGCCGACTTTTCAAACCACCCTCCCTTGCCCCCTTCTCAAGTTCACATAAGCATCATAACCAGTAATTGCGTTAAATATAAATGACAGACTAATTTGTCTATCCAGCAAATCCCGTGGCTAAAGAACCCTAATGTCATGATCTAGGCCCTCCAGAGTAGAAGTCTCCCACTGCGCACGACAAAAAGCAAATAGAAGTCGCCTCCAGGCAGCAGAAACATCTCCATCCTTGCAACTCAACCAGTCATTTAGGCGACAGCGTGCGAGAACAAGAAGCTCACAGACTCGCCGTTGTGCGTACGTCTGCAGGCCTCGGCCAGGGTGGGGCTGATGTCGATCGTCTCGATCTTGTCGCACTGCGCCTTCTTGTCCTCGTGGGGAACGGTGTTGGTCACAACGACACGGCTCAGGCAGCTGTTGTTGATGTTCTCAGTGGCCTTGCCGGAAAGGATACCGTGGACCACAATGGCGTTGACTTCCTTGGCACCGTGCTGCATCACGGTGTCGGCAGCCTTCACGAGAGTACCGCAGGTATCAGCCATGTCGTCAACAATGATGGCAATCTTGTCTTTCACGCTACCGACAAGGACCATGCGCGAGACCTCGTTGGGGCGGGGACGCTCCTTGTGGATGAGCGCGAACTGCAGATCCAGGCGATCGGCGATGGCGGTGGCACTGTCAAACACCACTTGATTAACATCGAACCCCAGGATAACCCGTAGAAAGTGGGTTGCTTACCGCTTGGCACCACCAGCATCAGGACTGACAATGATGCAGTTGCTCACATCAAGGTTTTCCCGGATCCACTTCAGGATGCTAGGCTCGGCATACAGGTTATCGACGGGAACGTTGAAGAAGCCCTGGATCTGGCTGGCGTGGAGGTCCATGGTGATGACATGGTTGCAACCAGCGGTCTGGAGCATGTTTGCCATGAGCTTCGCAGTGATAGGAGCACGGCTCTTATCCTTCTTATCTTGGCGCGCATAAGGGAAGTTGGGGATGACAGCGGTAATGCGTCTGGCGGAAGCGGTCTTGCAAGCATTGATCATGATGAGCAGCTCCATCAGTCCATCGTTGATGTCATTGGGCCGCGTCGACTGCAAGATGAAAACTGCAGGGTGGCACACATTAACCCAAGGATCTTTGCGTGCCCGCGACTGAGCAGGTGGAGTGGAAGACAATACCATCCTCATCTCGTACACTCTCTCCGATGGTGACGCTCGTTTCCTGGTTCGAATATTGGAGGACCATGATCTTGGTCAGTTCGATGCCAAGCCTGCCAATTGGAACGACTCGTTAGTCTGGGGTCTGCGAAAGGCCAAAGCCCATGACTATAGCGCATACCGAGCAGCCACGAGGTTCGCAAGCTCGGGATGACTGTTACCAGTCAAGAGCTTGATCGAGTTGGACGACGCCATTGTGAATCGGAGCTAGGGAAACCGGAAAAGGAGTCGGATGAGATCGAGAACAGATTGCAAGAGGAGTGGAGAAGGAATCAGGTGCCCGAGAGACAGGAGACGCCCATCGACCGGAGATTGAAGAAGTTCAGATTCGAGCCGATGCCCCGCCGGCAGGTGACTTTTTCGCCCAGCAGAAAAATGTTGCGTCCCGTGACTCCCCGGATCCACTGCCCCTCACCGCCTCCAGACTACGGAGAAGCCGCCCGGCTGACTAAACTTGCAATGCAATGAATCTAGTGAAGTAATTGACACAGCTGAAGAAAGGTACATGGTGCTGCAATCTGCAAGTAGAAACATAGAAAGAATAAATAAGAAACGAAATACTTGACCGCTCGGCCCCCGGCATACCAGTTGACCTGCACTTCAACTGGCTTGCCGGTCGCGGTCCAATCTTTCTTCCTCCATATATGCCTTGACGAAACAACCAGCCCCAAATGGTACAAACTAGCAGAAATGAAGACACGTCAAACGCCATCATATGCTTCGGCATTAGAGCGAGGACACTGAGCAGTACGCATGTCGAGTCGTAACTCATCGTCCAAGCAAACAAGAGACATTAGCGCCACCAACTTATGCAAACCCGAAATATTCACTACCAGCCGTCATCGCAGTGTACAGACGTTGCCGCAGAGTTTCGTAGCTCTCGTATTCTGGGAGATCCAGCTCTGTGTCATAGAATTAGCATACCATACCACATAGGCCAAGTGCCAGGCTTTGCTGGGAATACTTACGGTTGAAACAAGTGTGAGAGCTTGGGAGACGATCCTTGTTGCCGTAGTCACGGTGGATGTTGAAACGGCTGACTCCGTTCATACCCTCCAGTTCCTTGAAACCGTTGAGGGGTACTTTGCTGGTGCCCGTGACGAACTGGAGAAGCTTGGCACGTTCTTCCTTGTCGAATGAGCGGACGGCACGCCAGAACCACTGGATCTGGGGCGACGAGGCCGAGTAGTTATGATACTCAGTGTTGACCTTCCAATCATCTACCTCGATTTCGGGAAGACCGGAGATCAGCAACTCAAGCTCCTGCTCATTGAAGATAGAGATCAAATCGGAGGGAATAATCTCGTGGAATCCTAGACGACACAAATTAGCCACAGGCCCGCGTAGCCCAAGTGAATGTAGGTATAAGCTTACCTTTCAGGAAGTTGTCCAGCTGCTCTTTAACGGAGCCCACCAAACGGTAATCGACGACCTTTTGGATGTATTCTTCTTTGTTCTCTTCAGTGACAGGAATGTTGCGTCCATTTTCAGTGAGATCGATCACTTGTTTCTCTCCAAAGTCGTCCGTCTCGACAGCGAACGTCTCGGTGATAATGTCGGTAATGTCATTTTCGAGCATCCAGAGAAGAGACTTGTAGTAGTCAAGGTCGAGGGTCTCCATATCCTTGATGGATACTGACCGGCCAAGAATGCACTTGTACACCGCGCGACTGAAATGGCAGTCAAGGACACGTCCCTCGTACAGAGCCTTGCCGATGATGCGCCCAATGAACTTGAAGAACATCAGGTGCTCTGCATTGACACCACTGAGACGGTTTGGGTGGAAAGTTGTCCGGTCGGAGGCAACAGGGATGAACAGAGCGTAGTTGGGGTTAAACATGCCGCGCGCCAGGACCTGGAACCATTCTCTGGTTACACCACCAGCATCGACGCCCTCTTCACCATGGAAGCGCACGTTCAGCTTTCCATATTTCAGCTCGTCCGCCGTCTTGAAGTACAAGGACTTGAAAGAGTCCAGGAAGATCTGGTCTCGTCTGACAGATAGCTGAAGAGGAGGATGGGGGTGACGAGGCTCTGCGCCACGAGAATGGATGCGGCGAGTGAAGTAATTGCGCTTGTTGTCGAACTCCAAGACCTTGGGATTCTTGACCAGCAGCGAGAAAGTGCCGCTCATCAGCCTAGGATTTTGACGAACAAGTTCGTTCAGAATCTTGCGGTGTTCCTCGGTGAACTTGAAGAACAAGCTTTCCATACTCAGGCCAGCGTCGACGGAAGTGCTCGACACAGACAATTCTCTGCTATTCCGGGAAAGCGAAGTATCCTTCAGCGTAGTGTTCTTGCAAACCACCATCAATGCTTCGATCAAGGGCAGAAGGATAGTTGCCACATTGAGCATGTTCTCCTTCTGTCGGATGACGGTCAGACATTCACTAAGTCTGGCCCACAGAGGCCCGAACGTAGAGCACTCGTATAATGTTTGAAGGACATCCTCTTTAGCAGCATTGTCAGTCTCACTTCCCTTCACCTTGTCCGCCCGTGAGGGATCAAACAAATAATCAAGAGCTGTCAGAACACGCAACAACTTGGCTTGATCGGAACTGGCCGGGGAGAACTTAGCCAAAGCCAGGCCCTGCATATCGGTGCCCGTCCGGGCTTGGTGGATGTGGGAAAGCAATTCATCGAGGTCAGTGAGAATGACCGTACTCAACGTTTGAGCCTGGCTGACCAGCTCGTTCCCAATAACGTCTCTAGCCCCGGGGACAGCGGAAAGATTGTTGATGGTGGAAAGCGTATCTCTGAAAGTCTTGCCGTTGCACTCACGAGCTGCAAGGATATGAACCACCAATTGTAAGTTCTGGTCAGGGACAACAGGCGGCTCGATGGTTCTTCTCTTATGCTTCTCCTCCACGCCTGAGCTCTTCGTTCTGTCCTCCTTGGCGGCAGCTTCCGTTGATGCAACATCCTCGGGCTCTGTTTGGGGTTGCGTAGCCTCGACCGTGGGGAGCGGAGCGTCCGTCATTGTCGTGTCCGCGGCCGAGCCAGTCAGTTCTGTTGAGGCGGGCTGCTGTTCGTCAGTGGGCTCCTCACCCTGCACCGGCTCGGGCATTTTGCCCTTGCCCTCTTCCTCTTGCTTCTCTTTCTCCCGACGAAGTAAGAGTGTGAGGGGCTGCGTGATACTGCTGAGAAGGCTTGACAACTGCTCCATGCAGTTGGGATTCTCCATGATCACCTTCCGGTCGAGCAAAGATAGCAATGCGTTCAGAGCGAATTTGTTGGCCCTGTTCTCCTTGCCCTTGCCCTTGCGGAGAGCCTTGAGTTTTAAGGTCGCAGAAGAGTCATGCTCGGTGAGGAAAAACCATGCAATGTGGGGATTGTACTGAGACAGGAACGAAAGGGTTCCCAAGCATTGTTGCACAACCATGATCGGAGTAACTTCATTGCTGATGTTGGAAGTTCCCTGGAAAGACAGATTCCGCTTGACAGATTGAGGAGTCTTTTGGACCGATGAAGGCTTGGCACGAAGTGAAAGTTGGGCAAAGCTGCGTTCGATTGCCGAAACATCTGCACTACCGTCTTGAAGGACCGAAAGGAGGAGACTGATGACTTCCATCCGGTTCTGGCGGTTCTCACACACGTTATGGAGAATGTCGTTCAACTGATGGCGTGCATTGCCTTGGAGGGGCATAAACATCAGACGTAGCAACGTAGCAACGCCGGCTTTGTCAAGCATCTGGACGATTTGACGTCGTTGTTGTTTCTTAGGCTCTTGATCGTCAGCTGGTTCATGTCTGTGACGATGGTCGACCCGAGGGATATCGCCGAACTGCGCCAATCGCCTACCCGGCAGCGCACGAGCTTCTGATAGGAACTCTGGACCCAACGTTGCAAGAATTTCCTCGGGTTGATCGGCCAGAACAGCCTGTCGCAAAGATGGATCTAGCGTAGCAAGAAAACTGGCAGCGTCCATATCTTCTGCGTGGACCGGAGCGGGAGCTGGAATTGCAGCGCCGCCAGCTGCTGCAGCTTGCCGGCGAGCACTATCGCGCTCCCGGCGGCGACGATCGGCCGCTTCTTGCTGCAACAGCTCCTCCCGGATCTCCGCAGGCAGGGCTTCCAAGAATTCTGGATTGATTTCGCTCGGCTCTTCGCCAGCTGCAGCAGCCTGAGAACGTTGTTCTGCGAGTTGCTGCATGATGACCTCCTCCCTCAGTTCTTCGGGTAAGGCTTCAAGATATTCCGGATCGATTTCCATACCAGTGATGTCAAGCTGGCGACCTCTGATTGTTGTATGCACCCGGGGTACAGGCTCTGACGGGCCTGTATCGGTTTCGATGGCCGGTACTGCAGCTTCTTCGGCAGTATCCGTCCGCTGTACATCATCCATAGGTTCAGTTTCGATGCCCGAGGCTTGTCGCCCTGCTTCCTCACGCTCCATTTCTTGCTGCCGTCTGGCATTCTCTTCATCTTCCTTACGTTTCCTCTCCCGTTCTTCTTCTTCCCGAGCGATACGCTCTTGGCGTTCACGCTCTGCGCGCTCTTCTTCCCGCCGCTTACGCTCTTCCTCCATCTGCTTCTCCCGTCTCTTCTCTTCCTCGATCGCAGGAGGCACGAGGATCTTCAGCAGGGAGTTGACGACACGCTGGGTCTTCTCGACGTATGAGCTGCTAAACAGGATACGAGCTTCCTCCTGCCAACGGCTTCTGGTTGTAGCAAGAGCGAAGCTCACGGCCTGAGATGGATCGTCTCGGGTACGGGTAGGAGGAGCTTGTGGCCTACCAAGCCCAAAGATGTCTTGAATCCGGTTAGGTAGGATAGCACGCCTGTCAACATGGACATGGATACCATCCGGGCGGGTTATAACCCCAAATCCTGGTGCGCCTTGGCCCCCGATAGCCTGCATGATTGCGTTCATGAAGCTAACAGGACTGTCCATAGGCAGCAGACGTCCAGTGGAAACGGGCTCCATGCCGTGGACCCAGTCGGTGAAGGCTTCATTGCCAGGTCCACGGGGTTGGCCACCTGCCTCAGGACCACCACGATCTGTCCGAACAAGAAGAGGGTTCGTTCCGTCATCGTTTCCGCGCGCTTGGATTTGAGTTCTATGGAGCCGATAAGGCTGTATGGGGACGATGCCGTGCCGACTAGGCATGATTCCGCTGACTGCAGCCCAGGCTGGCTGAGTGCCACGGAATCGGTGGTGATGATGATGACCTCGTGGCGGCTGTTCGTCGCCATCCCACCCCCATGGTTCCATGAGATCCTCATCATCGTCAAAGCCTTGGTAAGATCCCTGGTCGTCATCGGCGTCCTCGAGTTCTTCTTCCAGTTCGTCGAGTTCTTCATCCTCTTTAATTAGCGTT